GGCTCCAGTCAATGTCTTTGATCAACCTCTAAAATTACGATAAAATATGGGCCATAGTTTTGAGTGAATGCTATCGCTGCTGAATATTCTCTGTCCAGTCAAAAAAATTATTTTAATTTAGTGATGACTTCAATCTAAGAAGTAAAGATTGCGTAAACGTAATTTTTGAATTTTGGAATCGCGTCTGTTTATTCTCACCAAAATGGCTTTATGTACAGCTTCTTCATTCCCTCACAATGTGGCCGAGTTTTATCACTTTGTCTCACAATCTTAATATTTGTATATTGATTTCTCCAGGGCAGTTTGACCACTTAACCCACTGTATTATTAGAAAGCGATGATTTTTGAAAGAAAAAAAAAAACACATCATTTTCCTTGCCAACCATTTTCTTTTTTAATTAAAAGACTCCGCTGGCCAACTTTCACCACAAATCCATTTTGTGACACCACTACCTTAATAGTGACACATTACAAGTCAAGGTGGGAGAAGTGTTTGTCTTTTTGATGAAAATTAAATTGACACATGACACAAAACACGGTAAAGAAGTGACTGGAGTATCAACAGTGCACTGGGAGACCCACGGTACTTTTCGGTCAATGCCTAGATTTACCGCAGTAATACATATCCAGGATTTACGGATGAAGCTGGGGAAACAATTTTTTTTGTTTAAGATAGTTCTGATGATTGATTCCATAAGCTTGCCCTCAATGTCAGCTGAACAGACAAACTATTTTTGATTTTTTTAAATATTCCATGATTCCATGATTGAATGTTACCCCATCAGGATCCGCTCGATGGCCGCATTGACGTCTCCGCCGGTGGCGATCAGAGCTTGGAGATTCCTCGCTTCGTCGTTGAAGCCCATGTTGACCAGCTGCTCCATCTGGAGACGGAAACGCACCTCTGGAGGTTGCTGTCAAAGAGGAGGATGAAGAGAAAATGGTCATAAAGAGTCTCTGAATGCTACACTCCATTTGTGACCCAACTTGATCAAATGGGTCAGTCAGCCAGAGACAGTGTTGTAGTCGCAGGACTTGTGATGGATAATAAGTCAGAATAGTTTGGTTTCGGTACCCGCTGCTATATCAGATTCAAACCAGCCAGCGACCCCGGCAAGCTCAATGGTTGAATGGTTAGACGTCTGCACTAGTAAGCAGAAGGTCGTGGGTTCGAGTCCCACCCGAGTAGTTTGTGAATCTTTTTTTCACACAATCACTCAGGACAACACTCTGTATACAGTGTTTATAAAAAATACGTCGAAGGGCAACAAAATAAAAACTCAAGAATGTCTGGTCAACAAGTCAGTTCACAAGTCCACTCACAAGTAACAGGGCATGAACAATAACAAAGGAATGCATTTGTCACAGTTCACTTGCACAGCTCATGACTTGTGAAGTTGCTATTGACTTATGCTGGACTTGATGTCTTTTATATGATCAGCCTCACACAAATATGTTGATAATCATATGCATCTTAGACTTGCTAAAAACAATAATGAATGAAGAACTTCCGATATATATTGTGTTGAAAAAAAAATCCAGGGGGCGGGTGGGGAGGGGGGGGGGGATATTTTGTGGGGACAATGTCGGGGCCTTTTTCTTGCCGCTGCTTAAAGGCTGGTCATACTTTGCGAATGCGATGTGAATTTGACGTCACGAAGCGAAATTCGCCGTGAAATTCGCCCGAGTTATTAGATGTGTTCAACTTTTGCGAATTTGCAGTGTGAAAACTTGCCCCGACCTCACAGATTCGCATTGGCGTACACTTTCACGCCGAGTATGAACCAGCCTTTATGGATGTGCTTAGCGGTACCACGACATAAAGCCAGGAGCTATTTATGGCACTAACAACTGTTTCAGAAATGCACTAGGGCATTTTATCTAGGGCATTTGAATGAAATAAAAACCACAAGCGTAGGGATAAAACTATCTGGTGAATGTTGAGTTAAAAATCTGAATAGCCCATGGTAAATATGAAGATTTGAACATGTTTGTTTTGAGACTAAGTTGACATACTCTGCCAAATCGATTGCAAGTAATAAAAGGGTTGAGGGGGTGACTTGTATCCGAAAGAATGCTGTTCAATTTGGTGATAAGATGATTCTTAGCCAAATGTTGGATATCTTCAATGTTAGCGCCAATTATCTCCATAGCTTGCTTGTCGATCCGTTCGAGTTTTTTCCGATTGCACAAAGTGAGTTGAACCAAGATATACAACAAAAGATAACAGTCGACTGGATGGTGCTCTGATAAAACAGTTTCAAAATCTGACTGTTCAAATTAAAAGATTTAAGTTTCCTTGAAAAATAAAGCCATTGATTTGCTTTTTTTCTGAATCCTAATTGTGTTGGCATTCCAATTTAACTTAGATAGGAGATAAAACATTCTGGCATTTCAACACTCATTATTTTCTGTCCATTTTGTGGGTGTGGCCTTAATGTGTAAAAGGGTGGTGTATATAAGTTGTTTGAACCAATTGTGACAAATCTCATGCATTTTGGTTACAAAAACCGTGAAAATTAACGAGCCTGATTGAACTTCAAAACAATAACGACAAATCTGGAAAACAGGACTCACACAAGTGATTTATTTGTTATATATCAGCTGTTTTATTTTCAACCAATTAAAAGTGAGCTATACAGAGTGAGATCTTACCATTGTACAATATAGTTCAATTTATAACAAGAAAAAGTGCCCGAATTACAAGATGTAACATAATGTGGCAAATCAGTGACAGGCGTATTCATAAAATGAGCAAGACGGGAAAAGACACAGACTAACAAAAGGTTTCTGGACAGGAAAACAAATTGAAATGTGCTGATTATGATCATACATCCCAGATATTCCACCACAGTTAAAGATCATGCCTTAAAAAAAAGCTAAAAAAAAAAGTCAATTTTTTTCCTACTTAATAAATTTGAAATTTGTACGCTTTGTTTGAACAAAATAAAATACTTTCTTCTGGTTTTGGGCATCTGCAACCCTCTGAAAAAGGGCTTTCATTTGTAAATGTAAAGAAATAATTCAATAACTAAGGGCCTGTCTGAATTCATATCTGGGACGAGTTTCAGACAAGATGCGGATATTGTATCAGGTATCAAGTTGCAGGATTCCAAACAACTTCCCCGCAATCTTCCCGCAGTGAAGCTACCAGTATCGACAAATTCCCTGGAACATGTCCGAGGCAAATACAGAGCTTCTTCTGTACAAAGTGAACGATTCTAACTAACACTTGTCTGGAATTTGTCTCAGATACGAATAGAGTCTGGCCCTAAATGCGGGTAAAATGTTTTGGTTTGATATCTCATTCAAAAGTGAATAACTTTGATATTGCTAAGAAAATGGCGATTGAAACAAAAAATCTATTTTGAACCTCGAAATAACATGGGGAATGCACTTTAAGCAGATATTGCTTTAATAACATAATTATTTGCTTTAATAGCACAGATATGTCCCTCATATTCATTTGTAAGACAATGTATACGTTTAAGCGCTTATAACAGGCTTGGCAGAAAATACTTCTCGGCTGTTAGTTTTTTAAGCAGGTATTGAAAACGTTTCATCCTTGGATTTTTGTTATGGCCTTCCAGTGCAAACTAAGCAAGATGGTAATAATACAGGAGAAAAAATATGGCCCACATATCGAGCCAATTATGAAAGCATTGCTTGGAAGATCAGTCAACACAAACACAAATCATGGAGATGTACAATATTCGGAAAGCGAAATTTTGAAGCTTACAGCGAGACGTGAGCCAGTGGTGCATCTTTGTATACTACACTACTAATAATCTATGTGCAATTGTTTCAAATTGTTTTGATTCATTTTTTTTTTGCGCTTCCCATTAGCAGTGACATCTACTTGGAAACATTGGGGTTATGTAACCAACAAATTAAGCGTGACACAGTGAATAATTTCTTTGAGCTCAAGATTTTCAATATCTGTAACAGAGCAATGCATGTTTCGTACTGTATTAGTGATTGCAATTTTGATTGCAATTGGTTTAATACTTGACGACATGTCGAGTATAATTTGTTGGTTTTTACTTTTATTTTACAGCCACTTGAAAATACTGCATCTTTAGGATCCTTAAAATATGCAAGACATGGAAAATTAAGAGCGAGCATTTTTTTGTTCAATGATCTTCGTTATTAAGCTCTTTAATTTATAGTATGGCTATCAAACAATTTCGCTGTCAAATTTGATTTGATTCTAATGGCGCATAAATTAGGGAACAGATTTTTATTTCGGCATTCGTGACATTCATGGCGCAGAGAAACAAAATAATTGTAGGAAAAGTGCACAGGTGAAGCTACATGTCACTTTATAGCACTGTCCTCTTATTGACAGATAATGCTCATGTTGTCCACATTACACGTAATATTTGAGACTAACCTACCATAGTACACTAAAAGCTACATTCACTATTCACATAGAAACCCCATGTTGAAACAGCTGAAGAAATTTTACAGACTTCGTTTTTTTTTTAAAGGATCCCGCTTCTTAGATATTTGTTTTAAAATTAAATACTCTTTCATCTTCCCCTTTTCCATACCAAGTCAAGTTTTCCTACAATCTTGTATAAACATTGGACATATTTGATGAGTTAAAAACTTTACAGTGTTGATTCTTGTGCTGGTGTGTTCGTTGTATTCCACTTTGCACTTCAAATTTGTTTATGCGTAACATACATTCTGTTCATGTAAATCAAAAATGAACCATGAAGTTAATTACATATGGTGATATGACTACAAATTGATAATAAATTGTGGCAACCGACCAGCACCCCTTGAACAAAGACATTCACAAATTGAGGAACCCCCAACAAAGGGCTGGATAGCTCAGTTGGTAGAGCACTGGAACGGCAATCCCAAGGTTGCAGGTTCTAACCCTGCTCCAGTCAATGTCTTTGATCAAACTCTAAAATTACGATAAAATATGGGACATATAGTTTTGAGTGAATGCTATCGCTGCTGAATTTTCTGTCCAGTCAAACAAATTATTTTAATTTAGTGATGACTTCCATCTAAGAAGTAAAGATTGCATAAACGTAATTTTTGAATTTTGGAATCGCGTTTGTTTATTCTCACCAAAATGGCTTTATGTACAGCTTCTTCATTCCCTCACAATGTGGCCGAGTCTTATCACTTTGTCTCACAATCTTAATATTTGTATATTGATTTCTCCAGGGCAGTTTGACCACTTAACCCACTGTATTATTAGAAAGCAATGATTTTGGAAAGAAAAAAAACCACATCATTTTCCTTGCCAACCATTTTCTTTTTATTTAAAAGACTCCGCGGGCCAACTTTCACCACAAATCCATTTTGTGACACCACTACCGTAATAGTGACAGATTACAAGTCAAGGTGGGAGAAGTGTTTGTCTTTTTGATGAAAATTAAATTGACACATGACACAAAACGCGGTACAGAAGTGACTGGAGTATCAACAGTGCACTGGGAGACCCACGGTACTTTTCGGTCAATGCCTAGATTTACTATAGTAATACTACCAGGATTTACGGATGAAGTTGGGGAAACAATTTTTTTGTTTAAGATAGTTCTGATGATTGATTCCATAAGCTTGCCCTCAATGTCAGCTGAACAGACAAACTATTTTTGACATTTTAAATATTCCTTGATTCCATGATTGAATGTTACCCCATCAGGATCCGCTCGATGGCCGCATTGACGTCTCCGCCGGTGGCGATCAGAGCTTGGAGATTCCTCGCTTCGTCGTTGAAGCCCATGTTGACCAGCTGCTCCATCTGGAGACGGAAACGCACCTCTGGAGGTTGCTGTCAAAGAGGAGGATGAAGATGAAAATGGTAATGAAGAGTCTCTGAATGCTCCACTCTATTTGTGACCCAACTTGATCAAATGGGTCAGTCAGCCAGAGACAGTGTTGTAGTCCAAGGACTTGTGATGGATAATAAGTCTGAATAGTTTGGTTTCGGTACCCGCTGCTATATCAGATTCCAACCAGCCAGCTACCCCGGCCAGCTCAATGGTTGAGTGGTAAGACGTCTGCACTAGTAAGCAGGAGGTCGTGGGTTCGAGTCCCACCCGAGTAGTTCGTGAATTTTTTTCACACAATCACTCAGGACAACACTCTGTATACAGTGTTTATAAAAATACATCGAAGGGCAACAAAATATAAACTCATGAACAATTTCAACATCTGTGTTGTCAATTTCAATCAGTTGGGTTGCCTTTGGAGATCGGCAACCAATAGTGACTGCAGCAAAGGGGTGGAATCCTGTCTTCGTTGTGGCCTGTAGATTAGGTGAGCTGCAGTTTTATCTGTCTGAAACCAAAATGGATTTAGGTCGACCAGAGTTGTTTCTTGACCAGTTCGCGCCGGGATGATTTTGACATTGACCGGACCTAGGCGCAGGATTGTTTTCACGGACCTCGATGCCAGACGGGTTCACGCCATCATCTGCGGGTAGCACACCCTGATATTTCCGGCCTTGCTCGCTGCGAGCAGGTCGCAGACAGATATTTCCGTGTTTATCCGTCATCCGTTCCGAATACCGCAAAACCTTTGCGTGTACACACGTTATCCGACGTGAACTGGGTAAACTATTTGGCACGATGTGACTCTGGAAATGCCAGTCTAAAACATCAAGTAACGGGTTATAAATCAAATACCTGTTGTGTTGTGCCAGCACCAGCACCCAAGTTGGTCAGCATCTGTGTCATCAGTTGGCTCCACTGGTCGCTCCCCAGCCCCCCTAGTGGCCCCACCGGTGGGGCGGTGCCAGTTGTTGGGGTCGTGGTGCTACTAGTAGTGCTGGTGGTAGTAGCAGAGGTGGTGGTGGTACCGGCTGTATCTGTCTGGGCGGTGGCAGGGGTGGTGGTGGAGGCCGGCGTTGAGGCGGATGTTGTCGATGCACCAAGCCCTCCTGCTCCCGATCCGGCCATCCTGAATTTAAAAAAAAACATTTGAAGCATTATTTAAGAGAAGAATTACAAAACTTTTATTCTTCATCACTACAAGATTTTTCATAATCCACATTTAGGTGCCGAAGAATTTTTGCAAGATTAAGGAATATTTTACGGAGAATGCAAAAATTGTACAAAAGGCCTGTTTGGGATGGTGTTTTAATTATAGGATTTGAATCAATGTTGTGCATCAGGTCGGGTTGACCAGGCAAAACCGACCCGGAACATTTTAGATATAAACCGAATCCGAACTAAAACCGATCTGAACACCCCTAATCCAATCCGACCCGATCTGACAAACATTCAAGCAAAAACCGACCCAAAACCGAACCAACCAGAATAACCCCTGAACATCTGGCTTAGGCAACTGTGTCGACGTTTCGTGCCTAAACTTAGCTGCGTCGCGTGAAAATCGTCATCTCTCAGTAAATAATTGTACCGTTAGGTGGGCCTACACGTTATAGACTGTGCGCAATAGACCGCAAACCACATGCACATTCTCGCGGTGGGTTGACGTTGGACGATTGACGTTGGTCGTACTGGGCACAGCAACTCTGCAATGATATTGGTTTATTTTGGGTTTTTCACAAGATGGCTCAACTGAACAGAGCTGACCCGAAAAACGCAAACGCAAAACCGGCACCGACTTGACCTGACTGAGATGATGGAAAAACCGACCCGACCCAACTCAAGTCGGTTTTGCACAACATTAGTTTGAACCCTAAACCAGGAGATGGCTGTCTACTGACCCTGTAAGACTTTGAAGTTACATTGCAGGATTCGAACCCTAGACCAGCAGACTGCTGGCTACTCACCTCATACGTCACAATGGTAGATGGCAATGCTTTGTGGTTTGTGCATAAATGGATCATCAATTTCATCTGTGGTGATAATACAGAATTTGAACCCTAGACCGCCGGAATGCTGGCTACTCACCCTGGTAAGATCCCTGGCGCTATCGACTGCAGCTCCTGCATGCCTTGCTGTATTTGCATAATTGCCCGTATTGCTCTGGGGTTGGTCATTACGTTACGGACATCTGGATTCTCCATCTATGTTAGGAAATGTCCAAAAAAACAAACACATTTTTTTGTTAAGTAAAACAATGCATCTTGAAAATGCAATCAAGAACACACTATGGAACTCCACGCTTTAATTCACCACTGCAAAAAAAAAAAAAGAACTCAGAAACATTCTGGGATGCAACAAAAGATGAATTTTAATGACTGCTGTTCATGTTTGTGGCCAATTTTGTTTAGCTTGTGGTTGAAGAATTTCAAAATATTAGCACGGAAATGGATGAAGCAATTATTAAAGTCGAGTTTGCCATTAATGTCCTTGCCAAAGTTTTGAAAGATAATCAGTGCAACCTTCTTCAATGGACACAGCCATTTGGATTAAATGGCACCCCTACATGTTCCCCCCCCCCAGTAATCAAAGTTATATGAACAGATTCAGGGCAAGCCTATTGAGATCATTTAGCTTCTTCACCTATTAGATAAAATATTGGCTACTTGCGGCTTTAGGAACAAAACATGACAACTTGCCAAGAGGATGATTCTAAACAAACAGCGAATCTTCCGGGCTTTGCAAGACTTTCTACAGTGTTCTTCAATTTCTTAAAGGCAGTCATTGGAAGTTTAAAAGTGAGGAAAACGGATGATCAGGGAAAAAAACTTTATAATGATTACCTGGCGGAGAAAACTGGGCAACATTGTTGTCATCTGTTGTTGCAGTTCTGGGTTGCTGGCAAACATGGGATTGGATCGCATAATCTACAGGAGCAAAAAAACAAAACCTAGGCTTAGGCCAAAAAAAAAAGTCTCCGGTTTCTGGTATGGAGCTTGCCCAAAAAGTGGTGCGGCGACGCGGCTTTTTTTTTTTTTTTACCTGTTTTTTTGGCTTCAAATGTCGGCTGATGACTGCAAATGGTGCCCGACTAAACTTAGTGCTAATATTATGGGAGACCAGAGAGGCCACACAAAGCTTATTCTCGATCATAACCCCATCTAAAAACACCTTAAAATTGTGCAGCAGCAGGATTCCAGTCAAACCAGTGAGTTTGGCGGTTTTGAGACATCATCTTTCATTGAAAAAAAACTTTTTCATTTTGCCGACGCGCATGGCTACGGCGACGCGCGCGCATACCAGAAACCGGAGACTTTTTTTGGTTGGCATTACGTGTTTTTTTTGGTGTAAGCCTGAAAGACAAAATCTATGTCGTGTTACTAGAAGTGGGACGAGAACTCTTAGTCACCTGCTTCATGACAGTATTATTATCCGTGCTCATTGGGCCCACGAAAAAAAACCTAAAACTATCTCAGCATTTAGAAGGGTAATGCAGTTTTGTGGAGTCAATTCAACGCAAATGAGTACAAGCACAAACACCATTTTCACGAAGTGAAGAATCTGCGTACACAGCTGCAAAACCGAGTTTTGAGAAAATCGCGTTTGAAGTTGGTAGATTTTTCAAATTGCTTTTTCGTATACATTTCTTCCCCAGAATTGAAAAGAGTATAACTGATGCGACAGCACATAAGTTAAATTGCCAAAAAATGTGTCTCTATTTTCATAAAAGCATGTTTAATTAGGAGACATTGATTACTAAAGATAGTCGTCACTTCGCCAAAACGGAAATGGTAGTACTGGTTGGTCACACATATGTAGAATTGTGTTTGTACACAGATTCGTCGCGCATGGGTATATAAAAGTTACACATTTTTAGAATGCAGATTTGTAGAGGCTACATAAATCTAAATATAGCACACATGTAAAATTAGAAAGACTAAGTGATGAATCGAGTTTCGTCACCTGCGTCGAAACGAAATACTGAGTTGCCGCACATTTACCACTTATTTTAATCGAAGAATGCAATTTTGTGTCTCGAAATTTAGTAATCATGTACAGGACATCATAAAATGTTAGAATATCCAAAAATCTCAAATTGCTTAAAATCTCGGCTTTGGGAGGATTCGTCACTTCGTCAGAATGGTGACGATATTTGCACTATAGGTTCCAAGTTATTCCTTTGCAAAGTGGCTTGCCCAAGGACACACTCACCATGACCCCAGAGGCTAGACTTGAACCCACAACCTACAGAACTACCTACAAGATCTCCAGATCACGAGGCGTACTGCTTGACAATAGTGGGCCTACACACGTACCTGTGCAGCAAGTTCCGGGTCGTTGGACATAGACTGCAGCATGGATTGCATGTAGGGTGCCTGCAGCATGTTCTGGACTAACTGCGGGTTGGAGGAGACCTGCTGCAACATGCTCTGCATGCCTGGGGAGTTGAAAAGGCCCCCCGCTGAAGGGGATAACAAAGAAGAAGAAAGACGGGTGAGAAGTGGTGCACAGAACATGAGAACAAACGGGGCCTTGGTATTGATCAATAAGGGCTTTGCCCAATTTGCGCCGGGATTATTTTAACAAGAAGGAACAAGGCGCGGGATTACTTTTCACTCGGCCTCTAGCCAGGCAGGTTGAAGCCATCACCCACGGGCAGCGCACTCATAGATAAAATGGACAAGTGTAACACCTACTGGTTTGAGCACATTCTGATAAAAATTGGTCCTGTTTATAGACCGTACTGAATAATCTCTCACTGCTATATGTGAGAGGTTTGCGGTAACACCATGTGGAACTATCTCTTTTTTGAGTATGTGTGGTTCCGAAGAGAACCTGTTGGATTAACTCCCACTGCTAATAACAACTGCCACATCGTGGGACAGATATGTTGCAGAACGAACTCATTTAGGTCACGAATGAGGGCATAAATGTGGCACCACCTCAATAATGACTTTTGCCAGATAAGTCAGACATGCAACTGAGGTCACCAAAAATAAATCAGGAAATTGAAAAGTTTACCACCTTCTCTGCAGTATTTTTCAAGTTTTGATGGTTTACAAGAGAAGTGAAAAAGAGGAAATTGGCTGATCTGAGAAAAAGTTGCATACCTGATTAGCCTATTACAAATTTGATGACTTCAATTTGGAAGCCAATACTAAGGTGAGAATATGAGTGCAAACAGGTGATACCAAGCACTCAATGCTCCTTCCACCAAGTATGCGCTCGAGCGCTTTTCCGCCTCAATTTAGGTTTGTAAGTTTATCAGGGGTGTGAGTGACCACTGATAAAAATAGCTGAAAACAGCTGGAAAAGGTGTAAAAAAAGCTGAACTTTGGATATCTCCTATACTTTTGTACACAGCAAGTGAGGGAAAAAAGCTGAAATCCAAAACAAAAAAAGCTGAAATCAGCTTTAAAGCTGAGATTTCACACCCCTGGTTTATTTGCCGAATTCGTCCTATAGATAGCAACTGCTTGCATTTCTTGACTGACCTGTATCTGTCATGCTAGGGGTAGCTGTCGACGGGCTGGGGGTTGGGGTTGTGGTGCTGGTTGGCGCCGGCGTGGTGCCCCCGGCAGGTCTCGAGGAAGGAGGTGCCCAGGGGTTGGGCAGGGGCTCTGTGTTCTCGCGTCCCTGCTGGCCGGAGGTCTCTGCTGGGGTTGGAGAAGGTGGGGATGATAACAAACAGAGAGGGATTTAAAAGTAATGATATTACTTAAAAGTATCACTCCCTCTGGCTAAGAAAAATAGGTGTCAGACTGGAGTCTGCTCCCCAGGATCATCTCTGTAATTCAAAAGGGTTCATCAATCATGGAACTTTGAGTCAATTTTCTTTACCAACTGATCGGTAGTCGTAATCTGCCTATGAAGTTACTAATGCTAGAGGTGAGAATAGAGGTGAGAAATATCCACAAAATACTCGGCAGAGAACTTTTTGGGCCGAGGCCCCAGAGCAGTAGACGGTCTATAATATAGATTTGTCCAAAGTATGCTTTTCTTACAACTTTTAACACTTAAAAACAAACGTACATTTGTTTTGTAGTTATTGTGGGGACCTAAGAGCTATGGGGACAGTAGAAAGTCCCCACAACTCGGCCCTAATTTCCAGTGTTGTTGACTCGAGTCGCTGACTCGGACTCAAGTCTGACTCAAGTCAATATTTTTTATTGACCAGCAACTTGACTTGACTTGAATAAATTTGACTTGCTGGCATAAACACTTTTGTTTAAATAAACACAACTTTTGCGCGCTTCTGCAAAATTTGGATGATAGAAAGCCAAGGATCTGATAAACATGTAGTAAGCTAAGCATCAATAAGGCACAGTTCCTACATGTAACTTGTATTCATATATTGCAAAGTAAAGACTTGTATCGTCAATAAAGGATGTCAGAGAAAGGGTACATGTACATGTACATTTGTCATATGAATTATGGCTTAGCATGTTCAGACAGACTTAAAAAAATTGACTTGTGACTTGACTTGAATCGGGAAAAATTGACTGGCGACTTGACTCGAATTAAAAAAAAATTGACTTGGTTACAACACTGCTAATTTCTCTAATACAAAAACCCTTCCCCACAATGCACACACCCCTCTCTTTGTTAACACGCTGATTGTGGACCCCCTATTGTCCCCAATCCTCATTCCTTTGTTTGTACTCTTTTTTAGCAACAGCTCTCATTGGTTTTGTACATGAATTTCAATAGTGGATGTTTAGTCAATCGTGGACGTATTGTGCCCTAACCCTTTTGTCCTAGGTCCACGATTGCCGGTGTTCACATACTCACCCCCGCATAATCATGTTTTCCCATTACTCTCGAGGACAAGGCTTTGTGTTTCCCTTTGTTCCTATAATATAACACTTTCCGTAGACTAACTGCACAACCTTACTCCCGAGGACCACTCTCAAGAAAAGACAAACTCCCGAGGACAATAGAGAATCTGTTGTCCACTCTTTGTGTGTCTGTCCTCACTCCCAAGGACCACTCTCAAGAAAAGACAAACTCCCGAGGACAATAGAAAATCTGTTGTACTCTCTTTGTGTGTCTGTCCTCACTCCCGAGGACCACTCTCAGGAAAAGACAAACTCCCGAGGACAATAGAGAATCTGTTGTTCTCTCTTTGTGTGTCTGTCCTCGGGGTGTATGTAATACATGTATGCAAACACCTTCCATTGAGGGGGGCCGCCCTTTATCCTTCTTTTGTTCATACTTTAACTTTCATTCATAAATACCTCAGACAGTTTAGCCATTCCTATTGGTCGAGAGCCCGTCACGTGGCCGGTCTTAAACGGATGATAAAGACATGGCTAGCTGGTCTTAAACACTTTTCCAGTGTCACAATAAAATATGGACTCCTAAAAATCCAGTGCCTCTTACCGTTTCATTGGTTGAACGTTCACAATCCTCACGTAGGCATGCGCAACACTACAAGCGAGTCAGAATTTTATAGTTCTAAATTCAAAACGCAACGCCCCAGGTGCGTTCTGCGAGACATCGCGCAGAACATGTTACGCGCGCGTCAATCTCCATAAAAGGGTTGTTTACATCTTACTCGCCAGCTGAACACTCCATTATTTTGCTAGAGGGATGTTTCAAAAAGCATGAAGTGAACTTGTTGAACAAAATCGGGATTTTTTGAACGAATTATTTGATATTTTTTTACGGATAAGGTATTTATGAATGGGAATAAATATGTGCTCGGTCGGTATTTATCACTCTGTTTAATACCGCTTAGAGTCTGGGTGCTGATAATTACCCTCGCCTCCGGCTCGGGTAATTATCAGCACCCAGACTCTAAGCGGTATTAAACGAGTGATAAAAACCTCCGGAGCACACATTTATTCCCTTATTCAAATAACTCCCATATGTTTTGTACACACTCTTTCCAATAGTGGACCTTCGCCTTATGCATCAAGAACGTGAAGATGACCTCACCTGGACTTTGACTTTGACCGCCACTGCCACCGCCACCGCCACCGCGCAAGGCAGCAAAGGGGTTGCCTCCGAGTTGTTCCTGTGCCGCATTCAGCATGGGTTCTTGAATGTCGGTGTACATCCGTCGCAGGGCGTTGTAACCACCAGGGATACTCTTTCAACACAGACAAGATACGATAAGAATGAAAAATCATTTTACTGCAAACCTTGGGGACAAAAAGTGATGGAAACATCAGAGGCTATGAACAGTAAGCAGGGAAACAAAGAAGCGAAACAGAGACTAAATTACATGATATGTGATCAATATTATCATAAATTCTTAATTACGCAGACATTTTATCAATAGATTGGATATTATATCAAATATATAAATCAACGGTTTTAACAGCGTAGTAACAAGAAACACAGTTTCTGAGTCTCGATTTTGAGCATGAATAATTAAGAAGTATGAATCATCACATAAAAACCTGTGGCTCTTTGTCGAGCTTTTAAACAAGTTGTACAGACCTCCAAGTTACTGAGTGCCCGGTCCTGTGAGCGCATCATCTCTTGCATCATGGCTGGATTCCTAGCCATCTCCATAGTCTGTCGCAGCAACTCGGGGTTGTTCAACATGTGTCTGATCTCCGGATTGCGCTACACGTGTGAAAGAAAACGTACACAGGATCAATTGGATCACATAAGTGCAGTTAGCCTGCGTCCGAATCCAAGCTACAGCTTGCAATTTACACGTGTCCATGGAAGCAGGTGAAATCACAAGCAGGAAGGTCTAGACAAGGCGGGCTTTGTGAGGTCCTGCATTGTCAGGGTGCAGATGGACTTGAAGACTGTCTCGAATCTCTCGAAATTTTGATGGAACACCAACTCCTAGATCCATGCGACTTCTGGTTGTTTCCTAGGATCAAATCCAAACTGGCCAGAAGGCCTTCTTCACGAATCCTAGACCCTGCCAAAGCTTTTGCATGCAGGGTTGAAGACAGTACCTACTTCAGAGCAGGGGTGTGATCGGACAAAAACGAAAAATCCACGAGCTAATGTACATGTATACATGTACATGTATTATTGTACATGTTCTTGTATAGATGTACATGTATACATATACATGCACATCTGTGCATATAGGGCATGTACATTTTGTAATTTCTGTAATGCTTGCAAATTTTATCGCTTCAGTTAAGAAAACAAATGGGGGAAAATTAGGGGAAAATGTCTAGTCATTAAATAATATAAACCACATGTGATTGATTCAAAATGTCTTTTTCTGTGAGTGATGTTATTATTTTTGCATGTTTGCAAAGAGAAAAAACGATTCACACAAAAAATACGAACGGTGCTTTATAATTATTTTATAGTACGCCTAATCTTACTTTAAAACTCCAGTCCCACTCCCACGTCCCAGGCTTCTAAAACATTTTTGAAATTTTGTGTTGGTGGTGGCTATTTTTCAAAGCACTACTGCAGCTCAAACTGATTTCCATCCACAGTGACACTTTATTTCCAGTTCTTCCAACCATACTCTTAAATTCCTTGACAAAATCGCGGCAATATTGACACCAATGTGTTCGCGAATTGCTTGCTCACGATCGTCACTGCACAATACATGCACAAAACACACACACATCCACACGCGATACTCAAACACTAGGTGCAAACCCATTGAGAATCATTTTAGTCTGGTCCTCAAGTACTCCACTGTGCACACTGCATTGATGTCTATCAGGTTCTTGACTGCACTGCTTGTTAGACTTGTATCACCAGTCCGTCCATCGTAATTTAGGCCCTATTTCGCTAGAAGTTTTTGGGCGATACAGAAAACGTTGGAAATCCGGAATCCGCATAAAATTCCGGAATCCCCATAAAATTCCACAGACGTTAGACTAAAAATCCGGAAATCCGGAAAAATCCGGAAAAATCACACCCCTGTCAGAGTAATGCCAGCGCTTTGGGAATTAAGTGGTGGGGCTTTATTGACGCATTAGAAGCCAACAGAAGCTACTTTGAAGGGATGAAATAGGTATTTGTGGGGAGTTCTGGCAAAATGAGAAAGAACTGGGCAGAGGTGGAAAATGAGGATTTGTTGGTACTATCCGGTTCATTAGTGTGACATCATCTAGCATAGCACGAATGGAACTGGAAGCTAAACGCAACTCGAGCGTTTATCCAATGGGCACTAGTAATCGGTGGTGCACGAGCGTGTATAACGTTTTTACTAACGAACTGGATAACAAACATCGCGGGATCCACAGAAATTGTTCGCAATAGCGATCGTTCAGTACAGTGATTTTAAGCTGCCGGTGCTCCGGTACTCACTTTTCAATAAATAGCGCCCTTCAGAACTTCACCCTGCATGTCCTGGTAGTTACTGGAAGATGACTCTGAACACGTGCCGACTATTGAATTATGTCATTACACAGTTTTTGAGCTTACTACCTACATCGATGGGTGGCTTTCCCCTTCTATTCCTTGGGGAAATAATAGGCACTTGTCGCTCTTCTGTTGACATTTTTCAACAACAATGTTCGGTACGCTTTGTTCACAAAAAACAGTGGTCAAGGATGATGTTCAGCATAGCTGAATGTTCAGTAAAGCGGTGTTCGGTATAGTGACGTTCCACTGTACTAGGAAAGAGAGTGATCGTCTCCTTACAATATTGTTTGTTGCACTTCAGTCGGTAATTCTGTTGACAAGTTATGGCTCTTTAAAGTTCATATAAATCAACATGTTGAAAAAGTAATATGCTGAGACAAGGACTTTAAAGTTTCGAGTTTTGCATTCTTGAAAATCAAATTAGGTTTTGCCCTTCACCGACGTATAAACACTGTATACTCAGTGTGTTACCTCCCGAGGGAAAGTTGGAAAAATCACTTGGGTGGGACTGAACCCCACCCGAAAGATTTTTTCTAACTTTCACTCGGGAGGTAACACACTGAGTATACAGTGTTTATACGTCGGAGAACGGCAAAACCTAATTTGATTTACATCACCCCGATGCAAAATTCCTTCTTATGAATTCTTGAAAATGAAAAATGCCAATTGTTTTTCCTTAAAAAACACTTATATTCAGCGATTTTTATACTGTTTCTTTTAAAATATGTGTAGCAGACGTATCAAAGATTACAAATATCAATAAATCTGAAAATCACCCCATCCACTTTTTTGCAATTTTTTTGGAAAACCATCCGGTTTTCTGCAACGGCCTGTGCCCAGTTCCGTCTCGTTTTGCCAGAACGTCGTACACATTTTTAGAAAATGCAAATATGGTATGAAAAGTATGGACCAAGTGACAAAAGTGTTTGGTCCACCCTCTCACCTCCATGAGTTCTTGCATCTGTGGGTTGCTGAGGATCATCTGTCTCATCAGGTCTGGATTCTGCATCAGGCTTTGTGTCATGGGGTTGTTCAGTACTTGTTGCATCATGTCCGGGTTGCTCAGCAGCTGCAAGTTACGAGAACGGATAGGAGTGAGACTTCAAATTTCACATGATACAATATGACTGGGGTATATTACAAGCCTGCACCCGATTTCACGAAGGGCTGCAACGCGTCGCAACTCGAGTTACGACTTGTAAAACACGATGCAACTCGCGACGCGTTGTATCATCCATTTCACAAAAGTTGCGATGTGTTAAACGCGTCGTAAGTTCCTTGACAATGGCTTAAAACATGTCGCAAGTTACGACGTGTCTAGTGGTCATCGCAAAATACGAAGAGTCCCTTTCTAAGCCAGTTTAATGCCATAAACATGACAAAAACGAGATTATAATACCGAGGCAATGTGTATAAAGTTGTCAATAGAAAATTCATTGAAGAATTATGAATTAGACTGGAATATTGCAGTTGAAATTTCAAAGTAGCTATACAGTTCACTGAGAGCTTGCTTTCCTTCAAAATTGCATTGCACGACCGCCATTTTGTTTTACGTTTTAACAAATTTCGAGCAGAGATCTCTTTGTTGAATATCAGACGACTATTTACTGTACGCTGTCTAAATACATAAAACAGTCACCGAGTTGTGCTATAAATACACCTACGACGCGTCGCACTTACGACGTGTTTTGCGAAATGGATCGCAGGACGCGTCGCAGCTGCGATGCATCGTAGAGATACGACGCGTCGCATCGCTGCGATGCATCTTAAGTTACGAAGAGTTTGATGAAATCGGGTGCTGGTCCTTAAAGGTTAATCCTCCTAATGGGAAGTCAATATTCAGAGCAATATGGAAAACCCATTTAACCCTACATGTCCATTTCAGGCGAAGGGATATTAAGTGTTAAAGTAACTGTGTCACGCAGAGAGTCACTGCATAGAAAAAAGCATTGCAGAGGCCGGAGAGCAGTGAAGCATTACTAAATATGCCTGCTTGCCCTAAGCTTTTAAACCACACCAAAGAACTTTGGAACTCTCAATACATTGTATGAGCGTCCCAAAACTTAAGGTATTGAAAACATGCAATACAAGAAAATAGACTGGCACCTGAAACAACCAGTCCAACAACACTTCAGAACTGCTTTAATCAACTGTGCCAAAAGAAACATGTAGCAAGTTAGGAACTAGTCTGTATTTACTACACATTTCTCCATAGTCAGTCACCAGACTAATGACAATGAAGGAAGGGTCAGGTTTTTTTTTCAAACAGTTGGACCATGGTTGGACATGTACCAGTCTAGTCGTTAGCCTCATTTTGAATCACTTGACTTCCCTCTCATGTGCAAAATATTGAAGAAATGTCTCCTTTAAAAATTGAATTGAGTCTTCGAACTTGGTTGGTGAAATACTGAGGACCTTTTCTCTGCCCAACGAAAATTTTGGAGAAATTTGCTGGCTAAAAGAGTGAGTAAAGTTGGCCTGATTTAGTTTTGCACGTTTCAGAACACTCCAGGTCCCAGTCTGGAGCATGACCTGATGACACCACTTCACTGCTTCACAAACAACGAATGGTTATGAGTGAAATGGTAAGAATAATTTCATGAGGTGACAGACGGAATGTTCCATTCTACAAGGAAACTTGGGCCCAATTTCAGGGAGCTTATAAGCAGAAAATGCTAAGCAAAAATCAGCAGAGTACCAGTCGAAAGCAGTATACATTACATGGCATTTTGGCTTGTAACCTATTTTTGCTAAGACAATATTTTCCGTGCTTAGTAAAATTCTGTGCTTAAAAGCTCCACAAAATTGGTCCCGGTGCTGAAATTTGCTCAAAGGTTGAGCGTTTTTTGTTTTCACCTGTTGCTGCATCTGCTGTTGCATCTCCAGGTAGTTAGCTGAGCCGAAGCCCATGTTGCCCAGACCCGACAGTCCCCCTAGGCCAAAAGGATTGGCACCCCCACCACCCGGTGCTGGGGTGGTACCAGGGGTGGTGGTGGACGACGTACTGGTGGAGGACGAGGAGGACTGTGGGCGTGCCGCGGTGGCTGCCTGCTCTTGAGCCTGAGAGAGGGGGCAAAATAAATACCGGGATGAACAGTGAGATAGAACGGGGATAAACCTGAGGTTTATGGACTGCGTGTGTGTGTGTATGAACAGTAAATGTGATGCAATCAAGCTAAATGAGTCGTTTGTCAACCCTGGTCACTTTTTTTTTTTTTTTACAGATTTGAAAAGAGCACAATCTCAGCATTACTGCTGTGAAAACCGCATGCTGATACCATCTTTAGTTCCAAAATTATGGAAGTCAGAACACCCAGAGATGTGTTGAGGTGATGTGATGAGGTGGCCCTATTTTGGCCTGAATCTCCAAATGAAAATTCGCGACAAATGACTATTAAGCTTGATCGCATCACGAATGTCTTTGTAATTGAGTGATGGGGTACGTGTGTCTGGAGTAATTCAGCTGGAGGTTTGTCATGGGTGACATGGGGGAAAAATTAAAAAAATCACAAAATAATCGGCACTGGGTTTGAGGGTCGCTGAGAACCTCAGAACAAGATAGGGTCTGTGGTATGTATTTGTACAATGTAGTTGCCTAAATGCACTCCCTTAACTCTTTCAGTGCCAAAGTCGTACATGTACAAAGTATATTTGTTAGTTCGAAGTGCCCACCTTGTACATGTACGAGGTAATGTTTGTACTTAAAATCGCCAAACCTTGTACATGTACGAGGTAGAGTAAGCATGTTATCACAAGGGGGCGCTCTCGCTCTTTCTAATAATATCATTTTCATTCAGGTACGACCTGTATTTGTTTGCTTTATTCGAGTTCTTGCGAGAGGGCGCAGCACTGACACTCGTATTTTCTGCAAAAAGTGCGGAATTCCCCTGTGTGCAGGACAGTGTTTCAGGGTGTAGCACTATCGTGACTACTATTGACTTTCCAATGTACCAAGGATATACCAGAGAGCAACAACAACAAATATAGTGAGTCAAACTTATTTACTTTTTTTTTTACAGAATTTTGAACAATTAGAAAAAACGCTCGAAGTTAGGCACTTTACATGCTTTAGGGTTAAACTTTTCAACTTTTGCGGGCACTGAAAGAGTTAAAATACCCATTTCTATGATTCCATAGAAACATTTAAAGGTGAAACAAATTATGTTTTTGTTAAAGAATTCCAGATGTTGAAAAGGGATTCTTTTAAAATCCTGAAATCAAAAAAAAAATCTTACACAAAAAAAGCTGAAATCAGGAAAATATGTATCATGGAGAAATTCACTACAAAATGTAAGATCCTAATATCTAACAGAACACTGGCTAGTTTTGGATCCTATAAATTTAGCAGGATAAGCATTGGTTAACTTAGGTTGTGCTATCCTTGCTCTTCAATAAATTCAATTTGTTTTTCTCTTACAAAAGTTTAAACTTGTATGTTTTATTCCAACCAATCGACCCCCTCCCCCCTTTTTGGGTGGTGAAAGGGGAGGGGGCGTCTTCAATCCTCTGGGAAAAAAGTTTTTATATTTTGAGCACAAAAAGATCTGCCTTGCAAGCAAACTGGCTTTTGGCCTGTCTATTATTGATATTGATTGTGGAGCGGGAACTAGCATATCCTACGAGAATGGAATTATTGTCAGGCTGCAAAGAATTTTGAAATTTGTAAGTAATGTTTCAATAACTAAACATGTCTCATTCAAAAGTCAACAACTTTTTTATTGCAATGAAAATAGCTATTTAGAAACTATTTTTTAAGATGAAAGTCGAAAATAGAATTGAGGAACGCAAGTTAAACATTGTCAAAACACTGAAGCTTTCGACAATGAACTTCCAGGTTATTTAAAAGTGTGAGCTGCAAATAATGTAATTTATATGGGGAAAAAATGATAACCTACCTTGTTAGTAGACTTAATGACAAGATGTACTGTCAACCCATCCTTAATTGCTGAAAGGAAAAGAAAAATCAATTTCATTTTCACAAAAATGAGTAACCGTCATATTTTCATTTCCAAGTGTTTATTGATGTCAACATATTGTTTGAATCAAAAGACTAAAATCAAACATGGCTTAACCGGCCAGTTGACCCCACCATCTCAGTGGTCGAGTGGTAAGACGTCTGCACTAGTAAGCCGGAGGTCAGAGGTTCGATTCCATCCCAAGTAAGCTTGATAGCGTCCTATATCACCACGGCGGCTTAAAGCCCCAGTCACACATTCACGGTTGGAGCTACGAATATCCTCGGTTTAACAAGGATCAATTGATCACGATGAACCGTCGAGATTTGTGGAGAAATCGACTTTCTAAAAATACACTTCAGTTTCAGGACGGATAGCCACGACTGTCATACGGTTTCTCTACGAATACACCATGGTTTGTCAAGAATATAGACGGATTGGTGAAGAATATCGAGGGTATTACTAAGAATAATGACGTTAACGCCACAGTTGTCTGCGATTGGGTCACGGATGACCAAGGTTCTCCTATGAATAAGCGTGGATATTCATCGTACAACCTTAGCAGAACCCTAGCACATCCGGGCATATCCGTAAGACATTCGTAGCGAATTCGTAGAGATTTCTTCCACGAATGAGCTACGAATCTCCAAGAATATGCACGAATAGCCACGAATAACACTACGAATAAGTACGGTTGTCCTACGGATGTCCCACGGTTGCACTAAGGATTAATTTTCATGACGGTTCACCAAGGAAGTTATGAACAGTTTCAAACTTCCGTAGCCTCTCAATGAATACCCAAGGAAGATGACTGATAGCCACGGATGTACTAAGGATGAATACGGTACTCCCACGATTTATTACGAATTTCAAACCGTGGAGATCTGTAGCTCCAAACCATGAATGTGTGACTAGGGCCTAACCATGCTTGCCAGAGGGATTGGGGCTAAATGCATTACAAGAATCAAATCCAAGTCTAGACTTCGACCAAGACAACAGTTAGACCAAGGCCATTTTCACTTGTCTTACAGTGTGTTTCTAAGGTTTCGGCATCTTTCAGAATCTTGCCAGCAAATATACAGCACAGCTGCTCTGGAGGTGCATTGAACTTCTTTGATATCTCTTCCTTGAACTGCAACAAAAACCAAAAAGGATAAAAATTAACTCTTAAACATGTGCTTTCGTCATCATTTCAAGGTCTATCACAATATACATGTATATGCATACAATTAACACTTGTGCAGGTAGGCCTACACGTAAAAGCAATGTTGAATGGAGACAGTGGATCTCTTCCTTCCATAATATAGCCTTAATGTAGGTTATGTAAGAACGCGTGTTCAAATACCCCAAGGAGGAAACATCACGTGTTACGTTGGGCGCCCTACACCAATCACCAAAATGAGACAACATCACGAGATTTGATTTGGCTTTGCCATCTACCGTACAGTACTAATTTGCAAGCCAAAATTGATCACAATCTTTCACCACAAAGCTTATTAAAGTGGGCCCAAAACAAGGCCTGAGTTATCAGAAACAAAACAAAAAGTTTGTAATCCAATGGAAACTAGGTCTACATATATATTTCGAAAAATAGAAAGAGATAATGTGGCATACATGTAACTTGTTTAAAAACACGCAAACGCAACGTCATTCCGTGAATAAGCACGTGCACTGCACGCAAATCCAGTCCCTGTAGACTTGCAGACAAGTCACTAGATTATCCGGGAATGGCTAGTCCAGGTCAGACGCTGTTGTGTACTTGCAACGGAGTCCAGGGTATGAATCTCTCCTGCCATAGCGAAAAAAAATTATAACACATTTTTTTTGCATTTTTTTACCTGACGGAGGAAGCTGAAATTTCGCTTAAATATTCCTTGTGTCCAGAATTGTGCATGCGCTGGGTTTAGGAACGGCAAATATGTCCGCGGACGGCATGTTTACCGAAAATAAACCGCAATTCCACGCTTTCGTTGAAAAGATTTTCACTACGAACTACCCGTGTTAGGATTACGTGCACGCATGCATGCACACCTAGCACGCTGCCGCCACGGCAGCAAACGGCACACGCGTGTACGTCTTCACGCGTAGAGTTCGTACTGAAAATGTTTTCAACGCAAGCGTAGAACTTGTGGTTTATTTTCGGTAAACACACCGCCCACACACATATTTGCCTAAAACCTGCGCATGCACAATTCTGGACACAAGGAATATGTAAGCAAAATTTCAGCTTCCTCCGTCAGGTAAAAATTATGAAAAAAATGTGTTATAATTTTTTTCGCTATGGTGGTAGAATTTATACCCAGGACGTCTTTCGTCTGGTGCGTTGTCGCGGAAAGCAAGACAACGAGAATGCTTTCCACGACAACGCACCAGACGAAAAATTGAACTCACTTGCGGTGCCTGAAAGCGGTGTGATATAACATCGCACGCGCAGATTTTTTTTCGATGTCATCACGTGAGGCATGCATTTACATAATTAACCAAACAAAACGGACGACAGCCGTTGGACCTGGATGTTTTTTTATGGACAAGCCACCGAAATCATCAAGATTTTTCACATTTGTTTTTTGTGTGGTCTGTTTCAAGTCGATCATTAGCTTCGTGAATGACTGCTGAATGTATGAGGTATGTAAATGACATCTGAGGTGGGATATTAGAGGTGAAAATCGACAATATTTGAGAGGCCATTATTTTAGGGTCTCTTGTTACCACACTCTCACGACTAGGTTATGTCTCCAGCGCTACATGTGAATGAATATGCGAAGTGGCTATCGTTACGGCACTCGTTGTTTAGCGCCCTCTACGATATTTTTTTGATACGCACGCAGGTATATAATTATTTGTTTCCCCACGTTTTATCGAGCAGTGCGCCAGCTCAGCCGATAGAGGGTAGGATTTTGCACCGCGAGGTTGCGGGTTCGAATCTCAGTTTTGCACTCGAATTTTTTTCCTTTTCTAACCTGAGGCTTTGGAGGATTTTTTTTAAAAGGGAAATAAAGTCCGAATTTCATAAAGTTCAAATTCACTTTTTTCCTTCTAATTTTATATTTTCTTGTCATGTTTTTTTATAAAAGTTGCCAGGTTGCAGTCTACCGTAACGATAGAAAATGGGAAATGCGTTACGGCTGCCGTAACAATAGCCACTGCGATGAATATGAGCATGTCAGCTGGAGTTACTCAAGCTAATTACGATCAATAACCATGAAAACATGTGGAAATTGCCCTATAATACCTTCTGATTAGCATAAACCCAAGAGCAATCGCGCAGCAACTTAGAAACAATGTTGTGCACTGTTGCGTGATGCGCACATTGATCCGTGCCAGTTCGTGTACGGTCCCAACTCCAATCTCCATCGTCACGATCGTCTGATCGTGGACACGCACACGATGCAAGTTATTGCTTATTCCGAGTTATGACTTAAACATATTATTTGATACTCACCAATTTTAAGGAAACACGTACACAGTCTTTATTAAACAACAGACAGATCATCAAACAATGGACACAGTGGGGAAGGGTTTAAATCCCTTTTCCGAGTTGTCCGAGATTTGGGCAAGTGCAATGTACCACCAGCAATATCTACGCACTCCTAGTCTCACTCTCACTAATATTTCTATTGAAAAATAAACAAGAGAATGAGAATAATATCCCACAAAACCGAGTGCATAATATTTTATTACCTCTTTTATCGTCGCAGTGGCTTCCACAGTGACGGTCTCTTTGTCTTTCGGTGTTTTTACAACAATATTTATCAACTTTCCAGTCTCGGGAACTGCAGTTTCTTCCGCCATCTTGAGCGATTTTATGCGTAATCATGCGCCAGTTAACTGGTTCCCAACTTGTCCTATCGTGGTTTTACATGGAATTACGGAACTCCGACGATCATCAGTGAATTATCCATTATCTCACCGTTATTTTTTAATAGCGCCACCAATATTTCATTTCCGCGCAACCTGTCGCAAGCTCTGCCTCTGGCCTGGCTCGGATTGTTCATGATCAATGTTACTATGTTTGAATGTTCCCTTGAATTTCAATTGGGAATTAGACTCGGTGTTTTTATCTTTTTTAAACCTTTAATTTCCAACTGCTGGCCACCAAAATAAAATTAATTCCTAGAAATATTCAACCACAACAAAATAGGCTATAACGGCCTCTGCGCCGAAAACTGAAAAAATATAATTAATGGTCCCAAATTGATTTCAAGGCTATGTTCCTTATTTTCACACACATCTCTCCCAACCATAGGTTTGCCACTTGTATGTGGGCCATAGTGACCGTTTTAGCCGATTTTCGGCTAACTTTGACAGATTTTTTTGTTGAAAAACGAGTTTGGCAGAAAATTTGACAGAATGGATTTTTTTGGCAGATTTCTGGCAGAATTCTGCAAAAATGGTTGACAGAAAAACAGCAAATTTGCAAAAAAATGGTACATTTGTTTACAAAAGCTTCAATCTTTTCAAACAAACCCTTGCAAATAGGACAAGTTGCCTGGTCTAGGTGCTGAGGTTCACTGGGAACCGGATTTCGTCTTGACGCAACCGCGTTTTGCCTGAAATTTATGCAATTTCATATTATCTTTATGTGGCTAAAGATTGTTTTATAATGTTATTTGAAAATTAATTAAGGCAATATTACAACATCTGCATGTGCTTTAAAGTGTTTATAGTGTATTTCAAGTAATTCTGGGGAATTTGACAGATTTTTGATATATCTGACAGATTTTTGAAGTGCATTTAGCAGAATTTAGTCATGACCTTACGGTCACCCTGATGTGGGCCCCAGCCTTTTTCGGCATTGGTATCGCTATAGCGGTGAGGTGATCGAACTTATGTGTCCTTGCACGGTGTCCTTGCACGAAGGAAACCTACGGATATACTTGTAGGCAAAATCGTGTTGCATGGATGCTTTTCCCGGAGCTAGAGACAAAATTTACTTTTGTACCGGGGGGGGGGGGGGGTGCTATGGAAAAAGAAAATACATCACATTAGCCGAAATAGTTTGTCTGGAGGGCAGTCATAATCTTTAATCGAGCTTGGCCTTTGATAAACATCGGGCCAAGTTAAATAAAGTCCGATCAAGGGTTGTACTTCAACTAAAAATACATGGTTATGGAATGTCATTATAACACTACTTGAACATTAGCACATTACTTATTTTTCCTTTAATTTCCATTCTTTCAGCTATAAGGCGTATTTTTTTTTCATAAAACCTTTCCTATGAAAATGAAGTTTTAAAGTGACACACAAAATAAGACGTTCCTTGGGGAAAATATTTACATGATTGTGCGTAACGTGCATTTTAATTAGTTACTGCTTATCTAGCCTTTCGCCAAGGCCATCGCGGCTTAACTTGCCGGCATTAGACAAAGCGGCGAAAAAGCGAGGCGACTGGAGCGGGAGACCACACATGCGAGTGGCGAAGCCACGAGGGCCTTTTCCAACTTGTCAAGAATTTCTTATGTTTTTCTGTATAATCTCGATTTTTGCTACCCCAATAGGGTAGCAAAATTCCAACCAATCATCAGCCTTTTAAGTGCGTGCGTGGCTACTACCCGGACGCGTCGACGCGCCCAGATGCTTGCACAACATTTAAAAACAAAAAATGCGAGTCTAGTTTGCCACGAGATCGTGACCGCGTAATTGTTCTTACATTATCTTATTTTAATTTTACTTATAAAAGTATTTCAAGAAATTATTTGTATATGAACTTATTTTTCATCTTAACTTCCTTACTCACTCTTCTTTCACAAATAGAAGCGACTAGGCAAAATCCGCGTTGTGATTGGTTAACCTTTCAGCACTCTTCTTATTTGCACAACAACAATGAATAATTCAACAAAATCAAGTTCGAAAAGGCCTCGTGGCTTTGCCACTCGTGCTTTTGGGCTTACGCAGCTCAGCCGCTCTAAGACACGATGGCCTTGGCGAAAGGCTACTGCTTATCCTACACATAATGACTTTTGCAGACAAAGAAATGGCGGTCTGTGGCTTTGGAACTTTTTAACTGAATGACGGCGATAAAAAAAAACCGATATCTGAATGGTTATATCTAAAATCTATTATTTCATCACCATTAAAAAAATATTATAATACACCTACCAAAAATGTTTTTAAAGCAACGAGGTCATTAACCTCTGCAGCCAATTAAAATCAAAGTTTACACTGTTTAAATTTTCTTGTACAATATACAGTAGCTGTTTGGTGATAATAAAATATACGTACGATATACACATAAACTATACTTTCATAATAATGTCTTTTCTGTATAATATAGCTGCAGATTTCAATTATGTCACATAAATGTGGACCCTGGTTTGGGTTGAATATAATAATAAGCGCAGGAAGGCTTAGTTTAAACTTTAAATGTGTATACTTATAAATGCAACCTGAATTTTAAAGAATGTTTTGTTACCATAGGCGATGACGTCAGCTGAGGTATCAGGTCATGTGTTGTAAAAAACAAATACGTCAAAATTATACCATGTGGGAAATTCGAAAATCAACAACACAGTCAGGCATTGGACAATCATTAATAGGGTCACCGTGATTTGAACATGTTTGTCCGCCGAGCATGCAGCGCGGCCAACCGGCGACTGAGTGGAGTCTATACACAGTTCACTAGACGTTTGTTGTCTCCGCTTGAATTCAGTTTTTGCAGGGCACACTGCCGGGTTCCTGCCCCTGTTAGGAGTAGTAATGTGCGGACCGGGAACCAGATTACTGCCTCAATGGTCTCACCATTGAAGGGGGTCTCTCATCAGTAAAGGCTCGGATTAGGTCTTAACTTACGGACCGTGCCCAACAACTACTTATAATATAGCATTCTTGCCTTACCAAGAACGACAAGAAACAGCATTTATATTGGGCCCCAATACATAATTATTGATAAGAACAGAAAGATTACTTTTCTGTAAACTAAATTAGGGATGAGAAACACTTTTCTTATAGAAGTTGTGTCCTTAGGCTTCGACTGTACATAATAAATAGGGAAAATGCATAAGTGAAAATACAAACTAAATCTGATATTAACAAAGTCTACAAGTTTAGTCATGGACGACAACAGCACACACATTATAATGGGAACTATACCTGGAAATATTTGTGTTATGAACGTTTACATACAGTATTTTTGAGACCATAGAATTTATTCGCCTGAAACATTCCGACAGTATACAAATTAGTCCCATAAATTTTGAATATGACGGGAATGAAAAAAAGAAAAGATTAGACAGGTAATCTCATGGATCGGATATTAAAGGCACGCGTCATATAGGATCTTGCTGTTCATGCATTTTGTTCGGTTCTTATAATAACCCCTTTTCAAAATCCAACGGAGAGTGTTATAAAACCTCACTTGTTGAAGTTTCAGCTCAGTTGGTATATACACTACTGTGTGGTTTCATTTGCTGAAGAATTGGAGGAAAAACGATTATCTAAACTTACATATAAGAATTGTTTTCCTGATTTGTTCAGTCATCATTTGTTTACTAATTCAACAATGTACCAAATCTCACTCTTTAAAACATTGCCCTGTCTTCGTCCGTGTCGTGTGTTTCTACTTTAAGTCTTGTCCTGCTCTAAAGAGAAGGGTACGAAAGCTCTGCTTCAGCTTTTCCTTCATGTTGACATCATTTTTACGTTTATGGTTAATTCTTGTGCTTTTGTAAATTTGATTACAAAATGTGTACAAAATTACCTTTTGTATATTATCACTGTCGTACTGTCATCCAGGATGTCAATTTGTTTATGCGAATCATTAATATATTTATGAGATACATTTTTAGAATTTGGCCTATATTACTTTCAAACAGTTGGGGGAAAAACATCTCCACACCGCCTCTATACTGTCCCACGGCACCACCCAACCGCCAAGCAGATCACGGGACAAACTGTGGTGTCTCATGCTCCTGCGCGTAGCCGATCCAGTACCCGAAGTTGAAGATGATGAAGGCCAGCGGGAATGCCCATCGGCAGATGCCGTCGATCCGCTTGCCCGTGTCCAGGAAGGGCTGCTTGCGCTTGGCGCCGCACGTGCCGCTGACGCAGACCACACGGGAGGATGGGTTCACTGTCTCACCGTTCACTGTCACCTGCACTCGGTAAGGTAACACCAAGTACAAAGTGGAAGAAAATATGATTTGGTGGTGTCACAATAGCCCGTTTTAAAATCCGTTTTCAATCCTCTAACATCTAGTTTTATAGGCGTCCCGTGTCGTGCCAAACCAAATAGTCTTAAAAATGAATCACAAAACGGGATGAAAACGCTCACAATCATGACAATCGAAAGCGACTTCACAAGTTCGAACATAATCACGCTTCCGCCATAGGCATGCGCAGCCTCGATCTGGCAAGTTTACACAATGAAAATAGCCGGTTCAGTGATTCCCGAGTCGGGGTTTAGATCACAAAACCGGCTATTTTCATTGTATAAACTCAGTGCCAGATCGAGGCTCTGCATGCCTATGGCGGAGCTTGAACAGAGCGAATACGCACGTGCTTGCATGTGCACGTTGATGCCTCCACGTCGTAAGTCCAAAATCAATCAGGGGTCAAGATTCAGTGTAATAAGATTTCTCTTTGTCACTGGAATACAAACCTGTCTTTGGGTGTGGTCAGCCATTGTCTCCATCTCAAAGTGGGCGTGGTTCACGTACGCCCCCTGTTCTTCAACCACATCATCTTGCTCGGATTCCGTCAGTTTGTCCACTGAGATGACTTCGTTTGAATTGGTGTCGCTTGGTGGCGCCTGTTTGGATGTGTTGCCGCTGAGGGCGCGCCTGATGGTGGTAGGTTTGTTCTCTATCGTGAGGACGATGCAGTTTTTGTCGCCTCCCTCAGTCTGCTTGCGTGTTGTAGGGGATGGAGGTGCGCCCTCTACTGATTGTTTCCGCTTTTGGATAATCATTTTAAAAGTAATAAACATAAATCTCTTTTTGGTTAATGTTAGTGAAAAGTGCACATCTATGAAACACTTTAAACAAGTCATTGTCCATGCTTTTCCGGACAACTGAGGGCACATCAGAAATTGCTCATTGAAAACATTTGTGAGAAAAGGGTTACTGCCGTGTACTGATACAATAACGAATCACCAAAGAAAACAAAATCTCTGACAGCAAAGAATCCAAAAGTCTGGCAACTGTTGGTGCTGAAATCGCTGTAACATTGAGGTTTCTGCCTGAAATGGCATCACACTTTTTCTCACGAATATTGAAATTCACATTAGCATAAAAACCCAAAACGGCACCAAAATACCCTTGAAAATGGCAAACAACAATTGAATTGAAGGTTACATGGGCCACAAAGGTGCATTTTCAAGGATTGCATAAAAAATACATTGCGTTGGCCCTTAAAAAAGGTTGTTCAGGAGAGCTGGCATGCGTAAGAGATAGGTGAATTTATACGAGTTGAAAGAGGGTATCATGTGGCTTTTTTAACGCGAGGTAAAAATAACGTGACTCGGAGCAATAATGATGATTCAAGACCACCTCAAAGCTTTCAATTGAAATCTTTGACCGTCCTGCATGGTTTAATCATGTACAGTAGGCCTACCTTAAGTGAGCTGATGCGGTCTTTGATGTTGATGCTGGGTTTATGGTCCACTAGGTAATGCACCAGAGCAAACTCCATCAGAGCACCAATGACGAAAAGCAGGCAGAAAGCGAACCACACGTCGATGGCCTATAATGTAAAGATACATTGCGGATACAATCTTCAAACTCCCGGGTCATATTTTACCTGATACACTCTAGGGTCAAAATGACACTTTGGGGGCAAGAAAATAATGACAATTCTCTGAATCATTGGAAAGGGCCGTAGTTTCCGGGTCAAAATGACCCGGAAACCTCGGCCCTTTTGACCCAGAAATGTGTACAATCGGACCAAGGACTTTATCTTTAAGAGTGTAATATGTGATTTGGAAATTAACAGGTCGTTTATGGCAGAATTAGGGATCAATGATCGAACTATACGAAAAACATGCGGTTATACTTTATAGTTCGCAATTACAGAAGATATTCTAAACAGTTACAAAATTGGGGTTCGTCTTAAAACGTTTTGAATTAGCAACATGCTCAGCATGAAACCAATGGCCTGTTTAATGGGGACCCAACAGCCAATCTACAGATCGATTAGAGCAGGATCGAACTGCGCCATACAATTTTACACTGGGCTTCTATATTACCTTGATGTACGAAACTGGCGGCAGGTTCTGTCTGACCCCGTTGGTGGTGGTGATCATGGTCAGAACCGTGGTCACACCCAGTGCCACACGGGCCGGGGATCCCTTGATCTGTATCCAGAAGGAGACCCATGACATGACCACCAACAGGACGCTGGGGACATAGGTCTGCAGCATGTAGTAGCCAATCTTACGGCTGAAGATGAGTCTAAGGCCGATGCAGGAGTAGTTTCCTGTTGCATGCAAATGTAATGGCGAGAAACAATGCCATCGTTGATTATCGCCAGCAGTATCACCTTGTACTTCTATTATTGCTCTTCACAACTTGTTTGGTTTTGTTGAATGCGTGGGGTAAACCCATGGGCTATGAAGCCCGGGAAGGGACAGTCCCTTCCCGGGATTCATAATGGGCGCAAAGGGCAATAACATAATTTATTTGCGTATACACTGTAAAATCACCGAACAGTGAAACGTGCACCCAGCTTTATACTACAGCGCGTCCCAAAATACCCGCAACATTTTTTTGCGAGGATCTAGCGTCGGCGCAGAAACACGTACACTATTTTAAAGCTTGGAATCTGAATTTTATACCTGGCGAGAAGTGGTTTGATATTTAAAAGAGTTTTTAAATTATTCGTGTTCAAGTAAAGCCATGTCGAAAACAAACTCAACCGATTTCAAGGAAAATCGATTATGCGGTACATCAAATGTAAACTCGAGTCAACAAGCTGTTGAAGCAACAAAAACCAGTTGATATGTGACACATTAAACTTGAAACGAAGAACAATATTGTGAATTTATTTAAGGTGTGGTCTACGTGGATCGAAAAGAAATGGAAACACAGAAAGTAAAAGGCAACGAGATCGTCACATCATCAACATGAAGCATTTCCACATTAGAAACAATGCGCATGATTGATTTTCCATGAAATCAGTTGCGTTTGTTTTTGACATGGCTTTATTTGAACAGGAAATATTTCAGAACCCTTTTAAACATCAAACCAATACTTACCAGGAATAAACTTAAGATTCTAAGCTTTAACATGATATAAAAATTATGGCGATACGTGTTTCCGCGACGACGCTAGAGCCTCGCAAAAAAAAAATGTTGCGGGTATTTTGGGATGCGCCGTACACGTCAGCTGGGTGCATGCATGAGGTTGACTGTTTACTAGTTTAATCTAACTGGAGTGTTTACAGAGTGTAGGCCTACATCAAAACCGACATTGCTTTAATTAATGCTTGAATCTTGACAATATTATGTCCATCTCATGCTCCAAAGTGTTGCTCATCCATTGCCTGTCTTATCTGTATTGTGGTCATAATAGATTGTAATGAGCCACAAATTAAATATTTTGTTTCGCAAATACGGTGGTCCAGACTAACCCCAAAGTCTATAGACAAACTCCTGGGTCAGATTGACCCGCAATCTGAATCCAAATATGTTCAGTCCTTTGCCGGGTCAAAGGCACTTTTCTGGGTCAAAATGTCATTTTTGACCCTGAAAGAGGTCACTTGTAAGGACTGATATAAAAAATGTGGATTCAGATTCCGAGTATATCTTACCCAGATTTTTTTTTTTAGAATGCAAGACCCCCTCACACCTTTGTGTAAACGCCTGCATTCATAAACACTTTGATTGCACATTTTGAGATTGTGTTGGTTTAAGTTTTGCTCTTTTAAAACCTCAGCCATGACAAAACATAATACCAGCAGCTCGATGAAAAGCAAACGATCGAACTAGCATGTTGGGTCAAGCAGATGCAAGTAACTTCTTCGCCGAGCGCGGCAAGGTTTATTTAAAGACGTTCAATATCAACCTCGTCGCCAGGGTACACACCACCATATGGTGGCGCTGTTGTCTGTTCTGCAGTTGAAGGAATGAGTATTGGCCTTTTAGATTAAAATGGTTCAGCGCGAAAATTCTGATTTTTCTTTGGAACACTTTTTGTGCAACTTTATATCCTTCAAGTACAGTTGAAATGAAGGAGACTGGCAGCGAATTTAAAAATAATAATTAAAAAGTTTTTAAAAATGGGACATGAACTTGCCCTAATTATGTTGCATTAAATCGACCTTAGGCTAATTACGGCGGTATTGCAAAAGTAGGGCACTGACAATCTGCATTGATAGTTGAGAATTAATTTATATAAAATAATGGGTCTGTGTGGAGTGATTTCGGTCTTCCCACGCTGTCAATGGGCAGGACTTAATTGATTTGTTTTATTGTCCAACGGTTTTTGTTGTTGTAATTACTCGTCCAGACAGACTTTCAGAGAACTCCAGGTGTATACTCTTCTGGTGGGCGTATGTATTGTAATTATTTAGGGACAACCTATTACGCTGCTTGATTGTTAATTTAATCAGCCATGCCTGAAGTGCAGTGTTGCAATAACGACCTCTCTCTTGGGATTTTTATATCGTGTATCTCAATCATTTACGTCTCAGTAGACAAAGCGAAAATAATTTGCCTCCGTGACAAACTGTAGTTGCGCGCTTGTCGAGAAGCAACTGTTTTGGACCGCGCCGTGGTGAAGCGGGAAGTTGGCCTCATAAGAAAGGTATATTATATGGGCCGGCCTCATAAAAACAACTATAGGCCTAAGGGTTTCCTCGGAAGAAATGGTGCGAGTATATGCGGCTTGGAGCTCATGTTTTGAAACACGATTATTCTAAGCTGCTTCATACGTTTCATACATCGCTATATTACAGTATGTGATTTGCCTATACATCTCACCATTTGGACATGATTGTGATGCACATAGTCGATATGTGCCCAATAATAACCTTACAATGAGCATGTAGGCATACTCGACACAACATTTTCAAAGTGCGTCTCACATACTCGAATCATTTCTCATGGTCTCAGACCCTAGAAACGAATTTCCGAAACTGCAATTCTTTCAATTTCGCCGCCTAAACCCTGAAGACGAAATCCAACACTAACTACCCGTAACAAAACTAGAGTTCACTGCGCGTTCGTCCTGGGTACCCCAAGATGGCGATAGGTTGCTTCAAAGCGCTGGCATTGTCAGCGTGTCCAATTAGTTTAGCGTGTTAATTAGTTTGGTATACGAGCGAATACATGTATAAACCTACCTGTGCGCAGGACTCGCGAGCACGTGTGCACATTGCTACCGTCCAGGTTATACTGCGGCAGTTTGAGGTGATTGTGATGGTATTCCACTGGCATTTCTATATCCCAATGGTAGATTAGGTCGTCTGTGGTGTACTCAACTGCAAATGAAACAATTAGCAGGGTTTTTTGGTTAACCAAAAACGAATTAGACTTGATTAGTATTTTCAATGAAACATAATATTTCATTCCATCAACAGCTATACCATTTGGTAACCCGCCCAATATGTGTCTCAATGGCAAAAATATGTATATATAAAACCATAATGTGTACATTATTATATACCGATATCAAGCACATGAAGAGTTATTTGCAAAACGCGATTGGCCTAGGGCCTATATCAATTTGAAAAAAGTGAAAATTTGCGCGGTTATGAAACTTCATAAAGAATCGAAACATTATACCAGCTGTTTCGGGACTTCTTTTTTTCGCTTTATTGTATTCTTAACTTGTGTTTAACTATAACAACCATCCAAACAAGGAGGGCGCGCAAGTTGTAAAATGGAACAAAATGGCGTATATCGCGCATTGGAAATAAACTCCTCATATTTTGATATCAACTGCAGTGCAGCCTAAAACACAGCGATATAAGTCTGTATAATTGTATCCTGCATGATCGAGAATCAGTTATTGTTAAAACATTAGAGGATATGTAAGATCTGAATGTTAACATGTACTCCCAACAATAGGCCACGAACGGTGTCACTGTTTCTTGTTATTTCTGTCGAAAATGAAAACTAAAAAAAAAAAGATTGTCAACTAACAGCCTTCAAGTTCGATTTCGCAGCCCTGACTGTCCATGGGGAAACGATGGAAATCCATGGAGCACGATAACTGCAAGGCCAGCCTGGTTGAAAAGAATGAAATGGAAAGCAGTGAATGAATCAATAAACAAATCCAAGATTGCAAGCAGCCGACAATTGCCAGGATTTCAATGGAAAAGATTGGATACTTGTACTAAGTGAAATGATCAAAGCGTTTTCAAGATGTCAAATGATTGTTCACTAAATCAGGTTTCCTCTCATTTTCATTTGAAAACCTCGTATAGCTTTACATAAGATTTATTGAGAGCGGATGACATGACTTATGCACATGGGCGTCGCCGGGAATTTTTTCTAGAGCGGGGGGCAAAGCTCTCAAAATCCGTGTACTTTCTCTAGCATATTATTCTCAACTTATCATTTTTTTCGAGGGTGGGCGGGGAACATTTGCCCACCCCACCCCCATTGACACCCCAGCGGACGCCCATGTTGTTAAATGTGCATTAAATTAACAGCAATATGACTTCTCACCTCGTCTTATTTTTCCCCCTCCTTCCCCCCCTTTTCCATGTGTTGGGGGTGGGTGGGGGTGGGGGGAGCGCCCCCTTGTCCCCCACCCCCTCGCGACAACCATGTTAAGGTTGCCAGATACAATATCATTGTCACTGACCCAAACAGTCGCTATATATAGCAGACAAGTAAATATCATTGTTATCACTGAACCGAATCAAGTACAATATAATATATCAATATGTCATGGATGACCAGAACTAGAAAAAAAATAGTCATATACAAACTATACACATCCACGCCATAGACAATTGCGCAGTTTCCCGTGCATAATTGGTATAGATGGTCTATAGGCCAAGTTGGAAGCCATATATATTTGCATCCATTTTTATCTAATCTTTGATACCAAGGTTCCCTTCCAGGTTGTGTAAAAAAAATAAGGTTCACCTCGCAATTTTAAGCAATTCCATTACCCACTGTGTAACCTTATACACAGCTGCAAATATCGGTTTCTATGGTATTTTTCTTTTATAATCGCTATAATTTTGTAAGTCACGGGGAGTGCCAGGAGTTCTGCTGACGAGTAGCACAGCCGAAACCATTCACAGACCTTGCGATGACCTGTAGTTTTTCTTACTCAACTTTTTAAAGATGTATACTGTCAATGCCGTATTCGACTTTCATCCCGAAAGATAGATTAAAACAAAAATCGGCCCATGTTTAGTAATGGAATGATTTCGTTACACGGTTCGTTTTATTTGTGACACAACAACTCAGTACTTGGAGTATCAGACATTCGCGTGTGCAGAGCCACACGACGAACGTCTGATATATCCCAGCATGCACATTTTATGTGACCCTGCGCGCCAACCAATCGGAATCAACTTTAGAAATTGTGACGTCAGTTCGATCAGAAATGTGATGTGGACTAAGCTGTAGATTGGTCAATTTGGCTAGGCTACCTTGTTTTTGTCATACAATAACGGGTCAAGGAAGACCCGATAAAGAAGGCGCCTGGGTCAGAATCTGGAGATCAAGACGCCGAATCTGCTCCCATTACCAAACAGCCTTTGCTGTGCAAGGGGGTATTCCATAGACACTTGTCCCCTTCGAAAATCACATTTAATCTACTAACCTACAGACGTAAAGTACAGTCCCATCTTCATCAATGTCTACCACGCGATTCAGGAAAGTCACGTCTTTGAACTCGGCAAACTTTGCATTGGTGACGATGAGGTCTGGTACCCAGAGGTGGTCTACGTAGTGGGAGGTGGGCGGCAGGGGCACGTCGCCAGGGTGGCGCAGGCGAGGGTCGTTCCATTGCTGACGGAGGTAGATCGTCACGCCGTACTCCTACAAAGTAATTGAAAGTAGAAAGATAAGAAGAGGGGCTTTTCGTCCAAAGTTTTTCAAAATTTTGATTTTCTTTTCCGAACGAAAGGAATATTATGTCCTGTAACAAATAAATTTGGTTGTTTGTTTTTGCAGGCCTTTATACAGTTTTAAAAAGTGGTTTTAACTGGCGCGCTCCAGATCAGAAGTTGCGCACAAACGGAACGAATTAGGAGCGTCCCCCTCTTAATTCAAGAGTTGAAATTAATAATTGAATAATTGTTGTGGGCCGATTTTTTTTCGTGCGATGTCTCATTGGAAAGCTCATAACTAATGTAATGCTGGAAAATTATCAATTCAATTTGAAAATCTATTTGTGCCACAAGGTGCCACATCCAAAAAGCACGTATATACACCAACTTTAAAGGGATTGTGGCTAATAACTTAAACTCAGAGAATTATTAAAAGATTATTTAACCTGTTTGTAATTTTTAAAAACTCTGGACTTATCTTTAAAAAAGATATAAAATATATATTTAAAAAATTATATATACAAATATGTACGCCCTATTTTGTTAATGCGGTTAGGTTTCAATGATATTTCATCGTATGACCGTAGGTCCTATTTCCTAAAGGTCTTTCGATATCCAAATATTTACATAATACATGTAGGCCTACTAGCTAAATTTCCATCAAACAGTCATCATGCAAACAAGATGAGAAAAAAAAATGTTCGCATGATATTTAAAGGGAATATACATCATTTGCTTTTGCTGTAATTTTCAGAAATGGATGGAATTGGGGGGGTTGGAAATATAAAGCAAATATAGTTACACTGACTTTTTGGAGGTTTTGGGTTCGAAAATGCTATAAAAACCAAGAAAAACGATCATTTCCTGTAGTCTGGTTCCCTGACTCCATATAAGAAGAAACAGAGCAGTTTACATACATTGGGGAATTGTAAGGTCAGGGAACCAGTCTAGCTTGCTCGTACCCGTTCATAGGTTTGTAATCGATTGCAAACAAGTGCAATGGTCAATTGGGGCCAGTATTTGAAAAAAAAGCCAGTTGTTTCCAACGCTGGTCGGCCGATCAGCGTTGGAAATTGATACAAAAATACCACTTTTCTTGAAAATGACAGTATACCAGGTGCCATAATTTTACAGGATGCTTTAGACTGTCATTTACCAACATCCTATTAAGGTAATTCGCAAAAACTTGGTAGTTTTATTTTTCGATGTTTGCAAATGTTGTATATTCCCTTTAAGTACATGGCACTTTGATGGATTATCCAGTTAGTTGGTATGTTGGTCGTGATACTGTCATACCTGCGCACAATATAAAGGCTAACGGTATTCGAACCGTAACGGTAGTTTGCTTTTATTTGGGAAAGTACAACTCACACCAACCTCGCTCCCAGTGTCTACCTTCAATCTCGAGACAATAGTATAAACCCTGGGAGGGAAACGTGTGTCCTGTATTTCGCGATTGAAAGCAATGTATGCGTATCTTGTGCTCAGAGATTCTATTTCCATTGCGTATTACGTGCTTTGGCATTCATTACGAATTAAAAAACAATCCACCCTTTTCTATTTTGCTTATAATCATGTGTACATTATGTCCCGAAAAAAAGTGTTTGTCTGACTGTTTGAAATAACTACAGATACTCCGAAGCCTTGGCCTCAACCCCTATGAGTTTCATTTCATTTCAGTCACGCATCGCTGCACAATTGCCAATTGATGACAGTAAAATGTTTGGACACTGCGACCAAATTCCTTGCCTTATTCAACTGCAGTACTGTATTAAAGGGAATATACATCATTTGCTTTTGCTGTAATTTTCAGAAATTTTCAGTAGCTGTGTAAAATCCTTCATGTTGGGAAAAGGGCTGCAGTTGGGATTGGAATCATTTGCCTGGCTATCAGTCATCATGGCAAGACATCAGCTTAATGCTCAAGGGCAAATGATTCCAATCCCAAACCACATCAGCCTTTTTTTCTCAACGTGCAGGATTTTACACAGATTACATAACACAGCATTGAAATTGATCAAGGCACGCATAGAACTTGGTCACAGTGTCCACAAATGCTGTTGTGCTCAATTGACAATTGTGCACTGATGCGTGACTGAAATTAAATGAAACTCAGAGGGGTTGAGGCCAAGGTCAGGAGTACATGCACATCCAAACATTTCAAAATTGACCTCATGGTTTTGTGGTTATTTCATTAACAGTCAGACGGACACTTTTTGGGGACATATTGTATAGTCCTACTGCATGATTATGTACGATTATAACTTACAACTTCAAAAGTTGATTTCAAGCATGGCCAAGCTTAAGACTATTCTGTACCTCAAATGTTCAAGATTTTTGAACGTGCAAATGATCCAGTATACCAGGGGTGAGACAGCAGCTAATGGGAGCGTACTGCTCGACGCCACGTGGACGAGGTTAAATTCCTACAGTTTATACAAAAATAAAATGTGTAACCAGTGTGGCAATTTAGCTGCGGCTTAAAATTGGCTAGTAGCCTTCTAGTGAATGATGCCAGTAATCAAAAATGTCAAAAATGCACTTGGCGTCGTCCTTCAAGCAAAAAAAAAAAAAAAAAAAAAAAAAAAAAAAAAAACCAAACCAACGTATAATCCCCAAAGGCTAAAAGTCTGCCGATAGTAATAACCTTATAGGCTCATTGCACACCTAATGTTCCTTGTCTTTTTTTCACGAAAAAAAACCAACCCAATAATAATTTACCGGCTATCTCACTGAATATGGCTTATTACAAAACCATTGGCAACGTATCTTCTTTGTAAATATATCTCCAAATTCTTTATTTTTCCTTGATTCTTTTCTTTGAGCCGGGAATATTATCAATCATTAATGCAGAATTATTATACATGTAGATGACAATTCGTCTAACCGTGTACTATAAAGGGTCTGGCCAAAAATGCACTTGGCGTCGTCCTTCAAGCAAACAAAAAATAAAAATAAATAATAAAGTAAAAACAACAACAAAAACCAACGTATAATCCCAAAGGCTAAAAGTCTGCCGATAACCTTATAGGTTCATTGCACACCTAATGTTCCTTGTCTTTTTTCAAGAAAAAAAAACACAATAATAATTTACTGGCTATCTCACTGAATTACGAAACCATTGGCAACGTATGTTCTTTGTAAATATATCTCCTATTTCTTTATTTTTCCATGAATCTTTGTAAAACAGGAATATCATCAATCATTAATGCAGAGTTATTATAGATGGCAATTCGTATAACCATGTACTATAAAGGGTTGGGCCATCTAACAACAAATGGCCTATGACAGCAGCCGGAAATATGATAACGTCTTTCTTCTTGCAAATGTTTCTTCTTTATTTTTCCTTGATTTCTTTTCTTTAAACCAGGAATCTCATCAATCATTGATGCGAAGTTATTACTTGGCAATTTGTCTGACAAAGTACTGTACACTAACTAAGCAAACGTACCATGCCCGCTTCGTTTATGTTGTCGAAGCTAGCCAGGTAGATATCCACCTTCACGTCCACAGGCCGACCAGCTTGGGAAGGGAATTGCAAAGGTAACGAAAGTCATTATAATAATGGCAACTATTCAGAGCGGTTGCAGGCATCAGATAAGATGTTACACAGCATGTCATTTCATCGTTGATATTACAGTGTAAATTATTGTCGGGGAAGATGAATTTGAAATGAGTAGCCGAGGCCATGTGGCAGGTTCTGGTTTGTTTTGTGGAGCCTTTTAAAATGCTTTATTTTAAAATGTTGTCACAATTTCCTGGCTGTTCAATTTACACAGCAGATTCATGTTCATATAAAGTGTCATTAATATTCTCAAAAACACAGACGCTCAAGGTACGAGGCGTCAATTATTTACCTTCGCGTATCAGACCGACATGTAAAATGCACAGGTGGTGCAGAAAGAAGGAAACACACTTTGACAGGAATTATAAACTTACTTAATTATTTAAACTGGTTTTTTTTTTATAATAAAGTGAAGTATAGCTCTTCAGCCATACATGGTGACAAAAAGCTTTTTAAAAAATCGCAAGAATAGTGTTATTATGCTAATTTGAATACAAGTCACCAAAATCACTGTTGTCCACGTGTATAAGTCTAGTTTAGTGGGTTTTTTTGTATTAAAATTAAGCTCCGGCGCTAGCTCAGTCAAGCGGTTGCAATAAAGCCGTCCGTGGACAAAGAGGTTTGGCACATAGAAAGTTCATATCTCAGAGACAAAATATGCATTTGCAATCATTTTTTCGTCACTTAGGCCTATATTTCAAGATCAATATTTTAATACCATTAAATTGAGTTTTTGAAATATGCTCAACGAGTAGGTGAAAATTGCTGTCAAAAGTGGGTTTCCTTTGGGGGGGGGGGCGCCACACTGTGTTATGTATTCTCGGGACTAAGCTCCACCCATGCAGTGGCGTATTAGGCGGGGTGTCGTTGAGGTTTTTTGGGAGGACCCGCCCTGGCTCGAAAACCGTGGCTCTCCCTTGTATCCCCCCTCCCCCGTTCAGATTATTGCTTTATTATCAAAGAAAACTGCATTAAATTTTCACATTTTGTTTCAAACGGAAACAAAGGTGTAGTCAACCAGATTTTATTTGCGATTATACAACATTTTACTGTTTCCATACAAATTGACAGTAGTTTAAACGAAATAATTTCGAAAGTTGGTACCAGTACTCTTCTTTTTCGATCAGTTTTTTTTAATCGCATAATGGAAAAAGTGTGTGACTCTATCAGAGAAAGGATTAGCTGTTATAGTGATGGACTTAGAATTCTTGAAATTAACGTCTAAATGTCAGTTGGGTTATGAACAGTCTTCCCTGCATGGGCTTGGCAGTGCGTTTTTCCCCTGATTTTGTTTTGCAAAACCAGTTTAATCTGTCACTAAGCCAAAAATAAACCGCCGATCGATCGTCGTCATCGCGACCACCGAGACAGTCGAGGTCTAAATCATTCAGCTCATTATTTTTTAGACAAACATAATAGGCCGACATCCTCAATGTTCTGAGCTATCAAGGTTGATAAGGGGCCGATAATGAAAATAGATGTATTGCTCCGCGCATCCACAAATTGTGCACGTGGAGCTGACGACACAATAATCATTCTGAGTCATCAAATGGGGCCAGACTATTTAGCTCAAAATCCAAGATAATTTTGGATGAGTCTTTTCATACTTCCCTTGAGCTAAGGACTTAACCCATCTCTCAGCCGGGGGGCGGATTCCGCCCCCCCCCAAGATCTCGGCCATCGAGTGACGAAACATTTTGAAACTCGGTACATGCATAGAGCAACTCATCACGAACATACCCGAGAAATTTCATGACTATAGGTCAAAGGGTTTTGGAATTATGGCTAATTAATATTTATTATGTACGAATGGTAATTGTGCTCTGTGTACACGACGGTACATGTATATGGGAAAGTTCAGTTTTCACGGCGTGTAGGTCCGATTTTTATATTTTTGGTATCAAAAGATGCGCATTAAGGCTCGAGGCTAAAAAGTCATAACAGCTCGGGTCGCGAAAACAAATGTCACGGCTATCGCGGAAAAAGTTGGGGGGCGGATTCCGCCCCGGCCCTTTTAGGGTTAAATCGTTGACTCAAACTTGTTCTGGTCGGGAAATTTCCCCATAATAAACTTCATCACATATTGCGTCACTGCACCCTTTTCCCCTCATGATATTTGTCGTGTGGTTATGTTTAAAGGTGTGTGTCTAAATTTAGCGGTTTTTAAAATATATTTTTTAGAGAAATGTTGAAAAGCCCGTTTGTTTACGTCTGACGCGGGAGTCGCTTTTTGTCTGCTTTTTCCATGGGAGAAAACTTCGCTATCCTGACACCATCTCCAATGAAATATTGGTCTTGACATGATTGAGATCAAGCAGCTCATGAAGGATAAGGCTATATGTGGCATAACTTTGTCAATGCTAGCTGCTTCTGCCATTCCATTTAATGAAACGGATGATGGTGATGATGATGATTATTATTATACGTGTTTCCAGCAGTTAAACAAGGCATCGAATCATGAACCGCTTATTAAAAAAATTAGAAGAGAGACACAGAAAGATCAAATATCAAAGAGTTTTGAATAAAAACTACCTCTCATATGCAGTAGAGACCTGCAAACTATGACAGTGTTCACATGCTTTTCGAGCAACGCTTTAAAAAAAAGAAAAAAACCCTGGAATTGCGATTAGCGCTCCAAATGAGCTAGATTTTTGAGGATTCATTATTTTGTACACAGAAACCATGACTTTTCAAAGTGTAGTTGTGTGAACCAATATATTTTGAATATTTCCAACATTTCGTTTGAAACGCGTCAGAACCATAGAGCTATATTAAATTTAATATAGCTCTATGGTTAGAGCCCACTCTGGACGAAAGATCTCCTGTAAAAATTGAAAGTTCCAGCAAAGTCGAGGAATGGCGTATTGTCCTAAGCCTTGTGTAAATATCCCTGAAAGCTTTGCGAGTGATCGTCAATAACGTGGCGCAGATTGCCCGCACGACTTGTATTCAGTTTTTCGTAACGTGCACCGTGCTGTCTTTATCATTCTGATACATGCATGTCGTTCTTCAGACAATTCCTCTATAGCCAAATCCTTTTTTTTCCTCTGGATTATTTTCCATGGACTAGGTCCCTACCGGCGGGGGTTGGGGGGGGGTTGAAGCAAAAGTCGATTTGTGTGCTCATTTCACGGTTAGGTTGGTCCAGGCGCGGATCGCGGGGGGGGGGGGATCGAAACCCCTCCTCCAACTCCGCTCAAATGTTTTGTTTCACAGAAACCCCCCCCCCCCGCTCTGACACCCCCCCCCCAAAAAAAAATTATGACAATTATACCGGTAATAATGTCCGCCTGTGCACAACATTCGGACTGAGCCAGCTGTGGTACGGAGGTATTTGTACATAGTCTGTAATAAAGACTAGTGTTCATGATCGTCGGATTTGAACAGCGCTCTCATTGAAAGTATGCTACGAGGCCCCCCCCCCCGCCCCCACATATTGATTTTACGGAGGCCAAGTGTTCGGAGAAAATAAAACTGTCTGCATTTCAGCATTGATTTGATGATGTATAACCAATAACCCCCCCCCCCCCCCGCCGCAAAAATTCCTGGATCCGCCCCTGTGGTCAATTAAGAACTGGACTACATAGTTTTTCCCTCCCCCAATTAAAATTGTCCATTTTATTACTATCATTAATGAGGGTATTCCGATTCCGCATAAAAACAAAAAGCTTTCCAAAGCTCAACATAAAATGACATTCGGAATGACCGTCATTGAACAGGGTTTTTACGTAGGGCTTATTTACAACTCGAAAGAGTCCGTTCTGCAATTCAGCCCAGCTTTGAGTCTCCCAGGAGCAAATAGTCTGGTGTGGTCACTTTGATACGCTGGATTGAATGGGAATTTGTGCCCACCGTTTGAGAGAAAACATCCACGACCGTCGAAGTGGCGATCCATTAAATACAGGCAGACAATCGAATCAACTAGGCCTGCCAAATGCAGGCGGACAATAGTCCTTACAAAAATCGAGGGCTACATTTTCTATTGTCTGCCTGCAATTTGTATCAACCTTGAACCGCATCCCTCTGTCATATTGTGGTCCTTTCGTGTCGGGTTGTTTAGAAACTATTGTGATTGCTATTCGAACACGTAAAATGTGAACCTTTCTTTTCGAACACGTACAATGGAAGGCGATCTCTCTCAAGCAGAATCCAATTGCGTCACCGCAGGCGAGGCCATTTCCAATTTACGTTTTGCCATTTTAAAGAGTATTTTGGTGCCTTTTTTTGGTTTATGGTAAATGCGAATTTGAATCTTCATGAGAAAAAAAACTGTGTTGTCATTCCGGGCAGAAACTTCAATGTTACAGCTTATTTCAGCACAAAAAGTTGCTAGAATTTTGGATATTTTGCCGCCGTAAATTTTCCTTTCTTTGGTGATTCGTTGTTGTGTCAGTACATAGCAGTAAGCTAATGAGCAAATCTTACTCACAAATGTTTTCAATGAGCAAAGTTTGGGTTTACAATTTGAACAGAAAACCCCGAAACTGAACAGTGTCTTCCTGAAATGACATCACAGCAACAGCGCCCCCAGCATGCATATTTTAAATGATTAAAGAAGTGCACTTTTCAATAAAATTACACAAAAAGGGATGTGAAATGGTTTTCTTACATTTAAGAGGAGTAGAAAGTTGGACAAAATGTTTTCCTAGGAAACAATTCAGCACATGAACCCTTTAACAAAAAAGTCCACTTACTGCCGAAGAAAGGCCGGATTTTCCTGTCGTAACCATCCAGGAGGCTCTCGAACAGATCTCTGGTCTTATTTTCGAGCTCGGTGTTGCGCTCTAAAGGTGTTGCCTCACTTGACATCGAGCTCGTTTCTCTGAAATTGAAAAATAAAAGCAAAATCCGTAGTCAAACATTTTTATCCCCACCAGTGCAAACATCTGACAGTTGATACTTGCCAGTATCTCACAGATGGGTCGTTCTATAAATGTGGGGGCCACTTTTTGTTTGTTTCTGTCCCTAGCTGTTACATCTGACATCTACGATTTTATAATTCTGATGTACCCCTTAATGCAGTCGTCCTCCAAGGATGATTATGAACAGCAAACCTCCTACCCAACAAACACAATAATCGTTTGGAGTCATTCTCAATGATACTTTAATGGCAAATTACAAAGTACCAAGGTATTAGGGGTAGGAAAGATATCACACTTTCGACTCTAAATGTATAGAATGGCCCAGATATATGAGATGGTCTATATTAAAGTCCAAATACTATACAAAAATCTATTCATCGAGAACCAGATGGGATTATACGCGGAGTACATGTACATATCGGTGATCCAGTTAGTCAAGTATACAAATAAATTCAAATCAAATATCTAATTTTTGAAACTCACATACGACGCGGACATGTAAAGCTGTAACATACCCTTTGCATTAACAGCCATATTTGAGAGTCTGCTCATGCATATATTCCAGTGACACAAACGCACAGACCTCAAACATGGCTGCAGTGCAAAAGATCTATGTTTCTCTTCCTTTTTTTCGTGTTTCTCTTTTCTTTTCTTTTTAAAATGTATTTATATCGTTCTGGTAATGAAACCAAGCATTCCTCAAAAGTGCCCCCGACAATCGACACTGTAGCTCGAAAGCCATAAGAATTCTGTCAGAAGAAGACAACGAGAAGACATTACAGTTTTAGATGTGGGAGGAAAACCCCAGAAGAGTGTTCTGGGGGAAAACCCAAGGAATCAAGTAGGGACTGAGAACCCAATCCATATATTAGCCCAGGCAATCGAACCCAGGTCACAGCGGTGGAAGGCGAGGAAAGTAACTACGCGCCAACCTGACTCCAAAATGCTTAAAGGTGAGTACCACATGGTTTTAACCGAACCTGAACATGAAAGTAAAACAAACGTATAGGCGTCTAAATGACGTCGGGGGGGGGGGGGTATAGTGCATGTCCCACAATACTTACGTTTACACTGACCAAAACCAATAAGAAACACGTTCTATAAATAGACATACAATACAGGGCCTTGCAACACGTTGTTATAAACAAATGAAAACAATACACATCTAAATAAATTTCATTATGACGGCGTGCAATCTAATTGATGTACGTCAAATAAGATGTAACATTTTTAATTAGATTTGCTAAGTAGGCCTACAGCTTGTCGTGCATAGTTTATTCAACGGATCAATATTGCAGTACGTGTATTAGTGTAACTCTATTCTTAAAGGTTTGCTTGGTGCTCCCTATCGGCTCTATATAGTGCAGTTTTTCCTGGCACATGTTCGAATGGTTTTATTGACAGGGAAATCTATACAGGATGAGTAAAAAAAACCAACGAAACCCAAATGTTGGGACCATTGTTTTAGTGAAGTTCTGCATGTAGCACTTTCAAAATCTAAGATATGAAAGCCCAATTTCTTTTAGTACAAGAATCATTCAAATCACTCATGTACTTTTCAAGTTACGGATTTTAAACACAACCACCGTTTTAAAGTTCTGTCCTCGGATCACAAAAATATGTGCGTTCTTTCAGCAAAACGTAAACAATTCACACACATCCCTACAATTACAAATGTACATGAGTGATTTGAACGACTATATAGAAAGCCAATAAATTGGGCTTTCATATCCTATTTTGAAAGTGCTACAAGCAGAAGTTCACTCAAACAATGGTCCCGACATTTAGGTTTTTTTTTTAGTTTACTCACCCTGCAGTGGTTAAATCTATGAATAGGGACGTTCTTCGGGTCAAAGTTTGACCCAAAAAGGTGTCATTTTGACACGCGAAAGTGTCAGTGTACTAAAACATTAAAATGTTTGTTTCGCTCGATAATTTGACATTTTGACCGGAAGAGTGTCCGGTCCAATTTTTCGATTCGTGATCGAATTTGACCCAGAATTTTCATCAGCATAACATACATGAGTGATCATATAATCCTTGACCGAGGCAGCAGTTTAGGAATGTCATTATTTTGAGTGCCTTGCGTAATGAAACAACGCAGTGCCATACTCGTAACAAGACGGGAGTACATGATCTTCAAACTACAACATAGTCCACCGTCAACATTATCATATCATTGCAGGAGGAATCAAACATAATTTAATAGAGTCGGTAGGCTATACATGTGCTTTTTCAAAATTTCGAAATTTAAAGGAAAAATATGTCCTGTAGGCCTATATAACAAATAAACGTGTGTGTTTGTTTTTGAAGGCAATTATACAGTTTTAATAGTTGGTTTTAAATGGCGCTCCAGTTCAGAAATTGAAGACCGAATTAGGAGTGCACCGCTCTTAATTCAGAAGTTAAAATTAATACATTGATTACTTGTCATGGACCGATTTTTTAGTGCGATGTCTCATTGGAAAGCTCATAACTATTATGTAATGTTAGAAAATTATCAAATCAATTTGAAAATATTTTTTTCAAGGTGCCGCACCCAAAAATTACGTATACACCAACTTAAACTTTTATTTATTCTGAACCCCCTCCCGAGTTTCCACGTGATTTTGAAGCATCAACACGACTGAATGTGAAAATGTAACAGAAATAGGCCTACTATCTTTTTGTTGTGAAAATTTGGATCGAATTGGGCCCTGTAAATGTCCCTATGGCCACTCTTTAATTTTCGAACTCTTCGTTTGTGTCTTTGTTAGAAGAATCAACCTTCATTTCGATGAAGCAACTTTCTTGTACCTCGAAAAGTGCAATCTATTTCCAGTTTTCGTTGAAATTGATAGGACATTGTTTACTATTGTGCAACTAACAAACCAACTTGAATACTGAATACCAGATTGGCATGCTGGAAGGCCGGGATTCAGACTAAAAGGCCCAATGCGATAAAACAAAAAAGAAATCCGTCTTCAAAATGGCATGCCTTAAGTCATCAATATTAGTTCCACAATCCCTAATGATAATGCAACAACTGTAATTGTGTTTTTTTTTCAACAATGCAAAACAAAATGGCGAAACAACGGATTATAAACGTACTGTTTGTTAAAAATGTAAACACACGTTTCAAATTCCTCACCTGATCGTGTGAAGACTGCACACCACAGCCACCCATACCGGTAGTTTCATATTCATTGCAGTCATGCATGCGTATGCCGTGTGTAAGTCCCTGTTATTACCGCATAACAGCGCACAGATGTTTTCATCCACTGAGGCCCAACTGAAAACTGATCCGCCGATAGTCAAACACGAGCAGAACAATGACGCTCCACACAAACGGACGTCACTCATTTGTGACGAATGCAATTACAGACAGGTACACTAATTAAACAGCATGCAATGCTACGGAGGGTCTACAAGGCTGTTCGAAACTACGGGTGTGTCTCAGCTTTGGCTTCTTCCCTAATTTTAAACAGCTTTGAGGTCCAAACCAAAAGATAATACTCTAAACCCATGGCGTGGCCGGGGTGGGGGGCCTTGGGCACGCCCCCCGCACATTATTGCCAGGTGCCACGTACTCGGAATTCGCCTCTCATGGCTTTTTTGTTAAAGTAATTTAACCAAGAGGAATGTAGACGACGTGTTTTACCTCGATGTTACATGTAATTCCCTTCATGCACTCTACGGATTTATGAGATAATGAATAAAGAGAAAACGCCCCTAGCGTCAAATGAGGTTTGATCCCCCTCCCCCCGCTTTTCGAATTTGTGGTAATTGGCTGGCCAGTCGGCCCCCTTAAAATTTGGACTTTTTTAATGTGGAGACGCCTTAAATGACACCCCCCATCCCCGCTGTCTTAACGTCGGTCTGTTGTATCTGGAGTTCCTATACGTCAGAATCTTCTAATAGCCGATGCTGGAGACGAAGGTGAGGTCTCGAAAACCGCCAGATGCATTCAGCCCATGTTAAATGGTTTTATATAATAATTCACTCGGCCTGAGTCTAGCGCACGATTCACTGTCGAGCTGCTACAGCAGAGACAAACGAGACTTGACGAGTCTCGAAAGGGGGTATAATAAAACAGCCCGCGGATTTAGCCTTAGAACGAATACATGTTTAAAGGAGAAAACGTCTGGTCAGTTCCCTGATAGATGTGCAAGTCAATTGAAAAAAAAAGCGATCACGAAAATTAAAACAAAACAGAACAGAATATTGACCTTTTCCATGTATGTATTATTCTTCTGTTTCGGAATTAAGTGATAGCACACGAGTGTAAGTCTAATGACCCCAGACTGTCGCATACAGTTAATTATAACAGTGCGTTAATTTTTTAGGTTATGCAATTTCCACTTCAGACAGCCGGATCAATATCCCATCCTGACAGGAATAATGATACACTCCATCGGCGGTTTTGAAAGGGGGGGGTGGGGCTAACCTTATTCGTCGATAGGGGCGCGTCTATGTTTTGCTTTTCGGTGAATGTTATGTACACCATGAACACCCCTTCCCAAGTTCCGCCGTCTATACCATGACAACTGCAGTTGCATATCTTCCCGATGATCGAAAGCAGTCATTCGATCCTCAACAGAGACAGTAGACTAGTGATGACTGCGCAAAACATAGTCTAGAAATGTTCCGGTGACTGAATGATTGAAATGAATTTATTTGAGAATTAATTTTGTTTACGGTGCACATCGTATTCCGAATAAAAACAACAACAATTTGCAGACTCCAGTGATGCGATTCAAATAATTCTGGCAGACACATCGACCTTTCATTACGAGAACATCAAGAACATATTAATGTTATCAATAACCGGTGTTAAATTAAAATTCAACAAGGTAATGTTAAAAATGTCACGACAATTAGCTCTCAGCTCATTCTGAATTTCCTAAAATGATCTGCATTACGGCAAAACTAACTAACAAAAACTAACTGTATCTTGATAGTCGATGCGGACGTGGATGTCTTGTTTGGGCGATTTAAAAATCCGTTTTCTCGCATTAACACGCTTTTGTTTATGCACCTGGTGCTTAACACAGCTGTCGTGTTCTTACTCAGAAGGATATGAGAATATTTGTTGTTTTTACACTGTTATTGACTTAGAATAATGTCAACGAGGAAGGCAAATCTTGACCAGCTGTCACACGTTGCAATCGATTTGGCACATGCCGGCGGTGTAGTGTGAAATCTGGACTCTGTGACATACGGACTCATTGGTATTGCGCATGTCTTAGTGAATTAATTAGGACAGTGGCGTGTAAACGGGTAAGGTTTAGAGCCCGTATAAGGTAAAAGAGACCAGACTTCATAAGAGTCCGAATTTCATTATGACACCAGCAGTTAAAGTGGTAATGCTCAAACCGTGCATTTAGTTCAGATGCACAGATGGAAGGAAATCTGTGGGAAAAAGGCTTCACCGTCTATTTTTAAACACATACTGAAGGATTTGTCATTGAGAAAAGATAATACATAGCCTACTTGGAAGAGCAACGGCCGGGAACATTTCGATTTAAAGTGTTGCATTTAGGGAGTATAAGTAAATTATCTTTCTAGTTAAGAAAACAGGTGTTTACGGTATTCAATGTGTTGTGTACAACCTGTGTTTCAGAAATGAGATAAATAAACAGTTGCCTCAAACTGCTTACTGACTGCCTAGCCTGAAATAAAAATATGTCGTAAAGTTTAATGGACCAGACGTTTTGTTCATATTAAAAGTTTATTTGCAGATAAAGAACAAATGGAAATAAGCACATTTTATTTCAAAGGGAATATACAACATTTGCAAACATCGAAAAACAAAACTACCATTTTTTTTTACGAAAAACCTTACTAGGATGTTGGTAAATGACAGTCTAAAGCATCCTGTAAAATTATGGCACCAGGTGTGAAGTCATTTTCAAGAAAAGTGGTATTTCGTATAAATTTCCAACGGTGGTCGGCTGACCACCGTTGGAAAAACCTAACTATTTTTCAACTACTGCTCCAAATTTACCATTTTTTTTCAGTCTAAATTTTGTTTGCTATTGGTTACATGTTCATGAACGGGTGCAAGCCAGTTAGACTGGTTCCATTACCTTACAATTTTCCGGCATCTAAAAATGATCCATTTTATCATTAGTGGAGTCAGGGAACCAGACTACTGGAACATTTTTGTTTTTCTTGGTTTTTCCAGCATTTTCAAACACAAAACTTCAAACATGTCAGTGTAACAATATTTGATCTGTTAAACTAACCCCTCAAAATAGTTCATTTCTGAAATTACAGCAAAAGCCAATGATGTACATTCCCTTTAAGCTTACTGGTTTAATCTTTGAAACAAAACCATATTGTCCCATTTTAAGCAATTTATGGGATTGTTTTTTTCTATTTGCGTAGTTCTAATTGTTTCTGTGTTGCTTCATAAATAACCACGTAATGCAGCAATCTACGAACAATATTATGAATAAACAAAGTAGCGTGACGTAGATCGAATTTTCTAGTACTAAGATACAGTTTGTGCACACATTGATATTTACAGCAACAGCGCCACAATTGGTAAAAGAAATGCACAGTACACACACAAAAAGTCAACAACAAAAATATGTCCGTAAAATCTTCATTCAAGTTCAAAGACGAAGGTACATGTACTGCATTTTAATGTAAAAGGCACGAGTCAAAGTTTCACAATATTTCTACCCCACTTTGATAATCCAACAGTCACACCAATTTCGTCAGGACATAGAGATTCAAATGCGCGTGTCAAAGAACGGTCCGAGTTAAATTATTTCCCGCATCTTCATGCTGCATTTCTTTAAGGAATAGCTGTCTCCTCTCCAACTTTCCCACTGTATGCCTTGATTGTAGGGGGCACTGGAGCCAGAAAGATAGACACCATTGAGATTAGAATCGTGACAATTCTTGTACCACCATGCCCCTCCATTCAAGCTCGAACAACTGAGGAAGAAATTGCCATCGTTGTCGTGATCCGGTGTTGAGAATGGCTGCCCGTTGTGCGTCTCCAGCAACGAATCTTGAGCTGTGCTGGCTTTGTTGAAGGTGTTCACTCGCAAGACGTACTCATTTCCCGTAATACTAAAGTCGCCGTACTCCGCCCAAGCAGTCTCGCCATCCCAGTCTTCCATGTCGATCCTCAGATCCCAACTTTTACCAGTTCCTTCGGTCAGGGCGCGCAGGTTGTCGTTCCCGAGCCAGAACTCCCCGGCCAGGTCCCCGAACCCCGCCCGGTAGGCGGCCCAGGAGAGGTAGAAGCCCATCGACCCGTCTTGCCGCCTCTGGAACACGATCCAGCCCCCTCCGTCGGTCTCCATGTCGCAGTAGACCCGTAGGCCGCCACCCGCCGTAGTTTGATTGTTGGGGTAAATACTGTAGATCCCGCTGGGGAATCGATGACCAACGGACAAACCAGCTTGAAGCAACTCCTCGCAAGACGCCACTTGCAAGACCCCCAGTTGTTGGCCACCGTCTTCCAAGAGAGTGGTGTTCTTGTCATAGTCCATATAGAAGCTCCCCTGTAGGATATCAAAGTTCTCTTGGTACTGGGACCTTGTGGCATTATTCAATTCACAGAGACGCTCCTCCTCGAAGTAGTTGATCGACAAACACCGATACTCCAAGATGCAGTCTCGGGCGCATGCTGCACGAGACACGACTCTGACGCTTTGAAACGCAAAGCCTCGCAGTACTCGGTGCTCGGCACCGAATAAATCCGGTTTTACCAGGTGGTTACACATATTTGTGGGCCTTTCACCACAAATGAAGAGAACACTGGTAAAAAGGACACCGAGAATGCTAACCAACCAAGGGCTCCACATTTCCAACCCCGAAAATCCGAACTAAGCCGAAGGAATTACTATCAGAAATGTTGCGAGTTGTATCACTTGCAGTTGGCAAGCGGCAGCAGTAATGTGCAAGTGGCACATTATACAACAAATGTATACTGCTCAAGTTGATTGGAAACTGAAAATGGCCCTGACAAGTAACTCGGCACTAATAGGAAGCTATTCATGCCACATTATTAACAACGAACGTGTTTATTGGGGACCTTACTGCAGTTATTTTCCAGGTATTGAACCAATCGAAGTAATGGATCAAATAATTGAAATGCAACTCTTGGCACACTGGTTGCCAGGCGACCATCGACCACGCTGATTCAGGAGGCAGTGTCATATACAATTTGGACTCCTTTGAAATCTGATCTCTTTTACCTTATATGGACTCTAAACCTCAACACGTGACGTGCCATTGCCATAATGATCTTCACTTTGGCATGGGCATAACAACCAACGATTCCGTTTTTCAGAGTCCACATTTGTTCACTACACCTGCTTTCAACTTCCATGGTTCCGAATAACAAAATTACACCGAAGGTCGTAATATTACATCTACCTGTATAGCGCAATGTCTATGCATTTCAATTTCATTGGAGACCAAAAGCGTGGAAATGATCTAACGCACGAATAACTCCTATGATATTCATAGATAAAACGGCCTTCTTCAAACAACCTACACATTTTGATGAAATTCACGATGAGTTTACACCAAGGATATATACATTTTGTATCGGTGAAAAGTCACTGTTGAAAACTATTTGTTCTTTAAAAGAAGTTTGTAACTACTTGCATTACTCTTACAAAGAAGCACCATGTTGCCGAGATAGAAATCTGAACAATCGTCGCCAGAACTGTTCTTTCTCTCCCTCTCTCTCTGTTTTTTCCACTTGAATCTGACTCAAATTAGACTTTCGCGCAGTTAGCGTTTCTTTATGCATGCACTGTAATTGTTGGACGGAAACTACAATAAAACTTTAACAAACGCAAACCTATTCGCAATAACTCGCAAACCCCATGATGGCATCTTAAACACTCGTACTTCATTCATTCAAATGCTGTGATAAGTGGGGTGTTTGGGGAAACCGAAGAACATTTCAAGATTCCAACAAAAGTTGAGCCCTTTTTTAACCGATAATGGCGTGGAAATGCAAAGTAGACAATCTAAAACGACATTTTCTTGAAAACATCGAATTTAAATCACAAACCATGGTGAATAAAATAACAATATTTGATTTCATCCTGTGGCACGTATTTCACTTGATCTATCGAAATGTAGATGATGTTTTCAGATGAAACTTGGCGAGTCTTTCCTTTCCGTGGCGCTGCCATTTTGACAAACCAATAGCGATGGCATTAGCGAGATGTTGGCGCATGCGCACAAACTAAGTGGAAAGGGATGAGTATACGTGGGAAGAGGTACATGTACATGTATAGGGTTTATGTCCATGCTCTTTGTTGTGGGTGGGGTAGGTTGGGGTGGGGTGGGGTGGGTGGGGTGGGGTGGGGAGGTGGGAGAAGTGGGAGTTTTTTTTTGGGGGGGGGGGTAGGGGGGGGGTGCAAGGGCAGGGGTACTTGAAAAATAAACCCGAAGGGGATGGGCGTTGGGGTGGGGGAAAGTGACAGGGTCCTTATTCACAAAGCACCCGTAAATGCTTGCGGGTGCGCAACTTCCCCGCAACCCTCACTTAAGCACTTGCGGGTTATTCACGAAGCCCCCTTAAATCTGCGTGTGCCCATAAACCACCCGTACAGTTGCGGGACCTCCAGACGTCCCGCAAGCACACCACAACTTGCGTGGATCATCTCGATTGTCACAATGGCGGCACTCTTGGCATGTATTCTGTATCTACGAACTGAATCGACGTGCCGGGTCATCTTCCGTGACCGGTTGAACCAACTATATTTTCATGGGCGTCAATCGGTGGGGGACAAGTCCTCCCCCACTTTTTTTTTTTAAGTGGCGGATATCATATCGTTGCCCCCCCCCACACAGACTTTTGACAAAAGCAAAATAGTGCCCATTACATGCGATTGTATTGATGAAAGGATTTGCTAACAATTGAAAAACTACCACTTTCTTGTCACTTCCAACGAAAACAAGTATAACGATCTTGTATGTATTGTTGCGACACATAATAATGTGCAAGAGAACAAGATGAGCTGAATTTCCACTGCATGTTTCCTTTAAAGTCTTGTTGGTATTTTAAAGTTTGTCTGTAATATGATTCTCACCAGTGTTGTAGGTCTTGAGACCGGTCTCGGTCTCGGTCTCGGTCTCGAGACCACTTTTTGCTGGTCTCGGTCTCGGTCTCGGTCTCGGGAGCTGTGGTCTCGGTCTTGGTCTCGGTCTCGGTCCCCTTTGGTCTCGATATTTTGGCTGGTCTCGAGTCGAGACCAGCCAAAAAGTGAGGGGGCGGATTTCGCCCCGGCCCCAGTTTAGGATTAAGTAGGGAATCAGTTGAGGGCAAATGTGACTGCAGTGTAATGATGATAGACATGTCTCTCTTCACTTTCTAGTGAGTGAGGCATAGTCCAACAACCATTGCTCCTTTTCTTGTTTCTTGTTTTTATTGTGGGATGGTTTGTTGAAACAAGCACTTTATAGCCATCCTCATTGATTCCAAATACAACTGAGATTAAAATCTTATGAATCAAAATTGAAGCATTATTTTTACGTCAGATTTTTTGTTTTGAATATGGGAAACAATTAAACTCTTTTTCCCCAGAAATATTGGTGATTTTTTTTCTATTTTCCTTTTCAATTTTTACTTTATTCGTGGAGGCGGGAAAACGTTTGGTTTTTTTTCATTATATTTATTAATGGATATTCATCAATTCGTAGACAGTTAAATTGCTATTAGTGGTGGACAGCTGAATTTTGTGATCTCTTTATTAAAATAGGCACGACTTGGGAATAGAGAATGCAAAATTTTCAGAGTTACTACTCAATAACATGTTCTTTATCCCAATTATATATATTTTTTAACAAATATGGAGGGTGCCATTTCTTTCTTTTTTTTTATCATACTGTCACTTTATTTTTGACTTGCCATGTATTCATCTTTTCATCCGTGATAAACACAAATTGAGCTACTGCCATAGTCACACAAAAATAGAGTCTAATTGCCTGCCTCGTCTCCTTTCTAAATGTCAGTTGCGTTTGCATGAGTCGAGAAGACTTTTGTTCCATTAATTGCTAAAAGCTGTTTACGGCCATCACAATAACCAAGAGTGAAATATTGGCAATATGTTGTACTTGTAAATTACTAAAATATTCAAGTATTATCGCTCGGCATAGTAGCCGATGCGGGTGATACGCTGGTACAAAACACAAATAGGCGTGCGCACGCAGCCATGAATCCTAAAAGTACATCTCGCCCACCACATTCAGTTTGTGAAAGCGCCCTTCTATTGTGTCGGCCATATTCTCAAATAGGCTAATGACGATGATGACGGCGGGCAGATTAACAGAAGATAGATCAGGCAAATATGGTTCATCAATTTTCTATAGTGTATGTAATGGTATTGACATTATACACAAATAAAGTGGCAATACATTTCAGCCTAAGCCAGGCCTCTCTGGCGACCACCTCTCAATTTTTGGGTCTACATGTACAAGTTATATTCCATGACTGAAATTTTAAAAATAAATCAATATTTTCTTGCTCCAAATTATTTTTTCATCAGGTTTACAAGGAGGTCCAATGTAAAATTAAAGCTGCTTTCAAATATCTGTTAGTAGTCATTGCTGAAACCAAGGGGTGGCTGTGGAGTTTTGGGTCCGGTAACAGTTTAGTTTAGTTCCTATAACAGATGAAACATCCACCTTTAACTTTTTACTTTTGTCAAGTTTCAACATCGCAAAAAACTAGTACAAATTGCCGTACTCCTTTTAAAAAAGCATATTATAAAAAAAATATATCGAGTTCATAAAAATTAGGTTTTCCCCTTCTTTAAATTAGGTTGTTTCCCTTTTTTTAATTGATTGTGACAATAACAAAATATGTTGCCATGTTGTAATTTATGTATGAAGCAAACATGAAGAGCACTCGCATGACACAATTAAGCAGGTACAAGTGATTCCTAACTTTCAATCACTTCCTTCACATCCCCATGAACATCATCATCTCAAGGACAGACTGTTCAGCTGTAATTAGTGACTTGTTTTTTTATTTAGATTATTGTTATTTATTATCCGCGGTCTCGGTCTCGCAACTTCAGGTCTCGGTCTTGGTCTCGGTCTCGGACTATCCGGTCTCGACTACAACACTGATTCTCACTAAACTCAATAGCTTCCAATGACATTCAAAGACAGCTATAAAAATGGGCTACGTTTGTAACACATGCATAACTTCTGAAAGCATTGGTAAATTTTAGTGATTCATTTTTTTTTCTTTAAATGAGTGGAAGAACATGCTCTTAAAGACATGCTTGACTGGTGTTGATTGTTTGCTAAGAAGACAAAGATTAATCGACTCTGCCTGTAATTTTTACAACGAGCAAGAACTCTGAAGTGGGATAAAATGTCTTGGCATGTGTTTTTTTTTTAATGTTCAACCAATTAGTTGCGGGTGCCCGCAACATGCGGGTTCACTAAGGGAACTCTGGTGCGCCGTAAATACCACTTAATAACGCAAGTCTTAACATCCACTTACGGGTCTCCGCAACGCAAACATTTACGGGTGCTTAGTAAATAAGCACCTACCATGAAAAATTGATGTACTGTATTGCATAAAATGCAAAATTGCATAAAAAAAACACACCTTGACAAATGGCACAGTGGTGGATCAGTGGTTATAACCTCTTTTTTTAGATTTAATGCTTGTGCTCTTTTAAATTTTAAGCTACTACTGGAAAAATATTTCATCCTTGTTATAAGCCAGTATAGCTAGCATGGCAGATAGGTGATGGGATTGTGCCTTTGATGATACAAGCATGGTATTTGGCACATAAAGTATGTTTTAAAAAAGGTATTTGGCTATAGGACCATTGCTTGTTATTCTACCTAATTTTTGTCACGGGACTAATCTGCGATGGCCTTGTAGCCGAATATCTTTCTCAGGACACACTCTGTGTGCCAAATGCCTTGCTTGTATCATCAAAGGCACAATTCCCCCCCAATATTTCACATATCTGCCCCACTAGTACATGTACAATCGACATTAAAATGCATTTTGCTTTTAGTATTTATTTAACAATTACAAAAGAATCATCCATTGAAGCCCAATATCATATCTATACATGCGTACTCTGCGTAGTAAAAGTAAGCAATAATAAATATACAATGGTATTACATGTATTGTACAAATTTACCTTCTCGTGATTTGAGGAATTTAAAATGTTATTTCTTCCTGGATGGTATACCACAAATTACCTACGCCCAATGATTTCCTTGCAATTTAAAAGTGTGATTGTCCTGAAGTAACAAAGAATAGTTGAATTTCTCAGGCAGGGAACTCAGACATGGGGTAGAAGTAAATTTATACATTTTTAGTTGATTCCGGCAGCACTATTTGTACTTTGCACTAACACTCTGAAGGCTAGGTCAGAAATTTGGGACCGTTTGATTGCTTATTATCTAGACGAATGTACAATCTGCCTTGTACCAGCATCGTCCTTTAATAGAGGGCACATTTTGTTTTTAAATTTAATTCAGTAACAACAAATGCACAAGATGTTCATTCATGTACATGTATCTTAAAGGGAATGTACAACGTTTGCTTTTGCTGCAGTTTTCAGAAATAAATGAATTTGGAGGATTAGTATGTTATAGCAAATATTGTTAAACTGACTTGTTTCACGTTTTGGGCTTGTAGATGCTGGAAAAACCAAGAAAACCAAACACGTTCTTTTGTTCTGGCTCCCTGACCCCACTTAAGATGAAACAGAGCAATTTATAGACTTTGGGGAACTGTAAGGTCAAAGAATCAGTCTAGCAGGCTTGTATCCCTTGACAGGTGTACGTGTAATCAATTGCAAAGAAAATACGGAAATAACTAAATGTGAAAAATTTGCAGCAGTTTTTGAAAAAGCCAGTTTTCTTCAATGCTGGTCGGCTGACCAGCGTTGGAAAAATGTAATTTTTCTTGAAAATGTCAGCACACCAGGAGCCACGATTTTACAGGGTGCTTTAGACTGTCACTCCCTAACAATCCAGTAAGGTATTTAGTGATAATTTGATCATTTCGTTTTTTGATGTTTGCAAATGTTGTATCTTCACTTTAATGAAACCAAAACACTGCCCTCTATGTAAAGACAGCACTTTGCACAAGTTTAATACTAACACAGCTAGTCCAATGTTTTGCAGAAATATTTAGCATTAAATGTTTTACTCGGTGCTTTAATTTGTGTCATCCCAGAGCCAAATATGAATGTTTTTATAGTTGGAAATTCCACATGCCAGTCAGGAAATACATGCATGCGCACGCCCTGGTTGGAAATTAAAATACAATATAAAATTATTAAGAAATATCGATTGGACATTAACTAATGCACTGATCAGGATTTGCTTGAACAATGAGCATTTATAAATATTACACATTTTGATGTAGCTGACTATCTGAAAGATTTGAGAGATGCAAATTTATACGATTCACATGACATCATGGGCATTTCTCATCATCTTCTTGAGAGCGCTCACAATTGTTTAATCGGAAAATACAACGTGTATTTGGATATGCAGTGGTTGATCGAATATATGAATATTTGATTATTCAGCACATCCACAGACTGGGACCTTCAGTCCAGAAAAACATGCAAAACTAATTCAGGCCCACTTTGCTCACTCTTAAGACGACAAAATTCTCCAAAATGTTCATGAGGTAAAGACAAGGTCCTCAGTATTTCAACAGCCAAGTTTGAAGTCTCAATTCAATTTTTTTAAAGGAGATTTTTCTTCAACATTTTGCACCCGAGAGTGAAGCCACGTGATAAAAATTTGAAGCTTTAGACTAGACTGGTACATGTCCAACTGTTTGAAAAGATTGACCCTTCAGTGGTCTGGTGGCAGACCATGGAGTGATGTGCGGAAATAGAGACCGCGTACCATGTTTCTTTTGACACAGTTGACTGATGCAGTACTAAAGGGGTGTTGGACTGTTGTTTCATGTGCCAGTCTATTTTTTTGTATTGCATGTTTTAATACATTAGGTTTTGGGACTCTTATACACAGCATTAAGTCCCAAATTTTCGGACTAGCACAGCCCTATGGATCTTGTTACACCGGGCAGGTTTCCCAATTTGACAGATGCTATGATGTTGCCTTCAGCAGAGTTCCACATCAAAACAACCCAGAGGAATTGGGTTGAGGAAGATAACCGAACGGTCACAAACCACAGAAGTCATCATATTTATACCTAAGATAGTTCGTCATTAGGATCGACAAGGGTAAGTTGTCGATGAGGTGAAGTCTAGTCTTGCCAATGGCATGGCGTATGGTGAGCCGACAGGTGTCTTGAAGCTTTCTTGGGTTGGCTGAAAAACAAGTTTACAAACGAAAAAGAATATTCATATTACTTCTACAGTAAAACCCTACCATAATGAGCCCCACTATTCCAGACATTTGGAAATAGATACTGTGCACTGCAGCCATCTGTACGCATTGTGATTTTGTTCCATCATAAAGCTAGGTCCTAGCTCTATAGTTCCAAAGGGATATGACCGAGTAGACCTGTTGCATTCATTGTTAATTAGCTCTAACCCTCCTCTATCCTCCTCAATCCTCCAGGTGGTTTTGGAGAATTTTGGAGGATTGAGGCTGAATGGCAAAAGTGTTGGTTGATTTTGGAGAATGCATTGTGTCAAGTTGGTAGGTTGTACCCAGCATTGTTTATGTTCAGTCATGCATCACTGAGCTCTGCATTATGCTCGATATTATCCGCACTGCTTCTGAATGTCATGGGCACTCCCTCAACCCATTACGGTGATTGTTGGAGGATTTTGAAGGACTGAGGCAATGGTCACCCCTCCACTGAACAAATTCATGAAATAACGGATGATTTTGGAGGAGTGAGGCTGAATCCTATTTTTACATAGTACCAGTTGGATGATTTTGCTGGATTGAGGATGGTTCCTGGCCAAAAGGGCATTCGGGGTTAACGTTAATGTACAATAACCAAAACACCTCGAAGATTGCTGATGAATACACCATTTTCAATAACAATTCCCTTTGGCTTCCAGATTATATTTGCAACTATTCCAACCATTGCCAGCTGAAAATTGCTATCAGAACGTGTTCGTTACAGTGAAATGAATTGCCAAAGAAAGACTTTGGTGGTAAAACCATGTGTCAGACAACAAATCATGACAAAATTTGCCAGTGGTAACCCAAACTTTCATAATAGGAAACAGTATTAGACAATTATTATGACAAGACGCTCAGATGTTTGAGCTAATAAGTGGGTCATTGTACTCAAAGAGTTAAGTAACATCATCAATCACATAAGGAATTCAAATGAGCTTGAACAAAGACATTTTAATTTTTTTAGTTTTTCATTGTTCATCACTGTTGCTTGTAACCTAACTTGTGACCTGATTGTGATTGACTCAATTACAACTCTGATACCCTCTATAGCTGGACCAAAAGAAGACTGAACAGACTTACACGTAGCTCCTTGGAGGAACTTGAAACACGGAGCAGATTCCTTGTTAGTGTAGACATCTTTGTAAGTGTCCAGTGGCGTCTTCCCGTCATCTCCACATGCATGGCAGCTGGCTCCAAAGCTGTACAACAGTCGGCAGTTCAGGTTATCATTCTTGATGGCTGCTAAGTGGAGTGGAGTCTGCCCATCATCCTCCCGACTTAGGTTGGGGTTGGCTCCTCGGTTTAGAAGCAGCCTTGCTGCGTCGTGGTTACCCTTGATGATGGTGTATCGCAGCGGGAACCCCCGCTGGATGTCAATGTTGGCCTGGTTGTCCAGTAGGACCTTGACGCAGCTCTGCTTCTCCCGGATGATGGCAAGCTGCAGCGGGGTGGTGCCCTTGACACTCAGCGGGTCCACGGTCGCGCTGTACATCACCAAGAGCCGGACGAAGGAGTCCCGGCCGTAGTGGGCGGCCACGTGGAGCGGCGTCCAACCGTCCCGGCTCGGGATGTCCACCAGCTCGCAACGCTTGGATTTGTCATATTCCAGGAGCAGCCTGGCTAGACGCGTCCTGCCGTGCATGGCCGCGTAGTGCAGACAAGTGAAGCCGCCTATGATATCTCTGATTTCTGGTTTTCCTGAAATGACAAAAATGATTGTAAGTTTTAAATATCTTGAGTAACTTGAAATTCATAATTTACAACGCTAAAATTATGTGGTTGGGATAAACAAGCATTTCTTTTATTTTCTAGCTAATGAGCTTCTTCATCATTTATCTAAAAAATTCGTTCAAATCAGCTTTTTGAAAATATCTCGATTGGAAGGGAAATCTTCACATTATGGTAGAAAAACCAAAGTCAAAAACTTTTACCGAATACATATTTGTCACAGATACAGAGTCAAAGATTGTAAATTATAACAAGGTGATATGAATATATCCCTTTCCAACATATACTCGTGGTTTCCACTGTGTTGACAGCCAGAATATAGGCCTGAGATGTAATTACCTCATGCTCTTTTTACATGTGCGTTATTTTGTGAAAGTCAGATGGGGAAAAGCAACCAGGCTCCCATAACTAAGAAAAGAGCACAGGTAAACAAAGCGTATTTTTTTTAACATCATTACGTCTCAGGTCTATTTCTTTCCAAGTTTATAACGCACCTCCTTCTTCAAGCAGTAACCTCAGTACCCGGTCCCGCCCCCGGGAGGCAGCAAGATGAAGCAACGTCCAGCCATTATTATCCACGTCGTTGGGGGATATCCCGGCCTCTAGGGCCTGCCGGACCTTGGCCACGTCCCCTAGGGCCACTGCTTTACGCACGTCCTTATCCAGGACACTCATGGTGATCTGGTGCCTGGACTGCTTGCGAGTAACCATACGATTCTCCATTGTCCTCAAGATCTATCCACAGTTCTTTTTCTCGTGCAACACTCTTGGACTTGTTTGCCTTTAGGAAGCTATCATGCTAATTAGCATGAAGAAACATCAAGAAGCATCAACAAATGTTATTAGCATCAAAAAGAGTCACTGATATGTGATATTGTATGCAATATGAATCATTAGGCATGCATGACAGAGAAAAAGAAAAGGGCTGATGAAAGTGAGAACCTAGAGGCAAAGTAGGTTAGAATCAAACAACGAAAGGAATTAACTTACTCAGTCTCCACCCTATTTTCAACAAATAGGCCTATACTACATCTACGCCTATGTGGAGTGTCATGGCCTAGCGGTTAAGAGCACCGGACTGGCGTGGGTTCGAGCCCGGGCCCGGACACTTAAGCAAGGCACTTAACCATTATTGCTTCGTCTTTCTGATGGGACGTAAAGCCGCAGGTCCCGTGTGTTGTATAAGGCCTAACACATGTAAAAGAACCCAGTAACGCTTATTGCTAAGAGAAGGGGTTTGCCCTGGTGTTTCTGGTCTCCTAGTTATACTCCCTTGTGGAAGTCCTATAGGAGAAGAACCAACCAAGCACCAAGAATGTAAAAATAAAAAAATCAAATGTCTGAGAAAATAATCCTTAGGTAAAGTTTATAGCATTCTTTTGAAACCAGGATATATACAGGCCTACAAATTTAATGAATAGAATGAGAAAAAGGATAGGCTAATTTGCAATAGACAAAGGAAACTGACCATAAATTATTATAGACCAGACTGATACGATGTGTCAAACATTCTAGTGGCTGTAAATTGTGGAAAAGTGGTGTCAGGATAGTGAATTCAACACGAAAGACGATTGAATATCCCTACATTTTTACAGATTTTGTACAAATAATTAAAAATGATCCATTGCCTTGTCAGTGACTCGACTACTCTGGTCTGTCCAATCGAGTCTGTCGTGACCACTGACTGAACTAGTCCGAAAATTTGGGACTCTCAATACTGTGTATGAGAGTCCCAAAACTTAAGGTATTGAAAACATGCAAAACAAGAAAATAGACTGGCACCGAAAACAACCAGTCCAGCACAGCTTCAGAACTGCATCAACCAACCATGCCAAAAGAATTTAAGAAACATGTGGCATGAAGCGGGAACTAGTCTCAATTTACTACACATTTCTCCATAGTCAAGCCACCAGACTATTGACACTGAATGAAGAGGTCAGTCTTTTCAAATAGTTGGACCATGGTTGGACATGTACCAGTCTAGTATTTAGCCCCATTTTGAAATCACTTGACTTCCCTCTCATGTGCAAAATATTGAAGAAAAGTCTCCTTTAAAAATTGAATTCAGTCTGCAAACTTGGTTGGTGAAATACTGAGGATACTTTCTTTACCCAGGTGGAAGTTTTGGGAGAAATTTGCTGGCTAAACTGTGAATAAAGTGGGTCTGATTTAGTTTTGCACGTTTCACAGAGCACTCCATAACCAGTCCAGAGCTAGCGGGCTCGGCACCGTCTGTGACTGAACATGCTGAACATGCTGAACAGATTGGGTGACCCGTTCGTTTGGATAAATTTGCAATGCACGGACAATTCTCGTTGCATAACCACCAAATTACAAAACATGGTAAAGTAAACAAAATCATGTTACCTTTTCAACATAGGCCTACTTTCTGCGTACAAAGTATGGCGTCACAACACTCTAAAGTTCAAGATAACCGTGAATGTAAGTCGCCATTTTGACGTATATCGATACGACTCATTCTGTTATAGCGCCCTCAAGTGACAAGTGGCTTGAGCTGGCTTTGCGCGCACAAGTTCTCACGGCTAGCCTCTCAAGGTCTCCACAGGAAAAAAAGAAAAAGAAAAAAAGAAAAGAAATCGTTTTAAATAAGGAATATGCCAAATTACTTTTTTTTAAAAGTCGACTTTTATTTGCGGCCCGCCGACAAAAGAGGCGGATTTTTTTTGGGTGAGTTTGGTTTTGGATTGAGGATGAAAACACTGCTCGTATTAATGGGGCCTCCTTTTACGATTTTGAACATTCGTGTACACACAAAGCAAATGATCAACAAGTGTCCCACATGCGACGCACAGCATCAGTGGCCATTGCAACCAACAAGATAGTTGCCGCATCTTGATTGACGGGTTCGATCAATGGTGGTGTGAAGAGACGTAATCATCCGGCAGCTTGCGGTTTCTGTGGTCAAGGCTCCTGACCGCAGAAAACTCCTTGTCGAGAATTCGGAGTGAATTACAAAATCGGAGTACAGCCACAGTGAAACATGAACATTGGAACCGACCATTGCGTTGTATAGTTTACAATTTGTGCAGTAATACTTCCGTAACTCAAAACTTCAAAGTGTCATTTCTATAAAATGAACATTACTGCTAGTTTGCCTCTTACGGGCACGCACCTGCACCGTCAGCATAACCTGGGATCCAGCATGCAGTCGACAGTCAAGCACCCGTCAGATTTCTCCATCGATTTCCTTCTGGGAATGCAGTCCACGAGTAGGCCATCGCGGACGATCGAGAGGTGCCACACTGTCCACCAGCATGTACAGAGACTCTCGCCCTGCTCATGCTACATTCACAGCCCAAGATCAGCAGGTAATTACCGCTCTTGGACATCTATAATTGTGAAAAAATGACCAACAAGTCGAAATAGGACCTTTCAATGTTAACCTCTTTTTTCCGTGGATTATTTAACCCTCATCAATTTTATGATGCACGTAAGATATAGTTATAGTTCTGGGAATTTATCAGCATGAATTTGAAAATACCAGGCGTAAATTAAGTCGACGAATTATAATCAACGACTAAATCATAGGACAATTGAGTTGACTCAAACGTCCACTAACGGTAAGCATCGCAAGCACATATCAAACACCGTCTGCTAAAATGCATCAAGTTCTGTCCAAGCGATCAAAATTAAGTTAATCCAGCTAACTAACCTTGGTATTTTCTTAGTTTTGACTGTTGATCTTCACTCATTTTACCGGAACTTTTTATTGATTAAACAGTGTGTCTTTCTCTTCGTTGTTACAAACAAAATATGATGCAATTTTAAACTTAATGCTAAGAAAATTAAACAGTATTATAAAAAAACCAAGGGAAACAGCTTTAAGTCAGGAAAAATATTTCTGATGGCACTTCGATCAAGAAATAGACACAGAATGATGATAAATTACATGTACAAGGATAGGCCTATGTCCAGTTATTGTTCACAACATGTTAAATAAGAAACACATTAATCAGAAAGTAGAAACAAAGCTTGTAAACATTAACTTGCGTGTCTCGAAAAAGACTAGCAAAATAATTCAAACGGTATTGGCGATGGTGGCGCTCTACAAACTCATTGCTGCAGCAAGTCATATATTCCATGTAGGTCCTACATGTAACAGATATTTCGAGCTACTTTTTATTTTGATTTCATTTTGTTAACGCCCATTACACAAGCGCAGCTCTATCAATGACTTCGTTATTTTGTTCTTGAAGAAACTTGGAGAATTAGTGTATTATGAGCTGAGGCGGATCGTTGAGCAACCCTTCCTTGTCCGATCCGTAGCTACCCCCACCCCACCTCACCCCACCCCCATTTTACCACTGGGTGCTGCGTATTGAACCCTTGTATTTTTGACTGACAGCTGACGAGAGATAGTGGAAAGCAGGCCCAAATAGCCGTTTGAATAGGCCCAATCATTTAGTCGATAAACTACACACAACGCAGAGCAATTACACACAATGGTCTGAAAGGTCCGTGTCCCGCCTCGTCTAGCCCCGGCGCCTTTCACTCCATTAACCTATTAGCGCGAACAATGCCACGGATTTCTCGCCCAAAAATAACAATGGACGACCGAGAATCTTATTTTTGTTTGTTAAGACAACCGTGGTAATTCCATTTAGAAGATCGTGCCACTCAGGGCGATTTGGGAGATAATACACCAGGGGCAAGAATTTGGCTATAATAGAACAATTACTGATATGATGAGGCAGAGAGTGGATTAAAACTTTTGCCTAAAAATACGCACGAAGACAATCAAGGCTTTTTCTCCGGTGGACCGGTGTGGTGTGAAACTGCACCCTATGAAATACAGACTCATTTGCAGTATTGCCCATATCCTAGGTTCAATTTATTAAGACAGTCACGGGTCACTTATGAGGGTTAGAGTCCATATGTGGTAAAAAGAGACCAGATTTAATAAGAGTCAGAATTTCATATGACACCGGCCTGCCATAATGCTATAACTTTACCGTAAGTATAATTAGTTGTTCCCCGGTCAAAATTATACGGCTTCTTTAATGCCTAAAGTTCCATTCAATGTACTTCAGGTTAATTTGATTATCTTATAGTTTTTTTGGTACTTTTCTTTAATAAAAATACAAAAGGGATGGTAAAGGCAGAAAGTTGGTTGTGGTTGGCCTTATCGTGCAGAGACGTACCAGTCAAGTTTCATGCGTGGCCCAGATCAGGCCACGCTCGCCATGTTTTTTTTACCGGAAAATTTGCTCGAAACTACCATTTTCTCTCACCCTTCCCCAAGTTCTAATCGAGGGATTCTAGCGCCAACCCCTTCAACACCACTTATATCAAAATCACCATCATTTAAAAGTGGTAATTCAATATCGTAAGTATGGTGTTACTTTGGTAGTCGTGTAGTTTAGGACACCGTTCCGTAAAAGAAAACGAAAAGACACTTTTATGTTTTGGGAATTAATAACTAAACATTTGGCTATGATACAAGCAGAAAAAGTCACTTTATTTGTTTTCATTTGTTTGGAAACATCAAAATAGTTCGCTCTACCACGTTGAATATCAGCTATAACTAAATTTTGTGGAAAGAGGACTGGATTTTGACACGATTACCTTTTCAAAATCGAACAAAACATTCCCCATAATTCCGAGCCTGCCAGCTTGAATCGTTGTCGGTTTATAAGCAACATTAAAGTCCACGGGTCAAGGAATCCGGAGTTCATGTCCGCGTTTCATGATCAACGGGCTGATTCACATGAAAATGTATCATTTTCCATCATTCCCTTTTTTTTCCTACAGCAGTTTCCAGCGATGACCTGACCCGGCATTCGCAGCACGATCGGTGCAACGTCGGTTCGTCTTGCCCCGGTCCTCGCACCATCAGTCCCGAGACCCCAACGGTGTCACCGCCCACCAACGGCAACAACTCCCCTCCGCCTCACCCGGTGTCTCCCCCGATAGACTACGGGATCGATCTGGTAGAAGTTGCCGAGGCTGCTCGTATAAAGGCCCGTCGCAGTCGCACTACCTTCACCACCTTTCAGCTACACCAGCTGGAGCGCGCCTTTGAGGTGGCCCAGTATCCGGACGTCTTCAAGAGGGAATACCTAGCCGTTAGGCTGGGACTGAGCGAGGCCCGAGTTCAAGTAAGTAGATACATTGGTATACTTGAAATGAGATGCTTAGTAAAGAAACAACGGATTACCGTTTCCGTTTTTGGCGTTCAGGAGGCGGCACGAGGGCGACACCGCGACAAGACTTCAAAAACAGCCACCAACCGTAATCCCAAAAGATATCCACATTCATGATTTGCATTCCAATTTTTCCCACATGATTCAAAAACTGTCCTTCGAAAATAACGAATTCTCCCCTTAATTTCTAGTTTAGAAAGCTTAACCATGGTATCTTTTATTTCTGATAACAGGTTTGGTTCCAGAACCGACGGGCGAAATGGCGTAAAACTTCAGAGAAGATGACAGGATCGGATAGTCCTGGCCACTACAATCCCCACCAACATGATGATTTCATGGATGCTCATGTTATGGCTTCAGATATCCCCACAGAAGGTTTCCCTATTTGGGCGGGTCCCAACAACCCACCTGGTGTCAACCCCGGTCTCATGACGCACGTGCGGGCACCCACCAATCAACTGTACAATCACCACTGTGACTATCTTCAGACAGCGGTTCCCAACTGGTTTACAAGGCGGACCGTGTTCATCCCTACCCTGGCGCAGCAGCATGGGGCCACCAGTGTAGAAAGAGTGTCTTCCCCCGTGTCAAAACGCGGGAGAAAGACCCAGGCCTCGCTGGTGACGTAAATTCCATTATGATGCGCAGCACTACCTAGAGTATTAAGCATCAGGACTCTGCGAAGCAAGCTACAAAAAGGGACAGTCGAATCTCCGATTTACTCTTATCAATCACACCATAGACAGTAGACTTGCTGAATCAATATTCTGAACGATATATCATATTGGGATGAGATTGAAATGTGCATTCTTTAAACGACATTGCTTGAAGGTGGTCCACATTGCAAAATGTAAAAGCGTATGACTTCAGTCTGGATTCAGACTTTTTAAATCAAATCATTATGCTTTTCTTATCGGTGACGGCGCCCTGATGGGTGACCATCTATTTGAGTTGTCTTTGATAGAAAAAAAAATTGTACGAGGAGCCGGCTATTGTGTTTAAAAAAATCATATAATCGGGGCACATTTTAGAGATCGAAATTCTACGTGAGAGCGACAGATGTTTGTTGCTAATAGTAATACCCCCAAACGCAGTGTATTGCAATGGGAAAATACTTTTTGCAAGACATTTCCACTAGCGGTGCACCTTATCCATGTGTATAGGGTCTACTCTTGCTCGTACCCACCCTCCATTCTAGGGTGCTGGATTGGTAACCGCCATGATACGGGTACGTTCCGTGCGCATTGACCTCGGGTGACTGGCTTACGAAATGTATCCAATGAGAGCACACGGAAGAAATTGGAGGCAACCCGTGGATAGAGCGATGGGCATACATTGTCAACTGAGGGCGCTTTTCCATCTATCTGTCCATAGTACCAGTGCCATCTGTCAATGAGGGAAAACGAGTGTATTAAACGAGTAAATAAAGGTGTCTGTAAACAGCTTCGTCTCTACGCTTATTTTATCATGTCCCCTCGTCATTGTAATTGTCGAAGAGATGTAGAAAACTGAGTAATTTAGCTCTTTACGAGAATTTCGGACGCGGCCTCTCGGTCATGCGTAGCGTCCTCAAGAGATTTTTTGATGAAAAATAACACTCACAGTGCATATGAAAAGTATTTTTTTGCTGTCGCTTCTACTGTACAGTAGTCCAGTGATTTTATTAAGGCCTTGAAATGATGTCCCAATAACCTCGTAAAAACACAAGAGTCAATATTATTACACAAAAAAATCATTAAATATTCATTTGACGAGCTGCTAAGTTGATAATGGAAGTCTGTGAGCAGTGAAAACGACATTCTTACAACTCTTCGGTGTTAATTATTAAAAACTTAAGAATGGTGACGATATATTTGTTACACAAAAGAACTGAGAGACAGTGCGCCCTAGATAACTGTGCCCTCTGTCCTATCTTGTTGTGCATGATTGGTATATTAAAGGGACATGCAATGTAATGTTTTTAATGCAATCCTTGGAAATGCACCAATTTAACCCATTTTCGTTTTGCCATTTTCAAGGGTATTTTGGTGCCTTTTTCGTTTTATGCTAACGCGAAATTCCAGAAACCTCAATGTTACAGCGATTTCAGCACCAAAAGTTGCCAGAATTTTGGATATTTTCATTATCGTACATTTTCTTTTCTTTGGCGATTCGTTGTTGTCAGTACATGGCAGTAAGCCTAGCAAACTTTTCTCACAAACATTTCAAATAAGCAAATTTGTGGGTTCACAATTAGAACGAAAACCCCTAAACTGAACAGTGTCTTCCTGAAAGACATCATAGCGACAGCGCCCTCAGTTGTCAGGAAAAGCATGTTTAAAGAAGCGCACTTTTCAATAGAATTAACCAAAAAGGGATGTCACATATTTTTCATACATTTAAGAGGAGTAGAAAGTTGCACAAGATACGTTCCTCAGAAAAATTCACTTCATGAACCCTTTAAGAGTAAAATGTTAACGATCACTCGTGCCAAATATCCTTCCACAAATTCATGACAGAGCATCAACGAAATTCCAACTTTTGGATTAGGCCTAATGCGTTGTTTTGTTTTGTTTGAGAAGTGTCGGTTTTTGTCCCTTTTAGGATAATGGCTCCTATGCCATGTCATGTCAAGTCACATCACTCAAAAGTCCCCCTTTCCAGACGACACCTATGATGGACGCACAATGGTAGGAACGGGGGCTCTATCTAATGAAAAGTACATGTATACAAGTGGACCGGGGATTAGCACGGCTGAGTGTCCCCGAGCTCGGCGGCGTTTGTACGGCATCGTGAGCTGGACCTCCTAAGCCGGTCAGTCACTCCGGTCTTGAAGGGCGTAAGCCATTAGTGACATTTCGACTGAATGACCAGACACAAACAAGCCAACAATAGTTGGTATTTGAGAGCCTAATGAGCGCTAAGCGCCCAGATGCCTAAACTTGCCAGGCAACATGTGGGCAGATTAAAAAAAATGGAAAAAGAAAAGTTGAAGAATGGAGACGATGAGACCTGCAACCATTATGAACGTATTAATTGCTTGGGGAAATATTTCCCACACAATTAATCCCTGTGGTTGACAAAATGTTAGCAATATGATTTATTCACAAGTCGGCCCCACTAAATCGAAAGCGAGGTAAAATCTTCATTTTTTGGAACTTGCGAATAGAAATGAAAGCAAGACATCCAGTTAATTATAAATTAATACCAGTCTGCTCTGATGAATAATGTAAAATGTGTGATTAAACATACCCTAATGATTAAAGCCACCTTAAATACAAAATGAAAGTGGGGCTTGGAACGCATAAATAGTCTGGCACCACCCCATTGAATAGTTTACAATTTTATAAAAATGATACATTCAGCGAACACGATCGAAAACGGCTTCATTGTGAATAAGGTCTATACACAGGACGAGAGCCTACTTGATCACGTGACCTATGTATCCACTGCAGCCATGTTGAAGGGAACAAAATGCAAATAGGTAACCGGTCACCCAAGTATAAGAGCAATCATCAACTGAACTGGCAAAGTTGGGCCGAAAGAGGGCTCTTTGAGTAGGCGTGTCGTGTCGTCTTGGTGGGAAACACCAAACAAAGGACTAGCAAAAAAATCACAGCGACAGAAGTTCCGGATGTTTAGAGCGCTGAAGAACAATGGGATGGACAATAAGAGATTGTCTATTACAATCAGCACGCGTCATCCAACGACGGCCAGAATTGAAGTCGAGGTTAAACCGCGGGCTAATTAGTATAAGCGAAGCCCTAATTGGTGATCTGATTACCGTCAGAAATCAGGGCTTTCAACGGGGGACTGTGGGGCCCCCTGCCGTGCCCGGTGCACCAAGAGAAACCACCGACCGATTGGGCACGAGGGGAACAACGAACTCCCGGGAAGGGAATAATTACAGCCGACATGTCTTCCCTGGTGTCGCTGGCACTGTGACCAAATTAATCCCTTCGGAGAAAACTATCATCAGCCGCACACTGTAGTTGGCGTGCCTGCATGACACCATATCCGCGTGCGCGTGGGCCCACCACCAACGCATATGATCTAATTAATTTCAATTACGTCACTTCTCCCGTAATTGGCAACAGGCAATTAAATCACTGGCCGGGGTCCCTAAATGATTAAGGGGAAACATCCAAACATGGTCTGCAATGATGTGTTGCGATTGCACTGATAATTAGCCTGAAGGAAAGCGGGTTATATTACACCCATATCTATAGATATTATAATCAGGCATATTGGTCAGTGCAAGTAGTCACGTCAAGCAATGTTGTTCGATTTTGATCGTATATTAAAACAATCAATTGGAATAGGAAAACCAAATGAAATTAGATTGAATCAACTTGGCCAAAGTTATATGCTATCGGGCCCTCACGTCGCAGATTTAGGGCCCGTTGTAAAAGTACTCTGATAAACACAAAAACAAACCAAGAGATGACATAGATCGCATGATGGTCGATTCGATGTCAACTATAACTAAGTTGCTTCATGTACCCTGTGACCAAAACGGCGTCAGTAAATCTGGTGGCCATTTTATATAGTGCCAAAGTTACCCATGAAGTAAATGGAAAATCAAATAAACGCAGTGAGTGTCCAGCTTTAAAAATGTAGGCTCAGTTTGCCTAGCAATGATCAAACCATATTTTCCGTCACTTTTGGTAAATTCTATGGACGGACGGCCTAAACTGAGCACAAATAAGCGGACGATTTACAGGAATATCTTGCTAACAGCTTTGCAAATACATAATTTGTTGGTCATTTTGTTTTTATTGCAGGCAGAATATTTTGAGGCAATTATTTCTTCCAACTTAACATTACCAACCGAAGCATTTTTGATGAAGATTCACACCAGCCTGCTGAAACTATTTTAATCCTAAATTGCATGTGTCTCATTTTCCCGTCTTTTCCTATAAAACATACTTCAGTCAAATGAATTAACTCTCGCAACGAGATCAATCATTTGGTGTTTTTAATTGGACTGCCCACCCACCGATTAGTCCAAGCGGCTTGAGCTAATGAAGTCCCCGTAAAAAAAAATCACTTCGCAGAAAAAATCAAGAATTATAGGAAAAGGTCCGGGCCCGTGCCGTACTAATCAGGGCGAAGCAGCGGGTGACGGGCTAGTCTTCACGCCTGTGACGAGCGCCGCAGACACCGTTCACACTGGGACCAATTCACCGGCTAATGGAACGCCGAACGCCTGGTCAAACTCTCCCGCCGCGTCACTCATTGCGCCCAACATAAGATATTTAACAAACGAGAGAAAAAACTTGACTGGATCGATAGGGCACTTGCTTTGACATATCGAATATTTGCTTTTGGCTGGATGAGCTAGAGGGTTTTTTCAGCCCGATCGAAGTGATCTCTCCTGTGTGGGTGGAGTTCAGCGACCCTTATTGGCTGACATTATTATCCTTTAACTCGATGGGATTAAGGCCGAGTTGGAATCTGCTTTGAAGGCTTTTGCTCGTGAAACTACATGAGTCAAAATACTTACTGATTTCTCTGGAGAACTGACTGGAGAATGTAGTTTCATTCAACATACAACGGTCGTTGCTTTCAACTATTTGCATTTGCCGTAGATTTACCAGTCAACTATCTTAACAAAAATAAACTTTTTACAGTTTTGAGTTTCACTTGCACGCAAGTGACCCTCATTGCGTCATCAAATTTGACTTATCCTGCTCAAAATCTGACTCCAATCTTTGTTATTATTTAATTAACATTTTACTTAATTCGGTAAAAATCAGCCCGCCGGTCCACAGCCCTTTACCCATTCCGCAAGATCGACATCCAGCAACCCATCATCTCAAGTCACCAATCATGCAAGCAAGTCGGGCAATTAACCTTAACCCTGACGTGTGAAAAAAAATATAAAATTGAAGGACTCAGGACTGTTAGGGCCCATGTAATGTACTTGTTTTACTGCAATACTCAAAATGGACCTTTGTGTCCTATTTAGCCTTATTTTCATTTTTCATTTTGCAATTCTTAAGGGCAATTTGGTGGTTTTTTTTGTTTTTATGGTAATGCGAATTTTCATATTCACGAGCAAAGTGTGATGTCATTTCAGCAGTGGCGTCGCCAAGGGGGGGCCAGGGGGGCACGTGCCCCCCCTGGAAAACCTAGTGCCCCCCCGAGTGCCCCCCCCCCATCTGAGATTTGGGTTGGTAAAAAAATATATATATATTTTGTTATATTCAACTCCCATCATCTGAGTTGGTTTTTCATAAGGACAAAGAAGCACAGTAATTCGTATTTTCTTCAAATGAGCATCAAATGTGGCACCATTTTGCATCTAGCCCATCCTCCGTATGCGAAAATTTTCCAAAGGGGAGGGGGGCACCCCCTCCCCTTAGACCCCTCCCCCAGGACGGCGATCCGTATCCACCTAAGTGCCCCCCCCCATCAAATGCTGGTGCCCCCCTGTGCCCCCCCCCCAGACTGAAAAGTCTGGTGACGCCACTGCATTTCAGACACCTCAATGTCAAGCTATTTCAGTACCCCAATTTGTCGGAATTTTAGATATTTTACCGTCGTAAATTTCCTTTCTTGGCGATTCGTTGTTGTTTCAGAACATGTCAGTAGGCCAATGAGCACAGTTTTCTCACAAATGTTTTCAATGGGCCTTTTTCGAATCACAATTTGAACAGAAAACCCCTCAAAGTGAACAGTGTATTCCTGAAATGACATCAACAGTGCCCTCATTTGTCAGGAAAAGCACGACATTTTGAATGTTGAAACAAGTTCATTTTTCAATAACATTGACTAAATATGGATGTCAAAACAGTTTTTTTTTTAAATTTAAGAGGAGTAGAAAGTTGCATAAATTGTGTTTCTAAGAAAAAGTCATCGCATGGACCTTTCAATATAATTATGTGATTTTGTGATTTCAAGTCCCCCTCACTGAGCATACCCGGGGCATTTGTCAGATGGTCTGTGGAGAGAGTTATCACCAAATGTCATAATCAGAACAGCTGAACTTTACTAGTTTGTTTCATATCTGGGCTGGGAACGCGTACCTTATTGTATTACCCTGTGTGTTTTTTTTATAAAATTAACGAGGGAAAGTACATGGATGCAGACAGTTACTCTTCAATTTTGAATTGTACTACAATATGGTTTCGGCTTTGCGAGATGCACAATTAATCACAGAAAGATCACATTGCACTTCTCTTACTGTATAGGCTAAGAGGGCAAAAGAAGGTCCAAAGATTATCCAAAATTAGAATAGAATTGCAAACACCAGACAAACAACCTCGAGCGGCCTCATTAAATTCAATAAACGCAAATGCATCTATTTTTGAGATGTTCAGGGAGCTAGTACACATTATTACACACCGACCCCGACGGTATATGCGTCACGAATTCTCCCCGCGATAATAGACCTACGATCACATCAGAAACAGCGTAACAATAAACCACGGTCTTGCATCCAAAACAGCCGATATGATATGTTTTAATTGCTATACTCCCGTTTACCAAATTTTGTTGTGTACATTATACTGTTGTGTTATGTGTATTAGTGCCAAACGCTTGGCAATAGGCTCGCGGCCTTACAATTAAATCGTTTTCCCGCCTCGAGATTTGATTTGCCTGCCTTGCCGGTCCTACCAACGCTCAAAGACCTCTTTCCCTATTTCTACACACCAATCTCATGTAAAGCTGGTAACTTAAGGTAAAAGGAACCAGTCTTTCTAATCACAGTATTATCATCATAGTATTCTGCGTAGTTCTCGACAGACTCTTTTTTAGGTAAGTGAAGGGAGAGAGAACACTGTGTGTGCAGAGTAGATGGTGATCCAAAACCATGCAAAGACTAAATGAGCTATGATCATGGTTGACTTTATATTGTGGTGTCTACTTTGATAGGCTGCTGGAACGTGTGCACTCCTTATCAGACCTATTATGTCAGATAAAATGCCTTAGATTGAAAAAAAGTTGGGCAAATGGGTATTACATACCGCTTACACTCTTGATAAATTCCTCCCAATAAATGGTCAATATTTACCCAAATTAACCAATAATGAGGTAACTTCTTCCATTTTTTTAACATTGACAAAAAAAGCACAAATCCTAAATGTGATGTCCTATCCTCCTTATGAGCGATTCTGGTGCCTGGATGAGTATGCCCGTTTGGAACCTCCGCAAAGTGATGTCTAGTTGTGTGTTTGATCCCGTTAAGAAGCCCCTTCGGGAACGGGCAGGGAACCGAGGCAAACGACCGACAGGCCTACATCTCAAGCCCCGTGGCGGAATACCCAGATCCCCCTGCATCTATTCACCAAACTGTCAATCAGGCTTCCATTCAGGACCCATCCCCGATAACCCAGACACATCAGACAATGCCGTCAAGAGTCCTCCTTTCTTAGACCCCTGTGCAAATAATAACGGGATCTCGCCACCTCGGCCGAGAGTTCATTTGTTACCGGGGTGTCGTCCGTGTGGTAGTGGGGGCTTAGCGAGCGTATTGACGGGTCGAGACGCACGAGAGCACGGTAAAGGCAGTACGAGAGACTAATGATGATTGAGTCCTGAGAGTGTTGACGGGGTGCTAGGACCTGTTCAACCAGAGGGGTCATTAGCATGACCGGCGCCAGGGATTCGGGGAGAGCATGAATGGGGCTGGGGTGAGAAGATGTACCGATCCGAGGCGCGAAAGCCCCGCCTCACAAATCAGCCCATTGATCGGTTGTCATAATGGGAACTTCTCCTGGCTTTTTTCTTTTTCCTCAGCTTATAACCACAAGAGCCAGATAATTCAGGCCAGGGACACAATAATGAGGAATTAATAGGCAGACGTATGGAAGGTAGCTAACGATCTCTGATGGACAACGAGCGACAATTCACAGTGGTGGAAACTGAAATATCAGCCGACACGGCAGCCATATTTAATGATCTCATGTTCGATTGTCTGGAGTGGGGAGATGGGTGTATGTGCAGAGCAGCGGGGGTTGTTGACGCATGGTAACCCCAATCGAATTATGCCGCACTTCGGCAGATATCGTGGTTTACAGGATTGTAGCTGCGATTCTATTAATCCCCTTACCAATTAAAATTATTCCCTGTTCAGAAAATAATGTCCCTCAAATGAGCGCTCTAGATCAGATAGGAAATCAATGGGGGAGGATTATCATTCGTTTTCCTTTTTACTTAAACATGGAGATATATGGAGTCATCTTTATGTTGAGCAGCTGTTCTGAAATGCAATCTGAACGTGGACGTCGCCAGAACTTTTTCTAGGGGGAGCACATTTTTTTTCTCCAAATCTTGTTACTTTCACTAGCATATTCTCAATTTCTATCTTTTTTTCGAGGGTTTTATGGGCGGGGACATTTTGTTAAACGCCCATTTTGTTAAATGTGTATTAAATCAATAGTAACTATTTTGTTCTTGTTTTTTTGTTGCTTTTCTGGGAAGGAGGGGGGGGGGGACCTTGCCCCATCCTGGCGACGCTCATGGATATGAATGCTTCTGTGTCCACGAATTATATTCATAGTTCGTTTCAGTTTGTGAAACCAGTCTGACACACCATTTGATTTAAATACAGAGCACTACGATGCATTATGGAAATGTTGCTAATTCGTCGAAACTCCTCTCACCTAAAATGACATATCTGAAATGAAGTTTCGGGTTATCGAAACAATAAATGTGTTTCCGGTGTAATCTCAGTGATACAAATGGCCAATCAAGATCATGAATAATATCATCGTAACTTTAAAGCGCCCGCCATGTTGAAAAAAGTCTTGCAAGAAACCAATACTAGGCCTATGTCATGTAGTTGACAGTTGTTATTAACAGTGATGACGACCCAACCACCCATGCTGCCTTTATTGTATCACCCACTAACGAAGTTAAGGCCCGCCCCATTCAGCCGGCATTTGCTAAATTAATGGGCCCATTCAGTGGCCATTACCCCCGGTGTTGAATTGGGGAGGAGGATAACGGAACCTGCCAATCCCTCGACTGACAAGCCGTCAGCTTTAATGAGAGCCGCTTGTCTGCAAGAAAGGAAGGGGGGAAATGAGTTGGGCCTTCGCACAGTGGGCGTCCACGGGGATGAAATCACTCGTGGACAGTGGGTGTATTACCCGATACACGGGGGCTTTGGTGGTAGGGGTACGGGTGGTATAAGGGGGGCAAAACAGCCTAAAACAGGTGTATAATTGGACTCAGCGGGGAGTAGATACTGTGCATTAGGGCTGCACCGTCACAGCGGGTGCCAGTGCATTGATGGGCTTTCGCTTCTGCAGGTTTTAAGGGGATACTGATGTAAAAGCTTCAAATTGCGGCCGCAAAACCAAAAAAGCAATGGAAAGCCTAATTCTCTTTTAGGCAGCGGGGAAGATTTGAAGAGACCGGCTTTCCATTTTCAAGGTTGCGCTGGTTTCGAAAACATGTCTCCGTCATCACTTCAGTTACCTAAGATTCTCCTCTTGAATGAAAATTGAAAAGCGACTTTCAAACAGAACACAAAGCATTCACAATGTAGGACAGTACAAGATGTTGCAGAGTATGTTGAACTTTTAAACGGTTGTTCACACGTATATCGACAACAACGTCCACAAAGAAATATATGGAAAGTCTTGCAGACTGTTATACAGTCTATGGAAACACCCCGTTCCACAACGTTCAAAACGTATTAAGCATTCGTTCTTGAACGTTTTCACACGAAAAATGAAATTTCAAACGCGTTGTTACCAAAACGCTGTATTTCATTCATAGGAATCAACCTATTCAGACTGCTGTTAGAAAGGTAACCGAACTCTCTATTCCTGAGCGCAGAGATCAATGTAACGGCTGAGAACACACTCACATTTCACATGCATTGGTATTTGTCATTCGTATCAATACCTTTCATGACAACATGCAGGCAACACAAAATTAACACCTGGCGATTCTTTCAGTTATAACATTCATTTTTCGGCATTTATTACTGTGTAACGAGGCATACATCATGGTGGAACAAATTTACTCGGGACACCTGCGATTATATACAAATACAATTCTGCTGAAATATGCCCACATCATATTTGAAAATAGAATGTGTGATTTTCTCGTCTTTTTTTGTTTAATAAATCTGCGAGAAATCGATCTCATCTCCAACTGAATACAGGCCACTTGATCATTCGCTTTTTGCGCATTTTTGTTTTCGTTTGAAGCAACACAATTTCTCAAACTCTGTACAAGGGTGCCTAACAACTAATATATTGAAGTTTAAGCTCAGTTGATTTTTGATACTTTACATTTTGAGAGAACAGACGAAACATGTACAATCTGCAGGGTCTCTTTTACTGGATTCCTTGCTCGGCAGTTGGCACATAAAAATGTGTGCATGCGGGCACCATTTCAGGCGGACTAACTTCACAGGGTATTTGATAGAAGTCCTATCTTCACTTTGAACAAGGTTTCTGCCATTGTACTGGGTAAATGCAAATGACCCAACGTGGCTCTATGGGCGATACAAAAAAAAAACCAAAGCAAAAGTATAACTTGCATTTCATTACTATCATGTTTTTTGTATATCATTTTGAAGAGTGAACACTGAATAACAAAGTGACGGTAGTAACTCAGTTTAAAAAAACATTCTGATAACAAATTTCAAATTCGTTAATATTTTAAAAGGGGCACGATCACTGAGTTCCGAACTGTCGAAATAAGTGGAATACATAAATAAAAATGTTCCATACGGCAGTATAATCATAACTTTGTTCGGAGCTGTATACAAGGTTTACCCAAATGTAAGCAGTTTATCTTTTTAAACAAGAAATTGATACAACACGACTCTGCTTAGCAGACACTTATATTCACAAGAAAAAACTCACAGACATATAAAATATTACAAACATGTTTTTGCGTAGATTACATTTCTCCGGCAAAAGACTCTTGTTTAAAACTGAAACAATTTGCACGAATTCCTTTCGTAGTTTCAGCAAGTCAGGTAAATCATGACTTTTTTAAAATTAAATTTGTTAAAGTAAAAGGGGACGAAGAATAATCTTAGGCCAGAATTTTTTCGAACTCACAATCGTAGATGTGAAAACGACTTGTATGAAATATAGAAACTTCCCTGGAATGTACAAGTGCGTTTTATCCACTGATTCAGAAATGGACAGTTTGCCCGCAACGCGTGTTACAAATACAATCGTCGTTATCCATGTGGAAATATACGTGGTAAATGATACAGTGTTTACTAACGACAATAATTGCAGGCAATTGCACCGTTTTTCCACTATTTTTTTACATTGTGTGAAATTCAATCGTGTAATTACTCTAACACCTAGATATACACTCAATTTGTTGCGTTCTCAGCACTCTTTTTTATGCAAGGTATGCCTTTATAAAACGACGACATTCTTGCACACGACACATAAAATCGGCGGGAACTTTAAAATCTTAACGACCATTGTCATTTCCTACGAGCACGCGCAGTTTGATCTGGAAGCCAGCCAACTGAAAGTAGAAGTTCTCGAAAACCATTGAAGACCGCCCTTACGATCATCACAGACAATCAGAGTCACGTCACAAACAGTAAATACACTCACTGCGGCATGCGAGAGAAAGTGGGAACTCTTTCAATACATTTCACTGTGGACATCACACTGCCAAAGATACACAGCGAACCAACATTGAATGGACCAGTTTTGATAACGCGTTTTACCAACACAGACAAATCCGAAAAGGAAAACGGTGCTTCATCTATCATGTGCAAATTAGTGGCGCTCACAGAAAAAGTTTAACGCAGCACCAAATTAAGAAAAGATATACCATTTCAATTTGTTGATTTTACCACATTTTGTTCGCTCAACTTATCTTATTCTTCATGATTTGAGAGAATTACACAAGTACAAGTGCCTCAAAAGAGGTTTGAAACCAAATTGGGACAACGATTCGAAGAAAAGTCGGGGTCTCTTTCCGAGAAAATGACATTGAATACAAAGACTTTTGCTTAATAATGACACACAGGCTGAGATTTGGAGGGCTTCAAGAAGTTACCAAAACATTATTATAGTGTCTGGCTGTGTATCAATAAGCTGCTAAGCAAATGCGCTTAGCGAAACTGGCAAACAGCTTAATTTGTGAGCTTTTTGAAACAACATTTTCTACTCGGCATCTCAATGGGTATAGACTTCCTAGTCGCTTGTAGGTGACGACTGACCGCTGTAGACGGGCGCCCTGATCATGGTGTCCAGGTGCTCTTGGGCTTTCAATCGCAACGCCGCTATACTCGAGTGTCTGACATCACCTGTCTCTAGCAACCCCACCCCCTGGCGCCCAGGGCCCCCGAGGGTGGGGCTCAAGAGCGAGAAGCTGGACGATGTGGGCGGCAGCAGCGGGAAGCTGATGGGGCCCAGACCGCAGAGATGCCCCCGTCCCCCGCCGGCTGAGCCCAGGGGAGATAACTGGTGATGTCCGTGTGCGAGGATTCCCTGCAGCGAGGGGAACGAAGCGGGCGCGGCCGCGTTGGACATGGGTGGGGTCAGCCAGGGGTCTAGGGGCAGCTTGGTGTTCAGCCCGCTGGTGCTCCGGTGGAGGGATGAGATGGCTTGCTCCTGCATCTTGATGGCGCTGGATTCCATCTTTTCCTGTCGGCGCCACTTGGCCCTCCTGTTCTGGAACCATACCTGCAAAACAAAATGAGACAAAGTAATATTAATGATCTCTTGTTTTGGCGACTGTGAACATGCTCAAATATTGAGCCCCTTATGGGCTTAAAGTCAGTTACAGTCAGCAGTTCCAGTGGAACTCACCACACCATTTTAAGGCTCAGCATGGTGCACTCTAAACAGTCCCAGGTTAAATTTGACCCGAAATCCGGTCCATATTTGACCTGACACTTTTCCGGGTCAAAATGACAATTTTCCGGGTCAAAACGATAGGTCTCTGGTCATATTGACCCGGAAAAAAAATGCCATTTTGACCCGGAAGAGTGACATTTTGACCCGAAGAGTATCAGGTCAAATATGAACCATATTTCGGATCAAATCTAACCCGGGACTTATTAGAGTGTGTGTGAAAAGATACTTTCCATTTCAAAAAATGCATGCGAAAGAAAGTGATCTATTTCGATTTCTCAACATTCATTGATCATTTTGTATCACTCTTTGTTACGAACGCGTTTGTAACGCTTTTGTCGGGAGTTTGGGAATTGGGTTAAAAACTACAAGTAAGGTTTTGTCCAAACTAAAAGTATAAGGTTTTGACATGGTCAGATTTGGAAAAGTTGGACACTTCGGCAAAGATGATTGTTGATGAATTTAATGTCTCCATTCTGATATTATTTTTAATTCGATGGGAAACTTCTTGCTCGATATAAAAAATATAGAGCTTAAAAATTCCTTTCTTCTGACAAATGAATCAGATTCGTTTACACAAGTTGACGGACGGGAAAGAGCAATAATGTTGTCCGCCATGTGTTAGCGGACATCGGTATATACGTCCATATCATCCGTTGTCAATGTAAATACACGCTGCAAGGTATGCCAGGAAATCAATTTCATTAAATGCCGTTGCCCTTTTATGCGCACTTAATTTCTGCTGACAACTCGTAATATGCGAGTTGAAACTTTGCCAATGAAGCCCGCGCTCTATAATTCAACCTAGTAGGCTTCTAATTAGAACTGATGTGTTACGTCATTGATTAGCTAACCTCGTTACACTGTACAACTTGATTACTTAATTAATTAATTGACAATAGTAGAAAAAAAAGAAAAAGAGACATCGTTGAACGTCCAAATAAACATATTAAAGAAATTAAAGTGAACCATGTTAAAGAGATTATTAAAAAAAAAAAAAAAAATCAAAATTGACCAAATCCCATGAAATTAGTCTTATTCAAAGAACGTTAAAAAAAAATCTTTAAAAGTACAAACTAGAGCATGCGCTGTTCGATTTCACTCCTTAACTAATATGTGGGTACCATTCAACTGGCTGAAAAGAGTCAGTTGTAGTGCGGTACGAATGTACGGTTACCCACACATAAGATCATAGGTGTCGGAACATAGGCGTAACCCAAATTTACGGCTCAATGTGTTTTTTTTTCCTCAAGTAAAAGTTTCGTCACAAATCGTCTGTACAAAACGATTACGTTTACAATTAACCAAAAACAATTGCCTTTCGATTTACCTACAACTGTTTCAAATATCATTTTTATCTCCAGACTAACGATACGGAGTCCTATACACTCTAGCAAGCATTGAAGAAAATCAAAGAACGTCTGGCCCAGTCTGAGTTTTAATCTACGATGTCCTCCAAAGATTGGTATAGGCTTTGTGACTGATGCATTCAGTATGGGATCTGTTAATCAAAGCGTTAAACGCGTATAACGTAATGCATGAGTTCAAAATGAACAATGAAACCCTTACTAAAGCGAAAGTGGAGTGATATCATCAAGAAGAAACTGAGGATGGTTGTTTAGGACAAAAGCTGACATTTTGAGGTTCACACATCAAGCTACGGCACTGAGTCACACCACACAGAAAAGGGGCATTTCAGAATTATTTTCCCGTCTTTAGATGGTATTGTTTATGTACCGTTGGAAACTGAAATGAAAGAAAAAAAAGAAACGGAAAAGTGGTTGGACTGCATAATCTTGACTTGAAAACCCTTAAAACATCGTTCCCATCGGCTACAGTTTGATATTTATTTGTCTAGAATAAATTACCATTACATTTTTACCATGGGGAAGAGTGATACATTTTCAAAATGATGGCTTCCTAGTTCGGGTCCATGCAGTTGACCTATCGGACTGATCTGATTTTGTTTGCAGTTTCTGTCAACAAAGCTTGAATCCCGCGTGCTATCGTCCCCGATTTCCACACAAACACTTGGAATACAAAAACTGGTTTTTCCTGTGTCCAGAGAATATTATTTATATTGTAATATTTACACAAAACATTTTTAACGCCAAATAGGCCTACTACTGATTAAAATATGTTCCTAGTGTTTGTCACTAAGAGATTCGGGAGCCTTACGAGTGTGTTTAATGTTTATGAATTGTACATAAACAATAGAAACAAATTTGAATTGTACTAAACTCTAATTCGTTTGTGGTAAAAGCAAACCAATTCAAATCTTCTTCGCATAGTTGCGCAAGTAGCTACTTAACCGATTTTTTGTTCGTTTGAAATTTCAGTCAGTTATAATCAAACGGTTACAACCAGTCGAAACACAAATGTCGTGTCTCTAAAATATTTTGGCCTCACAGGATTATGCATCTCTTGAGGTCATGAAACTAAGATTTAAAACTTGGAGAGAAGGGTCTAGTTTTGAGATAACTAATCCTGGCAGTTTCTCATTTCACCAGGCAGGGTACACAATATCGCAGTAGGGTTTTCATTATTTAGTAACAGCTGTACTGAGTCGGAACAATAAGAAATATTGGCCAGACCTCAAGGTCTGAGCTGTTGACAAGATTTCAATCCCTAATCTCATTTGTATGATTGATGTCGCCCAATCATCGGCAATCAACGAGGTCCCCATCCCACCCCAGCAATCCACGGTCCCCAATAATTAGCCGGCACGCTCGGCCCAACAACTGACTGACCTGTCCGTAATAACGCCCTGGCAAAAAGACCGGCAATCAGAGGTCTACAATTGTATTGTACGGGCATTAATTTCCCCAGCTTCATCCACCGTAACCCTGCAGTGTGAGGCGCGTCTGCCCACGGCTGGGGGTTTTCTGATGGCTCGCTGCGGCGGTCGACCTTCGGACAACACCAATCTGTATTTCTCAAACTTCCCATCCCGCGATTAAAGTCATTTCCAACCGTAGCTATGAAACATGACAACTGTTTGATGGTTGAGCAGATGGGTCGCAGTGATTCACTCGTTTTATTTTATGAATTATCATTTTCTTTCCGCTGAAATATGACAACCTTACATGGGGATTTCAAAAAAGTGCATCAATCGGAAAGAATACTTCTATACGGTTAACAAACTGGAACACCACACAGTCCACTATATAAAGCTGTTTCTGGCATAAGACGTGCAGCGCTGCATTGTTGTTAATCTGGAATGCTTACGAAGCTTGAGTGAATTTCTTCTACGATAACACAACACTAGGCCTATACTCGCAGTACAGGTCCTTATGAAGTTCAACTGGCACTATGCTCAACAATTTTACTTGTTCAGAAACATCTCCTTATCAAGAATACAATAACCGTCAACGTATATAACGCAAGCGAGAAACAAATTGAGTTCGGTAAAATGATGTTAATTAGTACATTTGTAGTTTCACCCGTGCTCATCAAAACGCAATCCAGAAATATAGCGAGTAAAGCCCAATTTAACGACATTGGTGACACATTCATGTAACAGTCGTGGGGCATAACTCGCGGGGAGATATGTAACGCAATTATTTTTGCTGGTTCCCGCCAATTTCGTTGATTCTGCGTGCCGCCCTGCTGGCTGCAGGTGATGCCACCGTACCCCCATTGGGCACCAATTAGACGCTAATCAGCCGTTTAACATTTTGACGCCGACCAATTTGCGCGCGATTGAAATTATGACCGATGTAAGAGTTGATGACGACGATGATTACGGCAAAGACATGGCCTTCCCAGGTGATTTGTAATCACCACTGGGAAAGAGTCATGCATGAAAGACGGACTATAAAAAAAATAGGGTACATCAAAATCCACCGCCTATCCTCGAAAAAATTGAAATAACGACAGAATTCAAATCACTCAAACATTATTATTGAGGACGCCGCTTTAACCATAAAGCTCCTTGATCAGCATCTTAAGACCGGATATGTCATCGTTTAGATATTATAGTGGGGGCAGAGATAGGGGAAATATTTGGGGGAATTGTGCCTTTGATGATACAAGCATGGGATTTGGCACACAGAGTATGTCTTAAGAAAGATATTTGGCTCATAAGATCATCGCAGATTTGTCCTTTGAAAAATATAGGTATAGGATATTACAAGTAATTTTCAAAATTTTAAAATGGCAGCCATAGCTTGTTATTCTACCTACATTGTTTTCAAAGGACAGATCTGTGATGGCCCTATAGCCAAATATCTTTCTCATGACATACTCTGACTGTGTGCCCAATTACATGCTTGAATCATCAAAGGCACATTCCCATCCCTTTGTGTCGTACACCATCACCGAACATTCACCATAAAGACATTCTTGTTTCCACCCTTCACCACTGAAATGCGATAGTGGGTGAGACCTTCGGCGCGGATTAGACGCTTAGGTTTATTTTATAATTTACACAATTTTGATGAAACATCGCTTCCTCTTTGGGGGGAGGGGGGGGGGCAAAATGCGAAGTAAGCCTATATTTGAAAACGAATCCAGTCACCAATACAAAAAATAGTCTGGCAACTTAGCTCATGTCTGAAGGCATGTCAGCAACTGGTATGGTTTTGATGTCATAACACGAAGATTGGCTGCGTCCCATGAATTGAAATGTAGGGATCGATTTGTTTGTCGTTGTTTGTCCATCAGACGCTACTAGTTCTTTTTTTCTCAATGTTTCATCGCATTAGTACCTCCCTTTCTAAGGGCGTTGGTGTGAGACCATAATATTAAGCAAGTGATGTATTTTATACAACTTTTACTTTTACTGTAATTTTCAAAGATGGATGGCCTTAGGGGTAAGTTTGTATATAGCAAATATTGTTACACTGACCTGTTTAAAGTCTTGTTTTCATAGATGCTGGAACAACCAAGAAAAACAAATGCTGTTCTTGACATCTGGTTCCCTGACCCCATTTCAGATGATACGGATCAATTTATAGACGTCAGGGAATTGTCAGGTCAGGGAACCAGACTAGATGGCTTGCAGCCATTGGATGTGTAACCGATAGCAAACAAACCAATGTGGACTATTAAACTAAATTTGGTAAATTGGCGGCAGTATTTGGGGAAAAATATCCGGGTTTTTTTTCCAACGATGGTCGGCCGACCATCGTTGGAAATTGATACCAAAAATTCACCTTTCTTGAAAATGACAGCACACGCCACGATTTCACAGAATGCTGGAGACTATCATACACTTACAGTCAAGTAAGGTATTTCGTAATAATTTGGTAGTTTTGTTTCTTGATGTTTGCAAATGTTGCATACTACCTTTAAACGGTTTCACCAAACATTTTAAAGGAAACGCAAAGCACTATGGGTACGAACATGTCGTGCGCACAAGCACTGACTGACGCATGGTCTCCGAGTTAACAAAAACTATCAAAAGAGAGCGGAAAGAAATTAGGGGGACCAACGCTCTCAGATAGAACAAATTTTGAATGTCGATACATGTACCTTTTGACTGTTTTATAAGAACGAGGTAATTTTGAGAGTAATTTCTCACTACAAGAATTGTATAATTGTATCGATGAGAAACAAAACATAATAGAGAAACAAGAAATAAAGGCAAATGGAGGAGATTTTCGAAGATTTCCGGAGACAGGCACAATGCATCCCAAGAGTTTAGAAGATAATATTTCCCATTCATGCTTTTCGTTCGGATGGATAAATATTAAAGAAATTGCTTATGTGATCTGTTATTAACAAAACTAATCAGAGACGGTTTAATCGAAGACATTGTGTTACCCAAAAAAATTCATGTTTTTGGCTTTGGCTTTGTATCTCTATTCATTAATTCACGCAACACCTGAGAATTTGTCCATGTCCCGCGATGCCGAATGCCTTTATGCTCGCCCCACGCGAGCCCGAACGAACCGTCCGAAAGGATCATCGTGCCGGGCCACGTCTCATCAATTAGCGCAAATTAAACTGATCGCTGAGCCCGAGCGGACGGAGTTTCAGCCCCCGTGAGGCAACGGTAACCGACTTGGCTCGGCTATGCCCCGGTCTCCGTGGCGAATATTGGCATTCTGCTACAAGCAGATGAGGCCTCTCTGATTCAGACTCAGTCTCTTCTTTTCTTGTCTTCTTTTCTTTCCTTTCATCCTCAAGGAAAGCTAAGATAGAGCCAGCAAGTGATAACTTATCGTAGAAGGACTCACGGGCCGGATGGTATCTTAAGAGCCTGCGGGTTTTTTTTCCGCGAGTTTTTTTCCCCGGGTTCTCCGCGTGGCTGCGACACGCCATTGCATTGTGAGGCCCCAGCCCAACGCCCACGGCAACAGAAATCACCACCATATCCCTTAATTAGACCTGGGAATCGCACCGTGCCACAGCCCAATATCCATCCCTTTTCTTCCCTTTTCTTCAGGTTAGTATCCACTCTTTTTCCCATCTATCTCTTGGGCCGGCCGTAGGTACATGCTCGCCAGCGAGGCTGATGTAGATCCGGCCGGACAACAACGGCCGCGAGGCCCCCGCTCGCCTCGTCCCAATTACTTAGGTGCACAAACGGGGTTTTGTGTGGTAAGAAACACACTTCGGGGGAACTAATTCCTTGCTAATTAAGGCACAGAAGAACCAGAGAGGCTGCTTTTCAGCTCAGCCAGCATCGTTCGGATCAGAAAGCCAGGTAATTTTCATGTTTCATTTTCCAGGCACCTCGAGGCAGGAGAGAATATATGAATCACAATCGCCAATTTTCGCGATGGACTTCCAATTCGATTGGAATCACTGTATCGCTTTCACTGTTGCTCATGGGATGACTTCAACCCCCCATAAGATCAGGAACATACAGGCTGCACAAGCCGTTTTTGCTTGTTCCAGTTTGTTGACCCAGACTACGCTCCATTTTTTCGTAAACCAGTCTTGCTAGCTGGCTGGCACTATACTTTGGTTTAATGTGGGGTGTTTTTATCAGAGGAGCTCCCAATTTGTCGAAGTGGTGGCGTCTCAAACTTGTTATCACTGACGATCTCTTACAATTCGATTCGGCAAATAGGGTTTGTGAGTCCCAGGTGACAGACCGTCATTCCAAGCACTGATTCGTTTGTCGTCTTCAAAGTTTTGGAAACCAGTTGAAGATTTAGAATTAAAATGTGTCGAGACCAAACGTACAAAAACACACACATGTTTACGTTACATGTGGATATTCCTTTGTTTTCGTGTAGTTAAGAAAAACCTGTGAAAAAACCTAATTTTACTCATAGTGCGAAAACTCCTTCAACCCCAATTTTTTTCCATGATTCCCTTTATTGTTTCTCTTCATTTTGCCACCGACAAACCTAACTCAAAATGCCTGTAAATCTGTTTTCCAGAGAGGGGGAAACACTGTGTGGACGTGGGCAAGTCCACACAATGTCGCTGCTACGTGGTTTATGTGGACCTCTTTTGTTTTTGAAGTCCACACAGTGAATGTAATGCTTGTACACTAGAGAAAACTCACATTTTATCGTTTCTTTACAAAATACATCCATGTTTCGCAGGGCCTATGTTACTCCTTTCATTTTTTTCAAGGGGGAAATTGGTCGATTCAATAATCTGCCCCAAAGCATATTGTTTAATAAGAGTAATGTTCTAATTTACAAGCCACGAGAAAACCCAGACAGGCAGTAAAGTTTGGTATAACGTTTTCAGGCTTCAAGCGCAATGACCGCATATAGGCTCCTACTAGGGACTCCATACCCAGTGCAGTTTGAAACGCCTGAGTTCGGTTACCTTCAATAAAAAAAACCTTTGAATATAAATGAAAGGCTTGGGACGCACAATTTTTCAAGCAGAAATTTGGTTCGGTGGGGGGGGGGGGGGGGGGGGGGGGGTTGCAGCGTGGGACATTTAAATAGAGGAAGGGTGTTCCTTGGGTGCTAAACGCCATTTTGATGGCGCTGTTTAGGAAGAAACCCTGATGGATTATCCACATTTTCCGTTCGTTCCACGTGGTTCTTATACTGTTTCTTTAGATAATATTTGAAATGAAGTGGCCTGTCGTGCTCATTTTTTTTTTTTTGGGGGGGGGATATGGGGGGGGTCTGACATTGCCGTCCCAAAGCATAAAAGCAGTGAGAATATGTTCCTTTGCCCATGACTTTGAAACCGTTTCATACCTAAGGGCTCTTTTATGTCAATGATTCTGTCGGTAGAAAAGAATTGTTTTTAAGTTGCTCAAAATTGACTGAAACTGTTATTTTCGCCACGGAATTTTTGGTTAAGGGAAAGACAGGTTGCAAAAAAAAGTACATCGTCAGATTGATCCAGAATCCGGGTTTTATTTGTCAGGGTCAAAGTGACACTCATTCGGGTCAAAATGACACTTTTCTGGATCATTTTCCGGTACCGGGTCATTTTAACCCGGAAACATATGCAAAAAGGGTTCTTTCTTTTGACTCAGATAAGTGTCAATGTTAACCCTGAAAAGTATTTGGCAAATAGCACGCAAAATGTTCGAGTTGCCCTGCTGTCGGCATGAATCTACATAATACAAGGCACATGGTCTATATAGGTTGGTTTTAAACATCTCAGTTTAGGACATAGATTTAAGCCCTGTTAGTCAGTCAGTAAATCAGCGACTCGGTTATAGATCGACGAAAGTCCTGAAAGACTCACCTGGACTCTGACTTCAGGAAGGTTGACTTTGAGTGCCAGCTCCTCCCTGCTGTACACGTCTGGGTAGTGTGACTTCTCGAACGCCCTCTCCAGCTCGTGCAGCTGGTAGGTGGTGAAAGTGGTCCGGTTACGCCGGTGTTTCTTCTTGCCGTCCGGCCCGTCCTCACCCAGATCAGCACCGCCGGGGCTGCCCGGCGAGTCCGGGGTCCCCTCGTCCAGCTCTACCGCCGAGTCTGATGTGCTGCCGAGGGCCGTGGACTCGCCGCAGCTCTGATGCTGCGCTGATGCCCGTGGCTGGCTGATGCTGTCAGTGGCCTGGCGCGTCGAATTCTTATGAGCAAATCCTGAAGAAGAAAAATGGTGATTGATGCAAAGTTGACTGCAAATGAAGGCCAATGATCATCAATAATTGAAACCGAGTTGTTGAAATTATCGAGAAAAACCCTACTTTGAAAATCGCTAAGGGTCTTATGCACAACACCTTGTTTTGTGTGCCGTTATCAGTGGAGTAACTTGGGTCCAAATTGCCGGGGTCACTGAGGGGGTCTCATTTTCTGGAGGGAGACACTCAATGAAAATTTAACGTTTAACATAGAAAAGCTCATTTCTACCTCCCCAAAATTCTGAATGGGGGAACGGGAGGGGGGGGGGGGGCACAAGCCTGGAGTGGGGTTGGGGCTCTCCCACTCCCCCCCTTGTTAAGGTCACCGGTCATGATGATTTTAGAAGCTCGAAATTTACGGGCAAAATTTAGCATCACTGAATGTTTTTTTTTATCGTTCTATTTGTGAAGAGGGTGGAGAATATACCATAGGCAATAAAAGAAGACATATCAGATTAATCTTCTCAACGACAAATCAGCACTTATACTCAAAAGTGGGCTTCATCCCCTGATCGAGTCGTCGTAGTCTCCCCTCAAGTTGAAGTATTAACAAAATGAGCAGTGAAGCACTCCTTGTTCCTAAAGGTCAACACCGGCCGTATCTCCATGCTGTAAGTAGGTGCTTGAAAGAGTTTACGTAGTGTTCTCGTGGTTTACACGTATTTCTTCATGATTGATTGGCACTGTGCACATAATCGTTAAACACGTCGTCGTGTAAAATCAATAACGTTTCACTTCTCGTCGGTTCTGCAGTTCGAACACTTGGCAGTACATTTTGGGGCAGTTAAATTTGAACGCAAAAGCAGTGAAATGTTAACACTTGCCAGAGTTCAGTTTGAACGCTTAGTGCAATTTAAACGCTTTGGCAGTGCATTTTGAACGCTTTTGGAGTACAACTTGGACACTTGGCAGTGTAATTAGGTACTCTTTATGGTGAAGTATGAACACTAATCCTGTCAAAAATGGAAAAGTTTTGATGAATTGAAAACAAAACGTGTCTGTGCTAGTTATCCATTGACTTGCTAAATATTTTTGAATATACTTTGATTCATCTCATAATAAGACACGGCGCTGTTGTAGGGCTGATTTACGTAATAACAAATTTCCTCGTTTTGCAGCGGAATGACAGAGTCCTTGTTATATTGAAAATCGTTTTGTTGATGTTGTTGTTCGAATTGTTAGGTCAACACAACTTGGCTTCCAATTGGTAGCTGCACAATGTCACTTTTGCAGCGATTGAACATTTACAGCAGGGGTCCCAACACGGATCGTACCATATACAGAAAAAATGGGGTATTTTTTCCAAACAAATAATGAGAGATTCAAAGCAACACTTTAAAGGGAATATACATCATTTGCTTTTGCTGTAATTTTCAGAAATGGATGGAATTGGGGGGTTGGAAATATAAAGCAAATATAGTTACACTAACTTTTTGGAGGTTTTGGGTTCGAAAATGCTATAAAAACCAAGTAAAACGATCATTTTCCTGTAGTCTGGTTCCCTGACTCCATATAAGAAGAAACAGAGCAGTTTACATACTTTGGGGGAATTGTAAGGTCAGGGAACCAGTCTAGCTGGCTCGTACCCGTTTATAGGTTTGTAATCGATTGCAAACAAGTGCAATGGTCAATTGGGGCTAGTATTTGAAAAAAAGCCAGTTGTTTCCAACGCTGATCGGCCGATCAGCGTTGGAAATTGATACAAAAATACCACTTTTCTTGAAAATGACAGTATACCAGGTGCCATAATTTTACAGGATGCTTTAGACTGTCATTTACCAACATCCTGTTAAGGTATTTCGCAAAAACTTGGTAGTTTTATTTTTCGATGTTTGCAAATGTTGTATATTCCCTTTAAAGAGCCCGGGTCAGATTCGAGTCAGATTCCGGGTCCTTTTTCGACCTGATTCATTTCTGGGTCGAATTGAAATCTCTCAGGATCATTTTGGCTAGAATGTCATTTCAACCCAGAAAATTTGCCTTTGCTGCAATTTTCAGATATAAATAGATTTTGAGGATTAGTATGTTATAGCAAATATTGCTAATCTGACTTGTTTCACGTTTTGGGCTTGTGGATGCTGAAAAAGACCCACAAAAACCAATCATGTTCTTGTCGTCTGGTTCCCTGACCCCACTTAGGCCTAAGATGAAACAGAGAAATTTATAAACTTTGGGAAATTGTAAGGTCAGAGAATCAGTCTAGCAGGCTTGTACCCCTTCACAGGTGTGTAATCAATTGCAAAGAAAATGCGGAATAAACTAAATATGACAAATTAGGAGCAGTTTTTTTAAAAAGAGCCATTTGTCACTCCCTAACAATTCAGTAAGGAATTTCATGGCAATTTGATCGTTTCGTTTTTTGATGTTTGCAAATGTTGTATCTTCCCTTTAAGGTATCTGGTCAAATATCTGCTCTGGAACGATAGAGCGTATGACCGCGTCGAAATTACTTGTCTATAAGACTGGAAATAACACACATGTCTATGGGAGGTGGCTGCAGCCACTTCCATTTAGGCGCGTGTGTGATTTCTAGATGTAATTCGAACGCGGCCTGTATTTTATCATTTTTTTGATTGACTATACTGCATCATACCTTGAAATCATAATGATAGAAAATATGTTCTTGTATCTACAATAATACTATTTACTCTTAAGCGCATCACGGTCTGTCTTGATAATATTCCTCTGACGCGGAAAGTCAGTGACAAACACTGAATTAAAAATACGATGAGTTTTAAAACGGTTGGTTGAAAACACAAATCGGGTGGAGAATGCTCTTGTATGTGAATAACTTTGAAGGACATGCAATCATTTATATTATGACCAGGGGTACCAAGCGCGATATCGATGACGGAATACCTATGTTAGTCAAGCCGGCCTATGATGGTAATATCCCCCCACGAAGAGAAAGTTCACAAAGGAACAGCTACAAAACAGGGATATATGGATGGGAACAATAATAAGCAACAACTTATATCGGGATTGAATTGTTAAAGATCTTTCCCAAATATTTTTATTGTATGATACAATTTGCACTGAAATAGTCAATAAAGCTTGGAACGAAATTTATGAGTTTTTTTTAAGCACATCTTAAAAAAAAAAGGCGCCTCCAAAATGTTTGCATTTTCTAAATTATACTAAAAAATTGCATTCTAAACCAAATAACGAACGTTTAAGCTACTGTACAACACAAAATCCGTATAGGCCTTCATATTGAAAGTCGTAACTTTTTAGTACATATATATCTGCTTCTTCAAATTTTCAGAGAAAACTTTATGAATTATTAAGTTGGTTGTTGTTGAATAAAGTATTTTGATTTGGCGAGGGCGATACTGTACGCATTAAATGATGCATATGTAATTTTCTTCTGTGTTCACATAATTGTGTCTCAAGCCAAAAGACGAAAGAAAGAACATATATACGTTGTGGGAAAGAAAATCGTCTTAAATTCTAAAGACAAAATGATATACGAAAGATTGATGTTAAAGTTTAAGTGAAGAATTGGAAGGGAGGCCATGGCAAGACATCGTGATATGAAAAGTGGGAAACAGGCAAGCAAAACGAAATGTAGACGCATGGAGCTGAACCGGCAGATACCCCTCTAGCCAGCCTGTACACCGTACGTCTCTGCCATGCCTCTCATCAACCCACAGTCTCTAGGTTTCTTCAAAGATTGTTTGATGGGCAGGTACGGAACAAGGGCCCATTAGCCGGCTCTCTCCCCAGCCATTCAGCGTGTTTTTCAGGGGGAGCCACGGGTGAGATAGACGCTAATCACCGGGGCGGAGAGACCGAGCGCACGCTATTGTCCCACTGAATCACTTTCTAAGGCGAAGATGCATTCAAACGCACTGCTCATTGTGCTCCGTCAACAAAGTTTTACGGGCACTTCACTGGGCCTGTACATGGTGGACCCCATCGTGCAAACGGAAAAGATAAAAGTCTGTTGCGATAAACGTTGGACAATTAGTGACTACAGTTTCTTAGGAAATGGGAGGGGAACCATCAAGAGATGCTAATTAGTACAACAACTACAAAGAACGATAAAACTTTAGTCATGAAGAGCAAAGCAAACAAGGAGGAAAAACCTGAAGCTTCTCCAACGGCAACGCAAATCCTGAGTGACGAATGGATGGAAACGGCACATTTTGTGCAAAGGATCTTTTACTTAGTATGCTTATTTCAACAGTGTCTTTAATTTTGAGCGGAAAAGAGTTTCGTTTTTGGTTATTTGATAAACACTTGCAGAATGGAAAAATACATTTCGTTCATGATAGAGCGAATTTGAACCGTTAATAGAGAAACCTCTTTCTCCTTACGGGTCTTCTTTTAAATTTTTCCGGCAACTATGAAAATCCACTCGCATTCGTACTTAAAGGGTGCTGAAATGGGGAGAGATATAGCGCGTCAACAGTTTCAGAAGACTATTTCAAAAATAAGTTAAATTGGCGATGTTGCCCAATAATGCTTCAGTCGTGTGTGTACGAAATTCATTTCAATTAATCAACAGTAAAAAAAAGTTTCTGACATAAAAATGCATGAACAACAGTTTCGTAAACTTAAATTTGAAATAGCTTACAAAAACTGATTTGAAATTATGCACGGAATTTCAATGATAACGAACGGCATCACTGCCTTCAAACGAAAAATATAATCGAGGTAAATTTCTGTTAGATTAATTTGTTGGGCTTTTGTTTCAGCGGAAACCCGAACAGACCGACAAGGCTTTGGGCAATTTCTACATTAGATAACGTAAAAAGATGTTTCATGCTTCAATTTATTTTGATTTTGTTTTGTAATTTTCCTTATATTATAATTATTCCTTTTAGTTTGATGTTTATCAAAAATTACGATATTTCAATTTGAAGGCTTTTCGAGGAACCCATTCGATCTTATAGTAAAAAGCAAAAGCACAAAAACGTGCAAAACGAAGGTAAAATGATACCGTAGAAGACGTTACGGACTAAAACTTGGAACTGATGAAAACATGCGAATAATACCGATTTTCACTTTAAGTTCAGCCGTCATTCGATCGGAACAGAATGGGTGAATAAGAGTTTACAAAGAAGATGTAAGATTTTGCACAAACCATTTTTGTTTGACTTGAAACCCTCCAAGAACGCGGTCTCCTCTTCTTTGCCGTCGACGTGATTGTCCGGGGGCGGTGTGCAAGGTGCCACGGTAGGCGAGGTTGATCGTGCCCGGTGAGTGGGGCTCGGCGGCAGGTGGTGATGCAGTGGGCCAAGTACTGTCCTGTGTTTGTCTGCTTCTGCCTCCCGTTGGATGCCCAAGATAGCATCGATGGAGTGGTTGGGCTTCGGGGGCTGCTGATACCGAGCTTGAGTGTTCATGGCGAGGTGGTGGACGGCCTGGTGATGCGAGACGACGGGGAAGTCCAGCGGGCAAGGAGCGCTAGCTCCCCGGTACTGCTGCTCCATCATGCCCTTGAGTGGTGCCGCCGTGACATGGTCCGAGGAGCCGGCAGCTGTAGCTGGACACACGCACAGCTCCAACCCAGATAGCATCTAGCCGCTGTGCAGGGTGGTCGCACGGTCCAGATACCAATTATTCCTACTTTGCAGAACTGGTAAATGCCTGAGAAATATTTGTGTTTTCAACAACTTTATAATTGCACTTATTTAGTGGCAAGATCATTCAGAAAACTGAACAGTTTGAAATTCTTAAACACGAGAGTATCCCCTCTTCTAATGTTTATCCGTCTTGGCGCATCGTGGCCATGGATATCAATCCAAATCTTGTACTTGTCAAAAAGATCAAATTTTTGTTCTTGTCATTAGTGTGTGCTGAACAGAAAAAAAAAGAAGAACTAGCTTCCTTAGTCAGGAACTGAAGAGTCTTTAATGATGAAGTGGATTTGAGGATTTTCAGATGAGCTGCCTGGTACTTTACATCATCCCGATGCTCTATGCATCAACCAACCATAGCGATGAATTGGTTATATCGTTCTACCTATTTATCGTCCCAAATACATGTGGATTGTACTTATTTGTCCTCCGTCTTGCAGAAACCAGCTCTTTAAAAGACCATATTAATGTGTAAGTGTCATCTATACTTGACAGAGAGGCAGCGACCAGACCACAGCATGCTGTTATGACGAGCGATGTCATGAGCATCGGGATGATTACTGAATTATTCATAAGGGGGCGGGATTTCGGCCCTGGACGATGGTGACTGACAACCAATTACTGGCCAATTAGGCCAGATAGGGGAAATAATGTCTCGTTCTTTCTGTCGCTCCCATTATTAACCTGCAAACTAGTGGATTTTTCATTGCATATATATAATTGTGGTTTATATAGTGTTGTTTTGATTTTATTACCTGTACTTTAAAATGCTTAGTTTTCTCGCGAACGGGCAGGTAAAGAAACTTCCATTATCGTGAGTGATAAATATCCATTTTGAAGAGAAAAAAGACACTCACTTTGATCAAGTTTTGTTTTGCTTTATATATTTCGGTTGTTTGTTGATTTTTATCATTGTCGTCGTTGTTGTTGTTTGGTAGGAAATAAATCTTATCTTAAAAAAAAACAAGCTCGGTCGGAAATATCTCGGAAGCTGCGGGCCAACAGATTCGTGTTCATGCATGAGTCACGTGATTGTGCCGTAATTTCTGGAAGGAGTAGTGTTTTGAGTAAAAAAAAAATCAGGTTTTTGACACCAGTGATCCCATCATGACCTTTGACCCTAGTTTGGTCAAATGGGCTGGGCTACTGATACTTTTGAAAAAGATTGGTTGAAATCGGTAAAAATGATATGTAGGAGCAATAGATAATGTCAACGTTTGTTACTATAACTAACTACCAGTAACTAAACTAACGGAGAGACATGATGATTTGTCGAGCTGCTATCCCACAGCCAAAACGACCACCCCTTAAAATAAAATATGTTACCCCGAACGGCGAAGTAGACATTTTAAACTAAGGTTTTCCCCACTCCGCAGTAAAATAATGTTTAAAAATAAAAATTATGTGGATGCATGTTCAAGGCTCACATTCAGCTAAAAACATGTCGAACTTGAATTTTTTGAGGACCAAAACTTTGTTCCAGAAGTTCTTTCGCGCGGTACTTACACGAAAACAGCTAATTTTCAAACCATAGTCGTATAAATATGCGTATTCTTCTTTTTAATGATCTTTCCAACTACCGTTTTCGTTGTAAACTCGATTTTCAACCCCCCAAATCAGTAAGTGCTTCTTAAAAAGGAGGTTTATCTTTGCGTAAGTAAGCCACTATTTGGGGTAAATTTCAGTTGTCGTTTCCATCTCGACCTCGTGATGCAATATGCATTGAGCTCGCGACAATCTCCGGAAGTTGTTATAGAAACGAAATGTTTTGTAACTTGGAAGACGAAAATAATTGCACATTGTGGAATTTGCGAACGTCTACATTGCTCTTCGCTCAATGCATGACAACATTCATTACCAAACGTACTGAAGCCACATTGGAGCCGGGACCTGTTACATCATTTCTTTTAAAGGACAGAGGACGGGGCACTATTTTGATTTTGCCCTTAACGACCATACTTGCATAAGAATTGACTGCGTCTTCAGTGCTTTCCAAATGGCCGATCAAAAAACTAACTTGGGTCAGACTCGAACCCACGACATGAAATTAGGTCGGTGAAGGGCAAAAACAAACATCGAATTCACGTCTCTCCCACGAAACAAAAATCCATCACAAAGATAATTATTATTTGATCTGCAGTAGTGGCGTACCCAGACTAAGGACTTCAAAAATTTGAAAGAAACAACAGAAAAAGTAACTCTCTCGAACATTTTCTTCTAAGAAATACTTGGCAAGCGGAACGATTAAAGAAATACACTCAGTTTTATGTTGGCACCTGTTGGCCAGTCCAAGATGTGGATTGGGTTTTCAGTCCCTTCCTGACTCCGTAGGTTTTTCCCAGAATATTCTTCTGGGCATTTCCTCCCACCTCTAAAACTAAACTGTACTTTCTTCTCATTCACTTCTCTCTACAGGTTTCTTCAGGCTTTCGAGCTTACAGTGCCTAGGGCGCGATTTGGGGAATCCTTGGTTTTAGTACCAGAAGTAATAAATACAATCCTCTAAAAGTAGGCGAAATCTTCAGTTTAAAAAGGGTTCAACTTTAAAGTCGATTTTCTCAAAACTATGTTTCAACGCCCCGTGGCCACAATTCTCTCTTCGTGAAAACTCTGACGTTTATATACGCTTACATCCGAAACAACTCCTTAAACATCTCATATTGAAAACCAAATATGGCTATTTTAAATGAAGAAAAGAACCAATTAAGTTCACCAGAAATGTTGTCCATTTTTGGTTGGTTGTAATCAGCTTAAGATACTGTCAGTTACATCATGGTTCAGCCGTATACGTTGTGCCTGGTCCGTGTTCAAACCAACGTTGAACGGCATTTACTTGCGAAACACGGCCTGCCTTGTTATACCCACGCCAAGGTAACGTATTTGATTGAAATGACAAACAATATATACGGAACCAATTGCTTGATTCGACCCATCGGAGCTTGATTCAATCTGGCCAGGAAATCACGACCTCAAAACAAAAAAAGACAGCAGGGAAACGAGAAAATTACAGGTTAATTTGTTCATCTCTGCGTGCCTGCCCGCTGCGACCGCGTCTACGTGAAATGACTTATCGGCGAAATCCGCGGTGAAAATGTAACCTTAATTTCTTTCCCAATAACAAGTTCGATTTCCCGACATCTAATGCGATGATTTGAATTTATTGGCTAGACCTATTAACCTGGGGAGAATTTATGCGGTTTTTCTGACGACTGTTGCATGCACTTAGGTTCATCTTCTCGATCATTAAATTGTGAGTGATGAGTAATGATAACTTATTTATATAACACTCAACTCATTTTACAACTTGTTTTTGTTCTTAATTAAACAAAAATTATTTTCACTTGAAAGGTCTCGCAGTCTTTCGACCAATGGCGCTCCAACGTTTAAATAAAATCACATGATGTACGATAAACAACAGCAGTATTCCATCAAAGTTGCATAAATATTTAAAGAAATGAAATCAATATTTTTCAATATTAAGAAAAAGATAGCCCGTGAAAAAAACCAGCGGAATATCAGCAGCAATTGCACTTATAAACTTACATTGATTTTAAGAAGCAAAGATCACAAAACAACGGCAATCGCAACATCCATAAACAAACGCTGACCTCCGGTTTCTTCAAAAAAAATAACCCCCAAAAATATTTAAAACACATCACAAAAACACAAATAAGCCCAAATTATACAAAAACAAAGACATCCACATTCAAGTCAACACCACAAATCCCCTATAAGCACCTACCCAGCAACACCTACCAAGCACCCACCCAGCACCTACTAAACGCCTACCAGCAGCACCTACCAAGCAGCACCTACCCAGCACCTACCCAGCACCTACTAAACGCCTACCAGCAGCACCTACCAAGCAGCACCTACCCAGCACCTACCCAGCACCTACTAAACGCCTACCAGCAGCACCTACCAAGCAGCACCTACCCAGCACCTACTAAACGCCTACCAGCAGCACCTACCAAGCAGCACCTACCCAGCACCTACCCAGCACCTACTAAACGCCTACCAGCAGCACCTACCAAGCAGCACCTACCCAGCATCTACCCAGCATCTACTAAACACCTACCAAGCAGCACCTACCCAGCAGCTATGTACCCAGCAGCATAAGACAATACGCAATCAAAACAGGTGGTGACAAAAATATAGCTTGCCCACGAAAGCAACAAAATTAAGCTTATGAAGTAACAAGAGTAAATACAGCAGCACTAGAAATACCTCCATCAAGAGAAACTGCAGTAAAAGATCAAGTGGAAACTACAGCAGGAGATCACCTCAACCTATAAAATCTGTGGAGATCGCGAATTGATTCGACATTTCATACCGAGCTCACAGCCAAACTGAACATGAATTCTGTTCTGGAAATTCAAGATTGGTAATCTAGTTATGTGCAGTAGTCATTGTTTGTTTGTTTGGGTTTTTCTCTAATTAGGTTTCATGTCAAAGGCAGAAAGAAAAGGACAAAGCAAGGAACCTTACATTGTTGGTATCTTGCGGTAACAGAATTTGATTACTGATTATCTTCACTTCTTCGATTTTTATAGAAGTGTTATACACATAGAGCAGATGTGCTTGTTATATGTACCAGTATCAAAATTATTGGTGCCCAGTCTTTTGAATCACTTGTTTATTCCCCGACGAGCAATTAGTCGAACTAAACTCCACAATCTGTTTCTTCCGTATGCAGCAATTTGGAGGGGTGAAACGCCATAAAGCCTCGCCCTAACGAGCTGGTAATGACTTTAAAATAATAAAGGAGAGGCTATTAGGTTTATCATCGCTTAGTGAATCAGGTTATAATGATGGGTGTCCATCTGTACTTCAAAAGTTGTGACAATTAGAGCACAAAGCCAACTCGGTCCACTGTTGAGATCGAGTTCAAAGATCCAGTTCAAAGGGGTTTATTTTGGACAGGTTCGATGGAGAATCTTTGGATGACAGGTGGTTGATTCGTGACGTATGTTGCGCCTGGGCTAGTGCGCATCTTCTAGTCGAACCTTGGTCTAACATCCTCAAGAGTCTGTGCGACCTGATTGAAAGACAAAACTAATCAAAATTTTGACTATTAGCGTGGATTCGAGCAAAGTGGGTCGAACTAGTCAACCATATTTTTAGCTCACACTTGAATTATGCAATGAAGTCCGCGTACAGGGTGAGTAAAAAAGAAACGAAACCCAGATGTCAGGACCATTGTTTTAGTAAAGTTCTGCATGTAGCACTTCAAAATCTAGGATATGAAAGCCCAATTCATAAGCTTTCTTTTAGTACAAGAATCATTCAAATCACTCATGTACCTTTCAAGTTTTGGGATTTTAAACACAACCACCATTTTAAAGTTCTTCCACGGATCGCAAAAAGGTTAGAGTTCTTTCAGCAAAACGAAAACACTTCACACAGAGATGTGTGTGAATTTTTTTCGTTTTGCGGAAAGAACAAACACCTTTTTTGAGATCCGTGATGGACAGAACTTTGAAATGGTGGTTTTGTTTAAAATTCCGTAACTTGCAAAGTACATGAGTGATTTGAATGATTCTTGTACTAAAGAAAGCTTATGAATTGGGCTTTCATATCCTAGATTTTGAAAGTGCTACATCTAGAACTTCACTAAAACAATAGTCCGGACATTTGGGTTTCGTTTTTTGACTCACCCTGTATGAAATTTGTGGCTCTTCATTTGGGTCCGCGACACCACATCCATGGCTTGCAATACAGGGCAAAATATTTAATCTTCAGGCAATAAGAACGCACGTTCAGGCGGGGTTTTGATCGAAAAAAAAATGTGTTTGAAATTTCTGGGGAAATGGCAAGATAGTTCTTCTCCTCTCTTAAATGTTTCCTTCCACACAAACTTTCAGAGTACATGTAATGTAGATTTAAAAGTTTGCATGGTGAAGGTAGCAATTAGAAAGGTTTACGGTATATCGCCACAAAATTAATCTCTTTTTTTCCGAGACCTCACAAACTCACAAAAGAGTTTGTCACACGGTACTACCGTAAACTTAATCTCATTGCATATGATATAATAAAACCCATCTGAAAACGGTATAACCCGCTCTGTGTTCCTGCTTGTAACTTTCCTGTTACATTTGAATCCCAAAGGAAAATCGACCTTGTGTCAATATACGTTTCTCGCTCACTCCTGCTGCATTGATGTTATGTACGATATGAGACTTGGGACCAGTCAAAAGTGAGCTGATGTGAGAGAGAAAAATATCCAATCCGTTGCCAATATGCTCCTGTGTCGACTTGGCTTCCCAGAATGTCTGTTTATCTGTGTTGAATTGAACACGGCCATCAGTAGTGCTTAAACCATTCACCTCAAAATCGTTACGCGGCGGAGGGCCTAATTAATGGGGTTCTACGGATCATCGAATAAAGGTGGGTTTCCGTCTCACTGACTCCATTGGCCTCCGCTAATCTGTTCACAATATCGCTAATTTGACAGTTGTCTATGAATTATTCCCAATGACATGTCGGCCAGTGTGTTCTAACGGTTTTACCGAGGGCTGGCTATTCATCGCCCTCACCGCAGCCGGCTTTTGTTGCTCGGCACTGGGCGCTGATGTGGGCACCATCATCATCCCGTGCGTCCTTGGCGAAATAACATTACTTGCTTGGCCGGCCCCGTCCTTCGGACCGTATAGACTGGGTCGATAGTGTCAGTCCAACTTCGTGCCAGACACAATCGGTGCGGTGGCTTGGGCTGTCAGGACGGGTTACTGTCCCCCGTGGATCGGTGACATCGACCCGCTGATAACACGGCTTGCAAAGTCGAGTAGCAGGACTCGGTAAAAAAAAATGAACCGCCCATGCGTGAGTCTTTACGATGACCAATCAAAAGGGGATTATCTTAATCACTGTGAGCTGATCTTATGAGAAATGTAACTTATTGGGGGTTTATTTGAAAAACTATTAAGAAAAGTGTTGTATCAAGCGGCGTGGAGTAGGAGTATAGGTACGGGGGGGGGGGCAAAAACCGCAAATACCAAATCGCCGGCAGGAACGCGCTAAAGTAACACTAATAAGACTGACAAAAAAGTCCGACTGTATCAAGACATCATTTGACGTGTCTCAGGGGGAGAACTCTTTATCAAAAAAAAATGAAACGGAAACTGAAGTACATGCAACAACAAATTTGGAAAAAAAATGAACAAAACTTTGCCATGTCAACATATTGAGTAGTGCGTTTCAACAATCGTGACAATTACGATTGTGCAACAGTATAAGGAGCATTATAAACCTTGTAATTTTTATCAAAGGTTGTCGAAATCGTTGTAAAGACATTACGAGGGTCAGTGCCCGTGAAGAGTGAATGGAATCAGAAATAATTAGCTGGATTTTACTTAGGAAAGGTGTGAAAACATTTCGAAAAAATAACTCCGCCATTGTCCGGGCTGACAAGCGGGAACAATCGCCGTCAATCTGAGGCGCTTTGTTTCACGCTGACACGCCGAAGCCAAAAGTATTTCGAGGAGTGCCGTCTCTCCACCTGATTTCTGGTCTGGCCAGATGAGTTAACTTTCCCTTAGTAATTGGGGTACACCTACTGTATAACATCGTGACTGAGAGGGCAAATCTAAGAGACATAAGAACTTTTTCCCTAAACATTGGCCTCGTCTGTGACTGCGGCTTTGAGGGATTTTTAAACCTCTGACTTGAGGTACTTCGGCTCAAAATAGGTCGATGTTCTGCTTCAAGAACTTCAAATCCTCAAACTAATGAAAAGGTACCGTGTGTTACCATTTATTCTGGGATCTAGAGCTGACGTTGAATGGAGACGTAGCCGAAGTTTGAAGACTCCAGCACCATAAATTGTTTGTAATTTGATGTTCCTGAATTGAAAACAGAAACTCTTCTGAATCGGATTTTCCCAAGTCAAGGGCCATAGATCTGCTGTAGCAAAAGCAGTAGGAGAAGTGGATTGCAAAATGCCAATTTAGGGGCGCGGCTAGAGCTGGGTGCTTTTCGATGGCAGTATCCTTGTAGACAGCGCCCCCAAGCGGCATTGTTTTCAATTCCCAATGTATCTCTCCTTTTCACAGGTTGAATGTGCTGCCTTCGAAATCACCTACTAAGAAAACAGTGTGGTCACATTGAGTTAAAAATTGCATGCATCTTTGTACGTTCCCAACTATTGTGCGTGTGTGTCTCCGCTTGGCACGTCCTCGATCTCTGACACCAGGGACATATTTTCAACAAGCGCCCTCTGTAATCAGAGTTTCAATTCGAGGGGGAAAGTGGCCTATCGATCAAATGGGGGCGCACTTTGCTCCAACCGCAACAAATCCTGCAGACGGATCTCAACGGTTGATAATGCATGATTCCTGTACCTGGCAGGATAGAGCGCTGTGAGGGTAGCACCAAGTAAATAAATTCCCATAGACAACAGTGATAAATCACCATACTTCAAAATTATTTTAAAAACACCCAGAACTCTCACAGGTGTTCAAGCTGCACAGTAAAATGATGATCAACAAGTCGTCTTTCATTTTCCTTTCAATCGTTTGTGGGTTGACCAATGACTTTTTGGAGAAATTCTCACCCAAAAGAAGACCACCCCTAAAACAAAGGATATTTCCCAAACTGGAAAAGTAGCCATTTTGAAAAAGGATCCCTCCATAACATGGCTAAATGGCACAACTTTCGGGCTCAAGAATTGGAAGACTCCAGTCCCGGCCGCAGTTGCAGTGCCATTATGTCTACAATCACCCAATTCCATGGCTCTCAGAACTCTCTAATATATAATAATTTGAATGTATAACAATTATTCGTACGCTCGGCGTACGGATTTTTTGGCCTATTTACTTGGTTGCAACCTGAGAACGAGCGATCGCGAATCAGTAGCCCTAAACAGCGCCCTCATGCGTTCATGGAGAGAGTTGCAATTAGGCTGTATCCAAAACGGGTGTTAGGAAGTACAGCTGTAGTCAACATAACCAGTTTGTTAAGCGCGCGAAACATACAAGGCGAATTTAAGTCAACTTTCATGACACAAAAACAACACACTCGGTTTCCAGACCATAACTCAAGAAAATACTTGTTACATTGAATCGAAATCTCGCATATTAATTTAATGTGATGTGTAACACAATTCTGTTGAAAATCAGGAG